CTTATAAAGGGCCTATATCTAGCCCTTCTTAAAGGCTAAGAATATCCTCTTTAGTATTACTATATCGAAGAATGTAGGAATCAAGACGCGTACAGCGTGTTTTGAAGCAGGCCTATAATAACAACTATATATAGTTAGCAGAAGGAATGCCACTAGCAGGGGTTCATATCATTCTTGCCAGAGCCTGTACACATCTCTGTAGCCGATGCTGCGGCCCGTCTCTGAACCGGCTTGCTCTCAGCTTGAGGCAATGAGCGGTCGGGCATTCAACCTCAAGACGCGCGGTGTGGTCGGAGGAACCAACAGAAGTGGCCTTGGTTCGCTCGCGACCATCGGCCGAGGGGGAGGTGACAGCGTACGCGTGCGTGTTGCGCGACAAGCGTCGAGACTTTGTCGATGCAGGAGAACACCAGCGCGGATAGGTGCTCCACCAGCGCAGAGGGAGTGCAAAAATTCCTGGTTAGTGGTGAGTGTGCGGAAACATACATGAGATTGTCTTACCCGCCCCCGTTTTATACCTTCTTTTCTTTGCCTCCCGTTACATCCTGCAAGGCTTCCTCTGCATCTTTCTCCTTCGTTCACCGCAATCTATACCTTTTCCAGTGCGTTGATCGCACGCTTCCACTCATTTAGCCATGCAATTCATCACGCTCTTTTCAACGTCGCTTGCCCTTTTCGGCACCACTGGCTGGGCTGGATATGTGCTGCAGGACGATTACTTTGCCAACAATGCCTTTTTCGATCAGTTTACTTTCTGGGATGCGGAGGACCCGACGCAAGGATTCGTGGCGTATCAGTCGTACAATGCCTCGGTGGATGCGAAGCTGATTTCGAGCTCGACGGGAAACATTTACATGGGTGTGGACAGCGCGAGCAACACACCTAATGGCAGGCCGAGCGTTCGAATCACGAGCAAGAAGACGTACAGCCAGGGGCTGGTGGTTGTCGACATTGAGCACATGCCTGGAGGGATCTGCGGGACCTGGCCAGCTTGTAAGTTCTTTCACTCCCCTTCCATATCCCAAGACTGACGAGTGCCTCACAGTCTGGCTCGTTGGCCCTAACTGGCCTAACGGTGGCGAGATCGACGTTCTCGAAGGCGTCAACGATCAAACCTCGAACGACGTAACGCTGCACACCGGTCCAGGTTGCTCTGTCTCTAACACCGGCAGCTTTTCGGGACACATGACCTCTACCGGCTGCGCCTCCGATAACAATAACAACACCGGCTGCCAGATCGCCTCCGGCGACACAGCATCGTACGGCGCGGGCTTCAACGAAGGCAAAGGCGGCGTCTACGCCATGGAGTGGACAAGCACCGGCATCGCAGTCTACTTTTTCCCCCGCAGCTCCATCCCTAGCGATGTCCTCGGCGATTCACCGAATCCATCAGGCTGGGGCACACCCATGGCACACTTCACCGGCGACTGCGACTTCACATCCTCTTTCACGGATCAGCAGATTGTATTCGACACAACGTTCTGCGGAGCTTGGGCTGGGAACGTCTGGTCCTCGTCATCTTGCGCTTCGAAGGCCCCGACTTGCAATTCTTACGTGGAGAATAACCCCTCGGCTTTCGCGGATGCGTACTGGAGTGTGAATGCGCTCAAGGTGTACACGAATAATGGCCAGGCGGCGGAGAGTGTGGCCCCTTCGAGCGCTGTGACGGCTACCTCGACGAGTGTGGTCTATGTCACGCAGCCCACTTCGTCAGCCGCTCCGACGACCTTCGCCGTGTCCACGACGGCTGCTGCTGCTCCGACTTCCAGCGACGGAGGTTACGCACCCGTCGTCGGTGGCGATGGCTCCGTTGGAGAGAACGAATCTGCGACTTCGTCGACCGCCCCAGCTGCGCCGAGCGGTCCTGGGTGGTTCTCGAATGGTCCTCATGGGGTCGTGGGATCTTGGGGCAAGAGGGATGAGGGTGAGCGTGAGGTGAGGAGGGAGAGACATGCGAGGCATTTGAAGTCGCATATTAAGAGACATTCTGGGAAGAGGTTGTAGAGGGTTGGTCGTTTTCGTTTTTGGTGAGCGTTGGGATGGATATATTGTTCTTTTTGCTTGTGGTCGTTCTTGTGGATAGCTATACCCCAGTTGATAGCAGCGGCGTTTGATAGATCTTATCGCTTCATCGTTTGAGCTCGGAAACTGTCCGAACCATCTTCTCAAGCCCCTTACACGGAAAGTTTTGTCTGGGCTTGCAAATTCACCGGATCGTCTGCTGATACCTCCGTAGGCTCCGTCTGAGTTTCCCTTCGTCTGTGGGCATGTCTTAGCACTCGATCAGGTGTTGTGACCGGCACATGCTAACTTACTCTTTGCCTTGGTACAGCAGCTTCATGGTTGTAACGAATGTAATGGCTAGACCGCCGAAGAGTATCAAGATCTGGTAGCCGTATTTGTACTTGGGCGCATCGTAAGTTGGAAAGAGGACGACTAGGTTTATTGTCAGCAAGGCAGAAGTTACACTATCTGGAGGTTGAGCATACGCGGAACCCAAAGTACCCAGGCATAGGAGACAACATTCGATACAGCCACGAGAAGCTGTCTTAGATTCGGGTCTCCAGCATTCAGCTTTGCTCCCCAAGCCTGTGAGAGTCAGTTAGCAGCGATCATTTTGAACAGGAGCTCGTTGGAACTCACGATGAACACTGGTGTCGCAGCTGATCCCGCGTAGGAAATATAGTATGCGAACATGAGAGCTGCTTTGGGGATGTTCCAGACTGAGAGCAGGATGTTGGAAAGTATCATCCAGAATTGCAGGCTGATGATCAGCCAGTAGAATTGACCGGTTCGATCAGCAATCATGCCCCAAGCCAGTGTTACGACGATCGCGAGGGCGTTGCCGCCGGTGGGAAGATAGTTGATTTTATCGACGCTATAGCCCTCGGCTTTGAGCCAGAGATTGAAGTAGCTGGTTGCTGTGTGGCAGGCGGCGATCATGCTACGCGTAACAGTTAGTTTCCGACCAGATACAATAGCTTGGTACCGCCGACCTACGTATAAGAGCCAACGAAGACCCAGAGCTGCCAGCTTGACGCTATGCGTTTGATCTCTTGGAGGGTCAGCTTCTTGGGAGCTTGCTGACCGAACTTCTCGACACGTTCGATCCCGTATCGGATATGCTATGATCAATGAGTATCCTATTAGACACAGCGGCCGATAGCGTTTCTAGGCGTACCTCAGCAGACCAGTAGAATGCTTTCGTATTGTATGGATTGTTTGGCAACAGAACGAACCCAGCCAAGGCGATAGGTATTGAGATCACACCATCCATGACGAACAGCCATCGCCAACCAGCCAAGCCGGCATGGCCATTCATGCTGTTATACAAACCAGCTTGCAGATACCCACTGAACATGCTGGCAATTGATTCGACTTCGAGGAGGATAGCTGTACGTTTGGCAAGTTCCTGAGGGCCATACCAACTACCCAGAATGGCAATGTAGCCGGGGAAAGCACACGATTCCAGGAGACCTACAAAGAAGCGTAAGGCGTACATCTGATCGTGGTCAGCCTCGTGCCTTTCCTTCCTATGGAGAAGTTCTACTTACAGTCTTGATGTTCTTTGCAAATCCCATCGAAATCACAAGAGCAGACCACATAATCTCACAAGTCGGGATAAGGACGGATGGTCGGACGAAGCTGAGCTGTGACATCTGCGCCGGCACGCTGCCGATGATGATCCCAAGGGCAAACCATGTGTTTAGCCAGTTTCGCTCGTTGCCGTAGAGGCTTAGGTCTTCCTGCATGCCGCTGACGAAGGCATTGCCTGTAGAAAATATGTGTAAGTTGATGTGCAGAGTCGAATGTACTTGTCGAAGACTCACTGTAATTCGTTTGGTCCAGATACTTTATGAAATACCCTAGACAGACGATGGGGCTGTAACGAGGAGTAGATTAGCGAATGTTCGCCAATGGTTGCCGTCTGCAGACAAAAGACCAAGATCCAGACGCCGCACGTAGCGACGGTATTCCGGATCGCCATCGGCAGAGTCCCAGATGAAGGATAGAATTCGGCGCCATAGAGGAGACTTTGGCTGCTCGAATGCAGACTCGTCGATTTGGATCGTGACCGGATCTTTCACGATTCCCTCTTCGTTATCCGAATTCGTGGTAGAACCGACTATTACCCCTGTCTCTTTGGAGTCGGCCATGTCGTGTCCTCGTCGATGGGTGTAACGATGTACAAAGTATGTGCTGCTTCCTGCGATAGCTCACGTCTGCTGCTGATAAGTACTGACTGCAGTACCGGGATATCTTCCATGGTCTCCATTATCTGTAGCCACGCGAGGCAATCCTTGTAGCATCATGTCTAGATGTTCTCGGTTATACAATCGTACTATTGATTGCGTGCTGTTGGCCTTGCCGAATGTCTTGCCCGCCTATGGCAGGCGTCTCGGGCGAAAATTTGCGTTATGTCGCTATATGATGCGATGACCAGGGCTATGCTCTTGGAAACACGGGGCGATCTCGACCTGATACATTGCGTGTCTTCAAGGTGCCAGTTGAAGGTCTTGAGGAAGATCTGACAGGTTGGTAGAAAGATAGGAGGACTTTCTCACCGGCATCTTCACCGAGAAAGGACCCCATCGTTGCCATGGCAACCAGCACACTTCGCATCGCTCTGGAGAACGTTGACTTCCGACTTCCAACCCAAGTCACCGACGACAACAGTGTCCTAGCCCTCAAATCACTGGTATTCGAGCCACTGGTGAGATGGCGACCCAATGGAAAAGTAGAGCCTGGTCTCTTTTCTTCCTGGGATCGATCCGATGACGCACGAACGTGGCGCTTCCACATCCGAGAAAATGCAATCTTCCCCGACGGACAAGCATGCAGCGCAGAGAGCGTGATCACGTACATCAACGGCTTCTTGGACTCGCGTGACTACTTTGGTATGAGCTGGAGCTATGCACGATACTTTGCTCGGACGACATTTGTGGCTGAAGACGAGACCACCGTTCGAATTGAGAATGACGAGCCTTTTGCGCATCTTATCGATATACTGAACGACTTCTGGCCGTCTCGTATTGCTCAGGATGGGAAGCCGGTAATTGGTACTGGATCTTACCGCGTGACCGAGTTCGAAAGGCGTGATGGACGGGGAAGTGCAGAGCTTCAACTCATTGACGCCTCAAACAGTCCCCATCTACCGGAGAAGATTGTTGCCGTTCATGAACCGAGTGGCGAGAAAAGGCTCAAGCTGCTTCGAAGTGGTGAAGTGGATGCCGCATTGAACCTCGAACGAGCGGAAAACCTCGAGGTGTTGGACCTCGAACCCTCACTGCATTGGGGCCGAGTTCTGAGCACATTGTCCGTGATATATTATCTCAACTGCTTCAACGGCCTTTTCACCAACCCAGAGGCACGTTTTGCAGCCAACTTGGCGATTGACAATGCTGCTCTTGTCAATCAAGTCTACAAGAGTTTCGCTGCACCATCTTCCACTGTTGTCAGTCCCCTCCACCTTGGGCACCGGGAAGCAGACCTAAAACCAATCCCGTACGATCCAGCAGCAGCCCGGGAGATACTGAAGAAGTTCGATATCAGCAGTCCGATCTTGCTGCGCACACCAGAATACATGCCTGAGCACGCGGAAAAGATCTCACACTTTGTAGCCGCGTCTCTTGAATCCGTTGGATTTACTGTCAAGGTTGAAGTAGAGACTAACCGGCCAGAATACGCACGGTCGATTGGTCTACGCAAACAGGTTGGTGATTTGGCGTTGTTCGACTCAACGCCCAACACCACATTTCGAGTGCTGGACGACAAAATTTCCAGCATCAACAAAAACACATGGTGGCTGGGATATCACGACGAGGAGTTCTTGAGTTTGTTCGCAGAGGCCAAGTCAACTGTGCTTGATGAAGCACGAGCTCAAGCTTATGCTAAATGTCTGCGACGGTTGCAACAGAACCCTCCATGGCTGTATGTGGCTCATCCGGAAGTCATCTGGGCTACACGACCTGGCCTTACGATGAATGTTGGATCTTCTGGCGTTCTTACGCTTTGATTAATTGTCCGGCTGGCTGTCGTCTCGCTGAAGAAACTTTGCATGGCAGCGGCGGTCAGATTCTGTATCCCTATGTACATGGCAAAAGGTTTCCATCATGGTACATCAAAGGCCTCAATTTCTTGCCTAAGCACCCTGTATCAGTTTCTGGAGGCGCTCCTGATCCAGAATCTCGCCTTCGACCAAGCGACCGACTTCCTTCACGGCATCGCCCACTTTCTCGAATCGAACCAAGGTCGGCGTGTTGTGAACATTCCATTTGGTACGGAACACATTCTTGGGATCTTTCCATCTGATCGAACGGTCAGCGGACTTTTAGAATCACCCCAGCTGAAGATCGCACTCAGGTCTCTGTCCCACGTCAACGAATGCCGCTGTGGGTTGTTTGCCGCCCTTGAACGTAGCTTCGAGCACTGGTAATGCCGCCACAACGTCTGGACACCATGGCCGGTTCGTGACTGGATCTTTCGAGGCCAGGAATGCAATGAAGAGAGGCGTTCCAGGCGAGAGCTGGAGACCTTCAGCAGAGCTTGGAAATGAAAAGTCCTGGAGGATTGGCATGTCTTCGAATTGCTGCTGCTCGGAAATGAGAGAGGATGTATTGGCGAAGAAATAAAACTGAAGCAGAACAGTCAGTCAACTGTGTACGTGATTTTCGCGACATCTCACGTCAAATACTCGACAAATCACGAACCCGAACAAGAAGAGCCTTCAAATGAGGAAGCCGGGCTTGGCCGAGTTGGCCGGCGGCCCACTTGTCGCCTGCACATGGCCATGATATGCCGAATGGTCGTTATGGCGGGACCAGGCACATGTTGATGAAGACTTTACCATGAAGGGCTGGAACTTGCCTGGCATACGGCCCTGGTCGTGGAAATCGAGTTGACCCCATTCCAATGTCAGGGCCGCCGCTCCTCTGCATTGCCGATCAATGCAAGACAAGAACTTGGAAGGGCAATAAAGAATGACCACCTTGGAAGAGCAGAGACGCACTGCCACGGACTTTGGGAGCCATTCCCTTCTGATTCATCCTAATGGCCAGACCCTGGACTTGGCAACAGGCTACATTCCCTTACTGTCGACATTTTCGCATGAAGACAAGGCAGCCAAGGGGTTGAGGAAGGGCAAGACGAGTGATGAACGAGACAATCCGGTGTACTTGTCTGCTCTGGAACTGGTGCGTGACAACCAGATCCTCTTGCTAAGCGGGCCCAGTGGTTGCGGGAAGACGACGTTTGCGAAGCATTTGTGCTTCCGTGTTGCGACTCAGAGCCTGCCGACATCTGCCCCAATCATTAGGAACGAAGCCAGCGAACTCCACGATGAGGTCTGGAATACCAATGGCTTACTGCCTTGCTATTTCGACATCGGCGACGCTCAGGCATTGGAGACGCTTACGCATCAAACCATTCCCAAGCTCCTAAGCCCCGTATCACGGACGAGATATGCTGGACTTGTCATAGTGATTGACACAATTGAACGTGCTGAAAATCAGGCTTCACAACTCCTCGGAGCCCTGATTTCAAAGCTTCTGGACGAGAAGACGACCAACCATCGCCTTGTCATCCTCGCCGAGAGATGTGCTGCGGAGAGCCTCAATCTGCCATCAGTCGTCGCGAGACATTCTATATCCCCTCTGCTGCTCGCCCAGCGGCGCCTCAAGATCAGTGAGCTGACACAGGACCAACCTGATCGGGTCGACTATGCTCTTGGCGCAGCCGCTCGAGATCCGACCATCTTTGCTCTGGCTTTCCAGATCACCGACGCTGGCGATCAGGCTGAGACGGTATTAGATGCATGGCTGCCCAAAGTTTCCAAAGACGATAAGCATTGTGCCGAGCTTGAGGCGTACGCCTTGCAACAAATACACCGTGAACTCGGTCTTCAGTCGGAGCTTCGTACTACTGCAAATGGCAGACCCATAGATGTACCCTTGTTTGCTTTGAAAACCAAAATCCGTCAACTGCTCGCTGCTCGTCCCCTATCGAGGCTTCCGTCTCGGGCCACGGTCGATTTCTTTCGCCAGGACCCCATTCGAACGGCGGATGTATTGCGGAGCATACTCGTACGTCTTGGGTCTTCCGCGACGTTCGAGGACTTAGCTTCACTCCTGATGCAAGGCTCTGGAACGGCTGTGCAGCGTGCAGCTTTGCTGATAGCCGAGGGCGACTGCTTGACGGTTTCGTTACACGAAAAAGTCATTCAACAAGCTCTCGAAGTGGTTGAAGAAGACATCTTGCCTCTCGGTGATCGGATGAAGGCTGGTGGTGTCTTGTCCCTGCTGGGTGATCCTCGTGATCTGTCTGCCTTAGCGTTCGTGCCTGCTGGAGTGGTCTCGATGGGCTCAAACACACATTCTAACTCGCAACCTGTCCACGAGGTACCCGTCGATGCCTTCCGCATCGGAGTGTACACCGTCACTATTGGCGAGTATCTCAAATTCATCATGGAGACAAAGCGGGAATGGACCAGCCCTGACAAGAATCATCCCAAGAAACAGAACGTACCTGCGACGGACCTGACTTGGTTCGATGCCCAAGCATACTGTGCATGGCTTACACAGAAGTGGCACGAGTCTGGCAAGATCCAACCCAACGAAGAAGTCCGCCTCCCTACAGAACCCGAGTGGGAGCGAGCAGCACGCGGAGACATCATCAGCGTCCAGTCTAAAGAAACATACATATACCCCTGGGGCACCATTTGGCAACCAGACCACTCCGACTCCGAAGAAACTGGCCTGAACCAGCCATGCCCCGTGGGCCTTTTCCCGAAAGGCCGCTCCCCGTACGGCTGTCACGACATGGCAGGAAATGTGTGGGAATGGTGTACCACGCTTTGGGGCGAAGACATGGCGACTCCTCGTTTTCGGTACTCATGGCGGCAGGATGATGGACGTGAGGATCAGGAAGCCCCTGTGACGGTGCGCAGGGTGTTGAGGGGTGGGTGCTTTTCGAGCGGTATGGCGAAAGCGAATTGTACGTATCGTGGGAGTTTGGAGCCTACAGGGCGGTGGCGAGGCAATGGTTTTCGGGTTGTTATTGCAAAGCGGCAAATCAGACAGGATACAACAAAAGACGCAGACTCGTTGCGACGTTGATACCAGACACCGATTAGACGCCAGACCTCAATCTGATTCTCAACGAAGGAGCAGAATTGACTTTCGAGTCTTGAGAATCTACGGCGACCGTCATCATACCCACCATCGTCTTTGGGTCAAAATGCCGATACAGCAACCGAGCAGCGCAATCGATCATCAACTTAATGGGGACTTATCCCTTTTACTGGTATCTCAGCTCGGCGCCTGGCCCGCCGCAGTGAACCATCGAGTGAGGTACCTTGCAGTCTCTCCACACCTCGAGCAACAGCTCATATGACGAAACAAGCATTGTACTCAGTCCCAGCAATGTGCGCCAGCGTGAAATCTGGTGGAGGTTCAAGCACAGCCGACTCAAGGGCCTTGACTTGATGCTTCTCCGACCAAGCCGTGACGGACTCAAAGTTCCGACACTGCTTGTTTCTTGCAAAATCAGAGATCGTTCGTCCCTGTTCCGTGAACCAGAGTAGTGGCACGACATCCGTATCGGCGTTGCACATGACCACCTGTCTCATGGCATCGAGACAGTGCCCGACGTGAACCTGAACATCGGCATCGGTCTGATTGTGACCCCAGGAGCCCTTCGCCTCGTTGCGATAGTAGTCCGCGTTGAACCAGAGGGATTTTCGAAGGAGGTTGAGGCAGTGGAGTTGGTGGATTGCTTGGATTGTAGCAGGGTATCCCGGTTCTGATATGACTCCAGGAGGGTGGGAGACCATCTCAGGGGCATAGAGAACGTGTTCGGGTCGGAGATCGAAGGCGGCTTCATGGCCTGGTGGAATCAAGAATACTTCGTCTAGGCGAGTGACATTAGCAGCAGCACGAGGTGAGACGATGTGCTGGGTCACATACGGTTCGCTCCAAGTGCTTCCCATTCTGCGTCGACATCGATCTCCCCTCCTGCAGGAGTTGCGTATTTGCTCATTACATATGAGAAAGGTTCGAAGGTCGTCTCATGCAAAGTTTTGCGGTCCATGTCGTAGTACACGCCTGCCGAGTCTGTTCAGCTTCGACCGATGCTGATTGCAAATTGTGATGGGTTGCTGACCATCTTTCTCGATATCTAGCGTGGAGTGCGAGAATGCGGTCGATCCCACCGTTGCCCAGTTCAAGCTACAGCCGATGAGAAAAGACAACAAATTGGTGATCAGAAAGGCAGAGATCAGTAATAACGTTCGATGTCTCTCTGGATGTGATGGTGGGCTCTGCGGCTTAGACCGCGAACGCCCCTGAGGGTCTGCGAGCAACGTCTCTTTCTCACAGCTGCTGTCGTTTTCCATGGCGCTCATCGAGGACCCAGCATGTTCGAAGCGCACGTCGACGTAGGGAAACCTCTTTCTCCCTGGCTTTCTCCGTTGCAAAGGACTTTCTGCCCCAACCCTAGGGCCGGCAGAAAGTCGCCTGAGGTCGATCCACAAACTAGGCTGTATAGTCCGCTACCTGCAGAGGATCCTCCAGCGCCAGCATTGTTCAGCTGTACGAAGAGCACGATAGCGACCTTCCGATTCTGTTACCTACCCTATTTCGCCTAGTTTCCTGAAATGCAGATTTAGTACTTTTCGTTTGTTGGTTTCATCCTGCTTTGGCTTTATAATTCGCCAATCGCTTATATCTTGTGCCGTTCATAAGCATCTCTCGAGCTATCTGGTGCTCCAAAGCACTGCATCGCTGCCCCTGCTGCGAGTCTCGGATATCGAGTGTCGATAGGAGACTGGTCAGATACTGCGTTTGAACTTCCCTTCTGACAGTAGTCCCAGATCCTAGGCGCCACTTCGGCTTCAGGTGGTATGGAAAGCTTGTGACCAGCTTGATAGGAAGCAGGGCAAGACCGCCAGCAATCACCTCATCTGCAGGTTCGTTATCTTCTGTTGTTGTGGAGTTCGTTAGCGGATCTGCCAAAGGTCTTGCATGTGCATTCGAACGATGTAACGTTGGCTGCCTTCGTGGCACGAGTTGGAACCCCGCAAATTTTGTGGGGGGGGGGGGGGGGGCGGGCTTTGAATATATAATTCAGAACAGGCGTGGTCCTCAACGTTAAACTCATTTGCAATCACCATCAACCACGAAAGAGCAAAGACCACCACAGCCATACCAAAATGAAGGCATCGATCATTATCAGCGCAGCTTGCATGCTGGCTTTGTCCGCCGCTGCGCCAGTCTTTGGTGAGTAAGACCAAGCTCAACAAATACAACAAGAACAGTGACTAATCTTATGAATCTATAGAAAAGCGCAGCGACGCTTTCTATGTGCCCCCGAGCGTCGATGGCAAGGAAGCCCAGAAGCGTGATCCGGGGAATTCGTTCTATGGCAAAGAGGCAGAGAAGCGTGATCCGAATCCGTTTTATGGCAAAGAGGCAGAGAAACGCGATCCCTCGAATTCGTTCTATGTGCCTCCATCCGTCGATGGCAAGGAGGCCGTTGAAGTGTTGTAGATAGTGGAGGAAATATGGTGTGATGCTCAGACATGTGAAAGTCTTGGCAATTTTCTTCGTGGATCCCCGTGCTCAGCTACCCTTCTCATTCCGTCCAAGTTATGACGATCATTTCCATCGCTTGCGAACTGTCCGAGCAATCTGGCGTACGATCAAGAGCTTGGTCTGTTGAGAAAGTCGGTGAGACGACGGTGCCGTGAATTCGACTCTCAGGGGGAAAACAGGAGAGGTCGTCCAGATAGTCTCCAGACAAGATAACACAAGACCACGCAAGCTTCCTTGACATTCCCCCCAAGCATGCAAGAAGCATGTAAAGCTTTCAGCTTGACTGCTCAAGAGTGTGGTCGCCGAGGAAAACCGAGGGATCGAGCTGAAGTGAGGTTTACACATGCAGTGACCAAGCTTCATCAACGCCACGCGAGCATTTAGTGCCTCGCGATTTTCGCAATGGCTGCAAGCTTCGGACTGTCTGAGCTTGTTCTCTTTCGTCAGGCTGTTGGTTGCGCCTTAGAAATCGACGTATCGATTCCTACCTTCCTCACACAGCAAAGCGTATGCATGTGTCAACTTGCCTAGTCGAGAAGGTCTTGATCCTTAGAGCATTGGATTGCGTTCAGGCGTTCCAGATCGTCGAGATACTCCTTCCGCTAAGATGTCCGTCTCTGGGCCCTTTTATCGAGGGCTGCCGTCGAGCTTGATGTTACATCGTCGTTCCCCGGCAGATGCTGGTGGCAGATGTGTTATGCAGTTAAATGTGTGAGTATCAAGTCGTGATCGGGTCATGTGGTTTCACTTCTCGTCCGGGTCTCTTCCATGCCCACCTCCCAACTTTGCAAACGATTGTTCGTGTGAATTCATTCCCTGGTGGCATCTTTCTCTTCGTCATGGCATTCAAGGATGCAGAATACAGCTCAGTATCGAGTGAAAATACCATCGTCGGGAACAACGAAAAGGAGCTGGCGGCTTCTCCAAGTCAAAGGCGGAGAAACTGGACGACCTACGGACTCATGCTCCTCGCCATTGTTGCATCGATCGGTCTCGGGATATTGATTGGTTCACCCCGGCCACTTCATCTATCGACAAGCTCGAAACCCTCGAAGAGCTCGATAGATATCTCACAGCCTCGCATCACAGACTGTGGCGACTCCAGCGCAGATGCCATCGCCCTTGGCTGTGTGATGGACCCGATGATGTACGGCTGGATGCCTCCACATTGCCAGTACTCCGAAGTGACCGACAACTACTCCTTCAGCAAATGGATCTGGTATGCCGACGAAAACATGACCAAGCCCTTGACAGAGGAAGACCTGTGGCAGGGAAAGGAGCTTGAGATCTGGACTGCACAGGCAGGCTACCACACCGAGCACTGTCTGTTCCTGTGGGAGAAATCAGCATATGCCCAGAAAAGACGATTGCCTTGGTTGGATCGGAAGTCGTTGAGCTTTGATCATGCGCAGCACTGTATTGAGCAGCTAAAGGACTTGGGCGAAGGCATAAATCCGGTGACGATGGCGACTTTGGGAATCTATGAGTGTGATCCAACGCCGTGGAGGGAGTGAGAACTTCCAGACCTATACAAAATGCCGTTCAGAGACTCAACTCGGCGATCACAATAGGGACATCTCCAAGAACCGAGTCCGGAGTCGAGCTTTGGACGACCGTATTACTGGACAACGAACGATCGGCGGCCCAATTGACGACGCCGTCCATTTCATACAATGAGCGATGTTTCTGGCATCCGAAATCATTGCCGTAGACGTTCAATCAACAACCCACTCCCTCCCCTCCCCAAACACCTCCTCCACAACCGCAATCCTCCCCATAAACACACTCTTCACAATCTGTCCAATAACCTCCCCATCGCCACCCAAACCTCTCAGCGCCTTGAGAACCTCCTCATCAGCAGCAACACCCGCCCACACCTCATTAACCTGCAGAATCATCTCTTGACAGAGCTCTGTCAACTGCGGCGTCGCCGGAGTATCAGAACAGTGTACGTCACGATGTCAGGGGCTAGATCCTTCGAAGCGCGGCCCCAGGCGTCGTTGATCGAGGCGTTATGTGTATTGGCTAAGGAGGATATCGCCGTGATCTTGGGGTCAGATCGGAGGGGGTTGATGGCGGTGAAGACAAGTTCCCAGAGAATTGTCCATTGAGGGGCGAGACGTCTCGCCTAGACGACCATTTCGGAGTGGTGGATGGTCTGCTCTCCCTCGCGAGGCTCGGAGGTGGTGACGAGGCCTCTCCGTCCAACAGTCTCTTGGTCCTTGTGGCAGACGTCGAGGATGATGTGCCATTGACGATTTCCTCCCCCGCGGCCTTCATCCCAGAGGTGGTTCAGACGGACGTTCCTCCCCGGACGTAGCTCTTTGTGTTCCCACACAGAATACCAATGTCCCTCAGCGTCTCTCAGGTAATGCCGATCAGGTTCGTTCGTCGAGACCAACCCATGCGGAAATGATCCAGGAGGACCACAAGGACGGATTCGCCAGCCGGAATAGTTCACACGAAAACCGCTCGATGTCAAACTCCCGCTCTCATCTTCGACGTTCCTGAACACGAACTCCAAAATGTCACCGCGCTTGACGGTCTGCAGGATACTCGAGGGAGCCCACCGAAAGCGAGGAGCAGAGAGTCGTGGCAGGGCGTTGAAGATGATGAAGGCAGAGATACCCCTGGATGTGGCCACTAGCTGTCTCCAGACTTCCTGCATACGCTGGTCCTTAGGCTGTGCTGAGGCCGCATTCATGTCCAGGTTATACGCAGCAGCCAAACACAAAGCCTCATCTGTCGGAACACTCACTCTCCTCCAACAAAGACTCCACACCGGGCCGCGAAAGTCGATGCTAGCGTTCTTCTGAGCGAACCAAGAGCGGAGATTAAAGCAGTGAGTGGTCAGATGCCGCCTCAACGAGATGGTGTTCGCCTCGGGCTTCTCTGCTGCGTCGTGATGGACCGCGGCCCAGATCGTTCGGTGGTCCACGATCGCATCGCGGAAATGGATGAGCAGTCTCTTTGCAATGCCGCCTTCTTGGAACGTCCAGAGTCGCCGGATCCATCTGCTGGTGTAGACTCGCACGGCTGCTTCGACTCGATCGATGCTGTGGAAGTCGATCTCCTCGAGACTCCTGTCCAGAACCAGCGCATGGGAGGCTTGCTGATACACCTGTCGCAGTCTCGCTATAGCTTTCGACTGCAGAGCCATCAGTTCCTCGAGCGGTAAGGGGTTCGAAGTAGCCTGCACCGGACAGCAGATCGTATCGCACCAGATAAAAATCTGCCGAGCCGGATCTGGGTAGAAAAGCGGTGCCTCCGGTGCTTGCTTCACACCGTCGTCCACGACATGCACGATCTTACCACCACGCACATCCTCCACCAGCTTCTTCAGTCGCAGGAGTTGGCACCGCGGCAAACGATTCGCAGCGGGATTCCCCAGCCCATCAGCCCAGACATGCGACAAGGCGACGTAGACCATGCCTTCGACATAAGGCACAACTTCAATCCGAACATCTCCAAGCGCATCGCCTGTGATCCTCAGCACAGGGAACGTATCGCCCTGCAAACACTCCGCAACTTCTCTCGGCGTCGGTCCTGCCCAGTCACAGTTGCAGCCCTCGGTGATATGGCGTGGTCGATAAGTCGGAAGATCGATCTGCAGCTTCTTACACGAATCTGCCCCACAATCCCCATGATCAAGTCCAAGATCAGGTTTCCGCATCCGCAGAAGATAAAACTTCGCAATATTCGAGCTGAACTCCTTCTGCGCCGCCAGGACCTCATGGATACACCAACCATTGCGCAACCTATGCTGAGTCTCGTCCTCAGAGAACTCTGTCCTTACAGTCGAAACAGTGACTTCCCGCGTCGGCCCCACGAAGGCGAGATCGATGGCGCTCGCAAGCGTCTCAAGGATGACGCTCAGCGACCAAACAACAGCGCGGTTGCATTTCGAGTGATGGTCCGCGAGAACGAGATAGTGCCCTTCTCTCGCGAGTATCAAATACTCCTGTAAATGCCTCAATTCCTTCGCCTTCTCCATCTCATCCCAAGACCGCAAAATCTCCGTCCATCTCCTCAACCTCACCATCAACTTTCTCGTATGCACAGACTTCCTCCCTTCCTCATCCCCCTCTACATGATCCTTCACATCATAAAGCCCATGTTTCCCCAAAACCTCGTGCAGCAACCCGAAGAACAGCCACGTCTGCAGAAACTCCTCGACTTCCTTGTCGCCCAAGGGGTTCTTGCTCTCCCATGCGCGGAGAATGATCGCTGTTTCGACTGAGCTTAACTGCGGGACCCCTATGCGAGCGGGATACGTGAGGAAATCTCCATCATCGTACGGTTCTTCCTCGCAGAGGTATGGGATTTCTGGGAGCGGGGCGCTGGGGTTGGAGGGTGCTGGGAGATGGTCCATGAGATTTTGTTTTCGAAGTACTACCTTCGAGCAGAACTTCTCCGCTAAAGATGTTGGTTTCCCGGGATGTTGCTGGAAAAGGCGAAAAGGCACTCGTATATCTCGTCTTTCTCAGAGAAACGAGATCCCACCACTCTCCACCGGATTCATAGCCCGTATAATTCAAGCCTTGAGCTCCCTCTCAAAGCTTCACTCACGCCTTATGTCAAGCCTCCACAATACCCGATCATGCCACCGAACCCCAAAATCGAGGCCGCCGCTGAGCTCATCGTGCCTTGGAGGCGGACGTCTAGAACAGGAAGAGGCCACGAGACGATGACACTGAACCTGTGAAAATTTGAAGCCCCAGAATGAGAATTTATAGTTCGACTTTGTGAGTATGGCAAGAGGTGAAGTCAAAGTTGTGGAACGCGGAACGTTACGCCGCCTCCTTTCCTTTCCACTTTCCCAGCCACCGACATTTCACAAGCCAAACACAAACCATCATCATCATAAAAAGCTCTCCTTTACAAAAATCTATACAAAACCCCCCTCGGTATCTCTAGAAACCCAAAATGAAACAACGTATGCTACAAAGAACATACCTCAAGATCATCATCATCATACAACACCACCTAACCCCCTTCATCTTTGCCCAGAAGCATCGCATGCATTTCATCAAGGCCACCAATTCATCGTCTTGTAACTATCAATCACGCGCTGGACTTCATCGCGCGTGATGCGTTCATGCTGTGGTCTGTTATAATAGAAGGTCAGCAAATTCTCAATTCCCACCCCTCCAAGCAAGAAGAGACAGACACAAACTCACCTAAACCCAACAACCCCCTCAAACCTCCCCCCATCAATACAAAGATCCGCATCCCTCAAAATCTCCTTCTCCATAAACGGACTCAGCGGCCCTCCCTTCCCTTTAATCCCCGCCGCCTCCTGCAAATCCGCCCAGTCGTCCAGGGTATCGTCGTTCACATCATCGACCACATGCTCGAGGTTCAGGCGCGCGAAGGTGTTGACGAGGGCGTTTTGGAAGCCCGTTTCGATCCCGAAGAGGTCTTTGATTATGCCCGCCATGGTGGATTGCGTGGTGTTGCCTTTGTCGACGACGTTGAAGACGAGCCGCGAGTCGTTGGAGGGGACGTTCGGGATGGTGTTGTGTGTGGAGCGCCATTCGGCTGCTAGCCAGCAGGCTCGCGCGGCGTCTTCGACGTGCAGGGTGTTGGTTCGCAGGTCGCCGCTCCAGAGCCATTTCATCGTTTCCTTGGGCTCGCGGCTTTGGTATACTCTCGCCAAGCACAACTGCGTGCCCAACCACCGCCCTCCGTAGGGACCGTATACATTCGGGAACCGCAACACCACCAACCGCAGCCCTTTGATCTTGACCAACTCCTCCTCCGCAGAAAGTTTCCACTTCGCCTGCTTGGTATGCGGTTTACTCGTCTTATCCGTCTCCTTCTGCGGGTTCTTGTTGGGGTTGTACACCGTGCCCGTACTCAGCTCCACGAAAGCTTTCACGCCTCTCTTCGCCGCCTCTTTGCCCACTGTCAGACTCAGCTGGTAGCTGCGCAGTCTGTACACTTCATCCTCCTGCGAGAAACGGGTCTCCCCACCGCAGTTGAAGACATAGTCAAACTCCCGATTCGATCCGTCCGCGCGAGGCGGGAGGTCGAATATTCGCGCTTGCGATTGCTCTCGTGAGGCATCGGCTTGGACGAAGTGGTCGATCGAGCAAGCTTCTTGATGTTCCGGCGCGAGGGAGGCGAGTTGCGGGAGTTGTTTGTCGACGATTCGGAGGATCGAGGCGAGCTTGTTCCTGTGGATGTAGTCGGCGAGGAAGCGACCTATGTATCCTGTATGTTTTCAATCTCGCGATAAGCATATCGTACTTGCAATAGCAGTAAGATTGTAAATCCATACCTAGACCTCCAATTATGAGAACGCTCGGTTTTGAAGGATCGATTTCATCTACCGGCTGCGCTGTGGGCTGCTCTGTACTTGAAGCGGGCTTCTCTCCCTCCGCGACTGGCTTCTGCGATTCCGTCTGAGCAGGTACTTCTGCGCCAGCTTCTGCAGGCTTCTCTTCCGGTTTCGTTACATCTTCAGATTTCTGTTCCTCAGCCCCCGCCGTCGCCTGCACCGCGGTCGTCGAGGGAAGTGCGGGGTCCGTCTCGCTCGTATCCGCCATGAGGGGAAGAAGAGCTTCCAGAAATTCGCTGCGGATCAAGTCGGCTTCTGAAGAAGTTGTAAGATAAGATTGCTGCTGCTTTGAACAAGCACAAGTTCGGCGATGCTTGTTTCAAGGGTTTTTCTGTCGCACGGTAAGGACCGACTGGAAAGCTGAAAATGGGGGTTTGGTTGGTTTGGTGAGCTAGATCGTCGTGCACAGAAGCAAGACGTCGGTCGTTCTGCTTTTCGAGTCAAGTCGCAAAGCTGCTAATCGCTCTCTCCCCGCTCGCGGAAGATTGATCGGATTCGACAGGTCGAGGGGTGGTCCACGACTCGCGCAAAGAAGAAACGAACAGCAAAGAGAGATAGAGTAAGGTGACGCCGGAAAGGGAGGGAGGGAGGGAGGGGAGCGGAGGGCAGGAGAGAGACTATCGCGTTCTTGATTAACGAGAGATTGATGGGCCATGTAGGTGCATGACTAGGCTGCGTTGTTGCTAATGCACGACTGCAGGCCTGGTGTGCATTGGCTTGCAGTCATTCGTGAGTTGGCGATGAATGATTTGCAACGAACCGGGCCAAAGCCTTGCTCGTGCATATGCGACTACTGCATGGAACGAAGCAGGGGCTGCATGGAGGGAGCTGCTGCTGCTTCTTTGATGACCACCGCGAGATTTGGTCGTTGGCGCGCGCGTGCGCTTGGTTTTTGAGGGGTGGGGATCCTGTGCGTGTGGTTGAGGTGATGTAGCATGTTTTGAAGACAGTGGGCATGCGAACAAGTCTACACTGTGAGAGAGAGCTCTGCCGCCCGGGAAGAAATACCATCTCCTCGGAATGGCGACATCGGCCCGAGAGAAGATACAGCAAACATCTGCGGGATGTGAAGACGGCATCCTTTAACAATTGCCGTTCTGATGAAGAACCTCGCAAAACACCTCCATCCCCCAAAGCAATCCTCACAATCATCTTCATCCAAACTCCACATCCCGACACCCTTATCTCACTCTCCCTCCACCTCACCCCATCCATCTCTCTCCATCTCCATAACATTCAAGCCCGCCCCAAAGCATCAATCTGGCCTATCTTCGGCCCAACCACATCCAACTCGGCAAAAAGCACCACCATCATCGCTCGCTCGCTCGGTGCCGGAGCCGCTTGTCCAAGCCCAAGCCAAACATGGCCAGGGGTAGCGATGGGTGTGGTTGTTCGAAATCTCATCTTGCATGCATGATGAGAGGCTTAGGATTTGCTTGCCGCCTTCTCCTGCAGCTTGCATTGCGGAACGTCACAGGAACGACGTAACGGTCTTGCAGTATGCGCGCGCTTGTATGCGGCAGTTGGATGGATAGAGTTTGGGTTAAGGTGGGCTTTTGGAAAGGTAGATTGATGAGATGTTAGTATATTAGACGTCGACGGAGTTTTGCGCGAGAGAAGCGGACTTTAAACAGTTCGAATCATGGCGTGTTGCCGCGGAAAGGTGCGTCCGCTGCTTGCACGGCCGCGGGAATAGGCACGGTGCGATGTTGTTCGTGTGAGTGGATAGCAAAATGCATTTGGTATCTTCATTCCTTCATGTCGACTGGTAGCTACTTGAATTCATCGAGAGGGTTTCCTACGAGCTGCACCATCTGGCTCATCTGGTCATTGACCCCGAACTTATAGACGCTCGTCGTCGCTGGACCAAGTCTTTCGCCGACGTGCTCAATCGAGTCCATATCGTGAGAGGCAATTCACGCTGCATCCGCGGAAAATACTTCTGTCGGCAAATCGAATCTCGGAAGCCATTCGTGCAAACGTTCCTGCTTCTCGCTCATTCACGGCGGTTGTACAGACGCCCGGCGGTGTCGATGGCTCCATGCGCTTCTGCGTTAGCAAAGCGGGTCCTCATGAAACCACGTGGAGGCGGAAACGCGGATCCATGCTGTGCTCGCGAACCATGGGCTTCCTCACTCGATGGGTTTCGAGCAACACAGGCAGTATAGATCCTGTGCTTGCTTCTCGCCTTTGGGGTCTGTGATGATGATTTCGGGCTTCGTTGCTGCTGGCTTGACGGAAATCTCGTCGGGTTCGGTGCTCGGTGGGCTTGCGAGATAGAGTTCTGCAGTGAAGTTGCCTTGCTTTGCTTTGGCAGCTGGTGGGGTTCTGTTGGTATCGGTGTAGACGTTTCGAGATTGACGCTTCTTGTGAGTATTGGACTTGGCCTTGCCAGATGCTTCTTCTGCTGTGTGAATGTCAGTACTAAGTCCAGCTCAAAAGACAAGAAAATGTAACATACCCGCTGCTTTTGCCGCTTGCTCCACAACACATCTCGCGTGTAACCAGTTGCCGCAGTCCGCATTTGGGCATTCGATGATCATCTCGTCTGGGTTTTGAGGTCGATTGTCCTTGCAGATCTGGCGTAGTTTCTAGCTGTATGTCAGTCGAGCGCTCGTCTTTCAAAATCGAAGCACACACTCACCGAAAATGTCTTACTACCGACATAGTCGAACGTCTGCCTCCAGAAATACTGGTTCTCGTTGACCATCTGAGCGTCCGTATCGTTCTCGTCCCAATGAGTGACATCGATCTTGCCGTTGACCGTCATAGCATCGATGACATCCATCTGATTCGTCGGTATCAACTCATTCTCGCCGTGGTAGTCCTTGCGACCCGAGTCCAGGTCTTCAGGACGATTGAGCCAGCCCACTCGTAAGTAGACGTGCTCAGAGTCGAGCGCTCGCACCTCCAGAACCACCGCTTTCCACTGATCGGCCAGGTCAACTCCAGTATCTGCGTCCTCGCCGCCGTCGCTGTGTCCAACTAGAATGCAGTCTCCTGTTGCTATGCTCTCAGATGCCACTATAACCGTCAGTACCAACCTTCAAACTTCACCCATGTGCTCCTTGCTCACCCGTAAACTTCTTGTATGTCTTCAAAGCTTCCCACCTATCCCTCGGCTTCACTTCGTACTGCACATTCAACCGCTCTTCGAATAGTCGGTCCTCGACCAACATTTTGCTGGGCGCATCGCGCTTGCGCTTGTTGGAGACGGGGATCGCATGTACTGTCCACGGACCTTCAACAGTCTTGTCGAGCCATTCCTTGATCTTCTCTGGGTCCGTCGAGTTGCTGTCTGATTTGCGCCCCCGCTTGCTCGGTTGCGCGGTGGTGTCTTTTAGCTTCCGTGCGACTCTTCCTTTCTTGCTGTTGGCAGCCGTTGACGTCTGCTTGGTGCCCATTGTGGCGGGCGCGCGACGAGGTTGAAGATGCTCGAGATTCGCGGGTTGTCGTCAGGACGTGGTTGTTTCGCGTCGGCTTGTGGGATTACTTGTCGCGCGCGCGCTTTGAGATACGAGGCTCAAAAGCGGCAGACTCGAGTGTCGTGGCGATCGCTAGAGATGGTTTGGCCGTTTGTGATATGATGCAGAGAGTGTTTGTTTGTGGTGCGAGGTTGGGGAATTATTGAGGTGGCCGGTGAGATCGAGACGCGCGAAGCCGTGGTGCAGGGTTCGAGGAGACGACGGCAGCCAGTGGCGGAGAAGACTTCAGTCGCGGATCGTGACAACACATGATGGATTTATTATCTGCCAAATGCCTGTGAATAGTACGATTTACATGTGACGAGGCTACTCTTCAATATTGCTCAGAAGCTAGATTCATTCACTCACTGCTAGAAGTCTGGAACATCAATCCATCACTAGAAGCGCTACCACAGGTATAAGCGCAGGATTAGCTCACTTCAGCACAAGCAGTAGCAGTTGCGACAGCACATGCCTCGTTTGGTCAATCAAGAGCTATTACGCATTCAGGATCTTGTTGTCAAGAAGACCGAATCGATACATGTCTCGCACGAGCTTGGCAGGGCTGGTTGGAGGCGGCCTATTAATAACGGACAGGTGCTCGCGGACTTGCAGCGGACGAAACAGGCCTTTGACGTATTCGTATCACTTTCCCAAGCGATGCGATGTCGAGTGGCTCAAAGTTCTCTGTCCAGGTGAATGACGATGGAGCTCTCTGCCCGTGAGTGGTGAAGATGCTCCGGCCTTCGCAGCTGACGTTGGCGATGCTGGAGACGTTTGAGAGTCGGCAGCGGAACGGGCAAAAACCAGCGGCGGAGGTGTCGAGCTGGTGAGATGCGTGAGGAGGATTGGGTGGTGGTGGTGCCTTGCAGGGTTAGTGGCTGAACAAGCGTTGCCGACTTCCCTCCAGAACTCAGTGTGCGAATGTGCTGGCCCAGGTGTGGACGGAGCTGACGAGGACGACGGCTTGGCAATGCAATGCGTTCAACTTGGTCGGCTCGCCGCGGAGCCCTTGAAGCCGGCGGCGGAGGAGGAGGAGCAGGAGCAGCAGTAGTAGTAGTCGATGTCCGCCGCCAGATCTCACCAGTCCGCTCTCGTTCACTACTTCGTCCTCACCACCCGATACGCACCTGCAACATTGTTGAGTGCAGATTTGGATCGCCTGCGGTCGCGCATCGGATGAGGCTCTGGATTTGACTTTGTGCTGATCGGGAGCTGGCCACGGACTAAGCGTCATTGCCACAACAGATCCGCGTTGATCCTGGACATCTGCACACACCTCCGCAACACTCTTTTGCTGCAACCTGCTTGCAACTCTTGGACGCTCGTTTCCCGTGACCTGCCGCACTGCAGCTGCCACGCGTAATCCTCTCTCCACCGCCGCCAGCGTCTTCGTCACCCCTTTGCGGCCTCCAGCTCAACACAAAGGACAAGGAGTCCCAAGAGCCGCCCGGATTACGCGGCTACGGTGAAGAACAAAGAGAATTGACGACGAGAACGAGTTGGAAGGTTGTACAACATGCCTCGCAATCGTGGTACGTGGGAACTTCGTGCCAGACTTGCGGAACCGTGCTGTGGTGCCACCTCCAGCGCACACCACGCCGCACACTTCCCCTTGCAGCGTCAGGCTGACATTGAACCGCAGTCTTGTCCTTTATGTCCCAGTGGGGAGGCCAGCGCTCGCCCACCACCGCCTCGCCAGATCCGGAGAAGCAGAAACAGAAACAGACGCCCTCGCCGCCGAGCAACGACACCCACAATGTCCTGAAGAAGTCGCTGAACCTCGATACCGCCAACACGCCCCAGTCGATAGTACAGAAGTCCGATCCTTTCACCTCGTCCCCCGCCCCACGCTCGCCCGCAACCCCATCACGAGCTCGAGCAGATTCTCGAGCAAACACTCGCCCCAACAGCATGATCCAGACATACAATCCTCCCCAGATGGAGGTTGCCAACGACACACCACCCGAGTTGGCCCCCATCTTCAGCTTCCTCAACAGCCACTCCAACAAACTATACCAGGAAGGCTACTTCCTTAAACTCCACGATCTTGATTCAAGAGGGAGACCAAGTCCGGACAGAGTATGGAACGAATGCTTTGCACAACTTGTTGGGACTGTGCTGTCTTTGTGGGATGCCGCCGCACTCGACCAGGCCGGCGAGGATGGTGAGGTCGTTCCAACCTTTATCAACCTCAGCGATGCCTCGATAAAGATGATTGAGTCTCTTCCAATGAACGGAGCACAAGGCGGGAATCTTCAGAACGTTCTCAGCATATCGACTGCCGCCAACAACCGCTACCTCTTACATTTCAACTCACTCAACTCTTTGACACAATGGACCGCGGGCATCAGACTCGCCATGTTCGAGCACTCGACTTTGCAAGAGGCGTATACAGGCTCGCTCTTAGCAGGCAAGGGCAAGTTCTTGAACAACATCAAGCAAATCATGGACCGCTCCAGATTTGCTCATGAAGATTGGGCTAGAGTACGATTCGGAGCCGGGACACCTTGGAAGAGATGCTGGTGTGTCATTTCGCCGCCAGACGAGAAGGAGTATCAGAAGGCCCAGAAGACACTCAAGAAGAATTCTGCGTACGGCCGCGCGCAGGTGCCCAAGGGTGACATCAAATTCTACGATACTCGCAAGATCACAAAGAAGACGAAGCCGATCGCTACCATTACGGATGCGTTTGCAGCGTATGCCATCTACCCGCAATCAAAGCCTTTGATCGACCAGTCCACACTGGTCAAGTTGGAAGGCTTGGTGACCATCCACGGTGGACAGGAGACTACCACCGAAGGCTTCGTTTTCGTCATGCCAGAAGTACACCCAGCTGTGTCTGGCTTTGAGATGATGTTGAGATGGTTGTTCCCAGTGTTTGATACGTTCGCACTCTATGGGCGGCCAACACGATTGATCGCGGACACTCTGGACCAGAGAGGTTTGATGTTTGCCATGCCCCGTGATAGACGTTACGGATATCTTGATATACTGGACGTATCCGGCCTTATTCATACTGAAGGAAGCCAGAACTGGAGCGAGCGACAATGGCGCAAGGAGATGAAGAAGCTTACCTCGACGAGAATGACCACTATCATGGAGGACTCGCCGCGCAGCAGTCGCCAGATGGCCTACCGCCGTAACACGACCAGCCGTAATTCCCTACCACCTGCGCCACGAGCTGGTGTCCAGTTTCAAGAGCCTAGCATTCACTCTTCTCCCGGTTCGAGGTCTGGATCACCTGCCGCCCGACCTGGTGCCGAGCCAATTATCAAGCGAACAGACAGCGCGCCTCCTGCTGCACTGCATATGAGCCCACACAAGCGATCTGCTTCTGACGTCTATGGCGGCCACCGCAAGCATATGGTCGAAACACCCTCGCGCTTGTCTTATGAGCAGAGCAGAGATGACGACGATGAACCACCAGCACCACCCCGCCATGGAGGTATACTAGGTGCTGCTGTCGATGCCGCCGCATCGCCGCCACCGGAGCCTGTCTTGTCCCCGCCAGCTTTCCAGCACAGCCCTAATGACCGCCCTACGGCGCACTTGAATCAAGCACCCGAGTTGCGTAGGCAGCACTCAAATGTTGATCAGGCTACGTTGAATGAGATGCGGGACGCCGTCCGCCCAACAGATGAGGACATCGACTACCCACAATCGCAGGCCCACCTGATGCCGAACGGCGCATTGCCATATCGTAATCAGCAGTTCGCCTCGTCTGAGCCCAACCAGCAACGTCTCAGCACCATCCCTGGCTCTCCGTACGGCAGCAACGACAGCGAATACTTCCACGAGCAGGGACACATGCCACAGATGGACGGATTGGTGGAAGGGACGGGACAAGCCCGCCCTGACCCGCCTCAGCAACTGCATTCTAGTCATAGTATTCAAAGGAAACCCCTGCCGAGGCCACAGGAAGCAGGGCAAACTGCTTCACGTCAACAGGTGCGTTCTACAATGGAGCCCGACTCACCTGTATCATCCACAGGAAGCTTAATGGATTTTGTTGACTCCGATGCCATAGAACGGATATTGAATGATGAGCGCGCCAGCACACTGGCTTCGAGCTCATCTGCCACGCCCGACTATGAGAGCGTTGAGAGCTCTGACCACGAAGTGAAGAAGAAGCCAAAAGAGTGGGTGCGACCGGGAAAGCTGAAAACTGTCGGCGATCCTGAAATGCACACGGGCGAGGTTCGTGCTGGGAAATTGGATACATATAACCAAGATCTTGAAGAACAGACGGCGGAGATTCCAACAGTGTCCTTTGGACCGACATACTCTTACAAGCCAACCTCGCGGCCTGGCACCAGCGGTACGATTACACCAGGAGATCCGGAAGGCAGACGATCTCGATCTGCCGATAAGTTGCGGCAGAGCTCGGGATCAAGATTGAGCGGTTTCTTTGGCGCAGCACCCAGTCCAGGCGAGAACAATCGCAATTCCTTTTTTGGAGGCAGAACAACACCTACAGGTATCGAAGGCCCTGAACCACCGAGTCATCGACACAGCGTTGCTTGGCCTGGAGCGTCCCCTAATTCGCCAGGTCGGGCATCGCCTGAGATTACTATGAGCAAGCGCAAGACTCTATCGCCTGAAGAATGGGTACAGCATCGAGCGGAACTGGCGGCACAACCACAAGCACCTCAGCGAAGATCAGTGGTGCCGCCTCACCTCGCACACCAGAGGCATGCTTCTATGAGTGCTGTCAACACTATGAGACAGTCTATGTCCAAGACTCCGCCTCCCTTCTCGCGATCGCCATCTGGAGAGCTGCTGCAAGACCAGAACAAAACACCGCCCAGCCGGCCCAACTCGAGAGGTGCTGGTGCATACTTGAATCGCAGTACCAGTGGTCTCGCCAGCAGTCAACAGTCTGCGACACTCTCTGCCAAAGAACAGATGTACGTTGCAAGAGCTAGCGGTACCCCATTGATAAACATGGCATCCAATCCAAAGGCGCAGGAACAAGCTTCGCCAGGTCTTATTGGTGCATTGCAGGCTCGAGAGCGAGAGAAGGCAGCTCTTACTCAAGGCATGCGTAGCAATGCAGTTCAACAAGCTATCGCAGCAAGACAACAACAGCAGCTACAGATGGAAGCTGAAGCACAGGCCCAGATGCAATACGAGATGCAACAACGTGCCCAGCAACAAGCACACGCTCAGATGCAGTATGATATGCAGCAACGCGCTCAACAGCAAGCTCAAGCGCAGGCTTTGGCACAGGCTCAATGGCAGCAGATGCAGCAACAACAACAGGCCATGGCCACTGGTCAGCAGCAAAGACCTGATACGCGAAGACATAGCTCGTGGAGACTTAGCAGTCGGCCGCAGTCGATGCATATTCCTCAAACACAGCAAGCTCCTTCTCAGGCGGGTGGTTATGGTGGCCAATTTGTACAGCAGCAGGGCATGTCGCAGCCTCAACCTCAGCAGCAACAGCAGCAGCAGAGTGGGCAGAGGTGGCAGCCGTTTGCGCGGAGGTGATTGAGAGGGATGTGTTTAGGGGTTGATTCAACTTCAATACGGCAGAATAAAAGTCATACTTGACAGCGTTGCTTTGTGTCTGTTTTGCATGGCGATGGAGTGCTTCGTTGCTTCTTCGTTGCTTGAGAGTACACCGATGGCATCTCTTGGCGTGAACATACGCTTGCTTCTAGTGCATTTGTGACGGTTTGATAGAGCTGTGTGGGTATACACATTATATTTGAAATTGAGAGATGAGACTGTGCTCTGGTATTATGGTGGACATGTATGTTCGTTTTCCGTGTCACAAGGTTGACGGACCGGAGCAAGAAGGCGTGCGAGCTGGATTCAAGTCACAAAGGGCCATTCAGTCACCGCGTCGCTTAGCTGTGACCTTGCACGCCTATATAGCCATAGTCGCTCGAGGGAGATGGTTTTGTCCATATAATATATGTGTTTTCGATACCGAAAGGACTTCGCGCGACACAGGAGGGTTTGGGGAGGAATTTCGGGAGGACTTTTGGGAGGACTTTTGGGAGGACTTTTGGGAGGGTTTGGGAGGGTTTTCGGGAGGGTTTTCGGGAGGAATACCTGAAAGTAAGAGTCAGGCTCTATGGTTGCCGGTCTTGATTTGCATCTTCTACGGGTTTGTGGTCCTGCTCGAGTCGAAGTCAGACTTGCATTGTGTTTGAACGGCTGTGGTGGTAATGTGCGTCCAGTAACCGGATTGTCGTGATTGACGGTAGTTGGCCAGCGCGTGCAGTCGTGTTGGACGTAGAATGTATCTGACATAACTATTTATTTTTCTCTCTTTAGTTGATTCTGATGGTCGGGAGGAGTGGAAATGCTGTCTTGTTGGGTCCTGAGGTTGAAAACGGAGTTGTCGTGAAGTTTTGTTCCGCGGCAGACTGCCAAGCTGCATGGACGCAATTGATCGAAGACTCAGACTTCGACGAGTTTACTTTTTGGCTTTCGTGTGGATGATGTGTTGCAGTGGCAGCCGGGGGCCGGTGAATGCTCATTTTCGATGAATGTGCCTTTCGGACTTGGATAGATGGTATCTTGGAGGATTCAGCGCTGATGCGTGGTTATCATGCCATGTTCGGGCATGTTAAATGGTCCACGATAGGGAAAATTACGCCTTCAAGTGTGCGAGGGAGTATCGTATGCAGCGTTGTTATGTCAATGTGGAATGCGCCCACCCACGTTTGGAGAGAGCACTGTATGGTAAGAAGAGAGAAGACCCCATCAACATCATCGGATGAAGCAGAGTGACCACGTGCCTTGAAGTCGTTGCGGTTGGTTCATTCCAGTTGTTATCGGCTCCAAATGTTATCCTCGGCGAGCAGGCTTTGCGCGATGAATTTGTCGTGCATGTAAGTTGCTGTACATAATGGCCGGCGGTCATAGAGAGGCCACGGACCATTGGTGGCGGCCACTCCTCTTGGAGGTTGAAAGCTCAGGGCAATCGTCATCCTGGGCGGCAAAGCTGCTGCCAGAGTGGCCGGCCATTTTAAAAGCGACCTCTCCCCGTTCTCTCAGCAGCTCTTTTCCAACTCTTTTTCCACCTTGATCGACCCCGTATATATTCTCTTCCTTCTTTGGCTTTGTTTGTCAAGTGTTTTCAATTCCATGATCAACTCAGGCAAACTCTACAAAACTCAACAGACTGTCAAAGATCGACACTGTTTAGCAGCGACATTGGCAAGGTCCATACCCTTCGAGCACAAGTCAATTCATCGTCCTTAGATCTCGCGTCCTTTCTTGCATGCCTTTCCATTCATGGTCTCTCTTATCGTCACCACCTCTTGGCTCTCACCCACCTGCAATCTTACTTACTTCTCAAAACTTCTGCTAACGTCGTTCCAAAGCGGCAAAACGAGAGCCTTTAGGCCAACCCAAGACTTTGCTCACGGCGACTCACGACTATCGAAAGATGGAAGACTTCCAGGCTGGAGCATGTCGACTATTGCGGCCTTTGAATTTCTTCACCAACGGCTTCAAGCTCTTCGCCCCCACAAACCTCGCGACCCAGGCAATGGCAAACGGCACAGACGTCACCTGACCGATCACCAGATCAGCGGCACTGCCTCTGCACCGATCACAGCTCGAATACGCCCTATGACGAGGCTGTGCATGTCTCTACGTTGCTCCGCCTTGGCACAGGATGGCTTTATTGCGTTACGCCAAGGCCGGCCTCACCGCGCCCCCGTTCCAGAGTACGATTGACTCGATTGCCCTTCCATAGCTGCGGCCACACGTGACTCGAGGACGCACCGCGATCGGTTCGCCGGTTTTATCTCATCACCATTTCGACTGACATCCTTCGGCCCAGGAGAGCCCGAGCCAGAATGGCTCCCGATTGGAGAGATGTTGTTGCTGGCGGCGAGGTCTTAGTCAGCATTCGCGGCTGGCTTTGGAGAGATTCAGGCATCTCGTGTATGCAGACTGAGGTCAGAACTGGCAGGCGGGACGAACGCCCTTTTTGAGGGCGCAAAAGGGCCGGACTATGAATTCCGCAAAAATCTATCTGGACCGAGTTCCTGAAGCTGCCAAAAAGCTCGCGACGAGAAACAGGTGTTTCCTACCGATTTTGAGCCAAATTGATGCTCGTAGGACGATTTTGCCACCGCGAAAATGTCATCAAATGGTCCTCACGTTCCACCTTCCTCCACTTCTTCCCAACGACGCCGCACGCAAAACTCGGTTCAGTGCACTTGTCCAATTCATGGGTACGTCATGGGAAAATGGAACGGAGAGGGAACGAGTGAATAATGGATTTTAGGGATGCCCCACAATATGGTCATAATGCTCTGGATCGCGGCTCTTCATTCTCGAATTCTGACATGTCTGGCCATGACCTTCACCTGCAGGCGTTGGGAAGCAGTTTCAACAGCGTTGACACGTTGGAAGAGCTCTTTGACTGGGTTAGCGATCAAACGTGGACTGACCAGGGCCATGCTTCGCTTGGGAGCGATGTCAGGTCGCCAGGCTAGCAAATGCACGCGGTGAATGTTCGAAAGTTCGCGCATCAAGGCGCGGATGTCGACTTACAGAACGATACGACTGCGAGTGGATGCTTGATCTCCGAAGAAGTCACAGATGGTGGCCCTTCACAGTCGCCATTTCACACATCGTCCGGTTTACCCCAAATTGTTGCACGCAACGAAACAAGGGCCAATGATGCATCTGGGCCAATTATAAGTCACCCGCTAGACCAGCCGTGGTCCCAAAGGCACGAAACGGCTCCGCAGAATCGCCATACCGAAAATGCGACCCAGTCAACAAATCTGCGGGCGAAAAAGCTCTTGCCACCGTTGACCCGCTCCAGAGCTAGACCTCGCGAGGACAAGTGCAGGCATTCTTGCACAGAAGCCCCTTGCACGAAGGACTTCTCCAGAAATGCTGATCTTCGCCGGCATGTGTCTGATGTTCATCAGAAGAGCGACAGGTACTATGAGTGTGCCGAGGATAGGTGTCCGCGCAGGACCAGAAGGCAAGACAAGATCAGAGACCATTGCCGGAAAGTTCACAAGCGGGACAAAGGCGGCGAGAAGTTCACCGTTCACTTCAGAGATGCGCCGGATGGCTGAAGAAGCGTCGGCACCTCAGTTCGCGCTGCTGGGGCGAATGCGGACTCGACCCTGGGCCTGGGGTTGCCTCGCCAACTGCGGCAGTCTATCATGATGGTCATTGCCACCATTCGTCGATGCAGCCGGCGGCCGACTCATATCGACCTCCACCAAGGCTGGGGCTTCCCAACCCACCCATTCCACTTCCTTGTCCATCGGCGCAGCACGAGACTTGGTTTCATTGGGTTTGGGCTGCCAATCAAGCTCGTGGATGATCGCTGATGCAAGATGGTGATGCTCGATCCTTTCGCCTGGAAGTTCTGGCTTTCTCCCGTGGGGTCCGTGGCGGAAGGACGTGTTCGAGGGCGCCTTCTTCTTGGCCAGATTATGTCGATTTTGGGAAGAAACACGACAAGTGCGCTGAAGATTCCAGTGGTTGCAATGCCGGCTTTGGCCTCGGTGGAGAGTGTGGGTCGCGGCGCTGCGGTAGATGAGGTCGGTGCAGGTTGCGCGGCTGTTGGGGTCGACGTCAAGGGGAGTGAGGTAGCAGGGGGTGTTTTTGGAGGATGAAGATGACGTGGTGGCGGACACGGTGAATCGCGACAGGTCCTTCGGCTGTGATGTGTTCAAGAGCGAGGGCATGTGAAAGGCATCAACACTCGCTTCAACGCCAGCAAGAAGACTATTTGTTGCCTGAGGCAGCCAGCCTTACGCATGCGAAGACATTCGTTGTAGCTCTTATGATTCTCATTTGCTGAAAAGCCTACCTACAACGCAGTGTAGGTTCATCACACGAAAGTTTGTGTACATTTTGTCATGGTCAGCTTCTCTACACATTCACTTACCACATCGACGCTAACGATTTACCGCACATGACAAAGTTTGTTGATGCCTCAGGCATGATTAGTGCTCCCTCAATTTCCAGCTTCCGGTCGAGCTCCTTCCCGACGTGACAATAACATCACCTCCTTGAAATATTGACCGGCTCGGCGCCAAACACTCCATACGCATTTCAATTAAGCTATGCTGTCAATGTTTAACATACCCGTGAGGCTCTGCTGCGCCGATCTGCCCCTCCCATTGACCTTTGAAGGCGTCCCGGTACTCATTAGACGCCATCGGCAATGTCAAGAACTCTCGATGCCTCATATCCAAGATGGCGGGACGACCTGTGGAACCCAGAGCACAGCAGGCTTCATGTTGTCACGGAATGACCCCAGATAAGAGCATTGCATCGGACTGGTTACCAGGAGTTTCAGCGGGAATTTGCCTGAGAGCTCTGTCATGCCTGTGATCAACAGCAGAAGATCACGAATTCTTCTCTTGTCCTCGTAGAAAGAGACCGAGTCTAGAACGCAGTACACCGGGCTTTCTTCCATCTGCAGGCGTAGACAGGCAAGAAAGAAGTCGCAGATCGACTCAAAGTCTGCCGATAGACTGTGTATTTGACAAATCTGCTATCGAACGATCTGTTGACGGAGTCTATGCATGAACAGTATAGATGCAAACACCAATGATCCCATCGTTCTTGCAAGCCGTACGTGGGGCCACCGGCTGCCAAATCTCCTGGCCAAAGCTGCAGAGGCCAAACTCATTGGCACGTTTGCAGACCACAGCCCCTTTATTGCGCCGGTACGTATTTTATTTTGCCGTAGTCGAAGACGGTGTACATGCTTCTCAGCATCTGGCATTGGGGTGTAGATCTTGTGCTACTCGCCAGGGTTGGGATCAAAGCATCACCGCCAAACAGCAAGCGGAGAGAGGTCTCCTGGGCGGCTACCGTGCAATCCAGGGCGTTTTGAGGTCGAAAAAGTCGACGATCTTTGGGTATTTACGAGGTCAAGTTGTAGCAAGCGTTAGCACTCGCATCTATGAAACTAGACAAAGTCAACATAGAGGGTTCCGCATGCCTCGATGGCATCGGAATCTTCTTCTCATACCATCTGAGTTGGTCGTCCAGAGTGAAAACAGCGCTGGTGATCGCCGTGACCAATTCAGAGATCCTGGCGTCGAGGAGGTTGAAGGCTGTTACACCATTCTGCCAAATGATGCCGGAACTCACTGCTATGGCTCGACACTTGGATCCTGGTCTGATCCATGCTCGGGGTGAATAGGATATAGAATCCTGAATAGGACAAAGCTAAGTGTCATTTTGGTTTCGCAGTGAAGATCTTTGAAGATGCCGTCGAAATTTTCACGTAATTCGACGCGAACCTGTGTCTCTGTCGACATGTCATCATCCAAGTCGAAGTCTACAGTCCTTCTGAGGATCTGTTCCAAGGTCCTCGCGTCCAGACTATTCCTTGCTGCAATTGCCTGCTGTGATACCAGCTGCATTCCACAGTTGCATATCGACCCTATCTCAGAAAACGCAAGGTCGAAATGGTACTGTGGCCGCAACCCGCTCAATGGGTATTCACTCATCAGGCGCTTCCAAGCGCGCCGGACCTCCAGTGTCAAAAACAGGAAGTTGGACGTCAGATCTTGAGGAAACATATCACAGACTGGAATGAGTCAGCGATTATTCCAGCTCTAAGAGTACTGGGAAGCGTACCATCGGCGATCCTATCGCCCCAACACCAAAAGTCGTCTGAGACTACCTCGTCCAGGTGTTGCAACATTGTGATCTTCTCTGGTATCTTAAAGTGCTCAATAGCTCCCCACAAGCGATTGCTCAACCAGACTTGACGGCGATCCGATGATTTGGTCCGCTGGCGAAAGATATTGAGAGCATACTCCGTCCCATACACAGTGTCACGCATCTGCTGTACCATGTCAGAAAAAACCCCATCCGTAAGTATCTCTGTGGCTCGCTCTAGATCCTTGAGCCAGACACTGTCGGTCCCATCCCATCCTGTTCAATGTCAGCAAAGCACAACCTCGCCTAGGGTTTACACACCGAGCTTTCTATATCGAGTCACAAACTCCTCTGAAAATCGAGGCGACAGCGCAATTCTCGATGTCAACTCTGTCCTCCGAAGTCTAACGTTGCTCCCAAGGCTTGCGGCGACGGTTTCTAGGCCCTGAAGGTACTCTTCATACCCATAATGACCACCGACAGCGATTTTTGCAATCTGCTCGCCGCTGGCCTTGACGGTCAAGGATGCGTTGTGTTGCTCCCGAAGAGGTACTAAAAGTTTGAGGCCTCGCTTCTCAGAAGAAGGAAAGACTTCCAACGCACGAACTAAGCTTGCCTCGTTTCGGAAGATGATCATGGTTGTGTCTGAGGCGTTGTCGAGCAAGATTGAATTGATGCATTGAACATATTCGCTCGAGATGATGAAGTGTTTGAACATATCAGGCGAACCAGACCGATAAACCGGCATGTCTCGAAACCAAGACATCACCATGCCAGGATTTGCGTGAATGACCGGGTTGAGGTTGACAGTGGCCTCGTGGAGGTTTCTCGCCCAGGACTCCTCGAAGGAAGGTGTCAGATCGTTGTGCCTCATCAATATCAGTAGCTTGGGACCTATGGGACAGAAGAAATGCCAACTCGTCCATGATAATGAGGACATTGGACCTTCAAAAACACCGAATGCGTTTTGGGTCAGAATGAATAGGTCGTCCGCGTTTTCAGGCCTGCAGATGTGAAGTGAATAATTGTCCACGTATTCTACGAACAGCTTTTGTTGTCGAAGTTCCGAAGCGGGAATGGAAGCTACGGCTGCGATATAGCATCAGGAACAAGAACTTGTGGAATTCATTCTGTTCTGTTTGTGACCAGCGTGAGCACGCCGTTTGCTCCACTTTAATGCTCCTGAACTCGGGATGATCGGCGATGGAAGCATTTCTTTCCATTTCTTTGATGATGTCGGCCGCTCTCTTCTCAACTTTGCTAATGGCCTTTTCAATTTCATCCCCGTACATATTGTTCAGCCCGCAGATGTAGCCGCAGTTTCGCCGCTCCAATACCATGTTGGCGAAGCCGTTCTTCATGGCCAGTGCACTAACACCTGCTTTCCTCTGTGCCCTTTTCTTAGCATTCTCCCACGCCGCATCGCTTTTAGAGCCATCATTCAAGGGCTCGACGTATTCTCCCCACTTCCGTAAGATGAACTTTGGGATGAAGTGCTGGTACTGAGACATTATCAGAATCGAGCCGTGTTTGGCGAAAGAAAGGTAAACTCGAGCAACTTCCAGTGAAAAACTTCCAGCTATCTCCAGTTGAGATGGAAAGACGTTCAAAGTGAAGTCCACATCATGACTTCAGCCGAGATTGCCTCTGTCTCGGGTGCTTCTAACCTATGCTCTCGGCGAGCTGGCTGAGCTCCAATACCACTTCGGTTCTGTATGTGACACTGCATACGCCAAAATCTTGCAGTAGAGCAGACGTTCACGAAAGCTAAGCGCCCCAAGCAGATGCAGAGACGGAATTGAGCGCTTCTGATTTCCAAGACGTGGAGATCCAATGCTCGAGGTGAATCACCAAGCCCTGGGCTTCTCATGTCTTCCTGGCATGTGATGCAATATCTCGGGGAGCTGGGACTTGACCTGAATTCTGCAACATGAACCATCCTGCCGCTCAGAGCTCTTTTACATGGGGCGTACTCCTTCGAGACAGGCCCACAGTAAGGCAGACCAGATGAAAGGCCGCCCTCCAAGAATTCGTTCTTCGGCGGTTCTGGCGGTGCAAGGCAACCTTCCAACCAGCCGTTCGGACGCAGACAACGACATGCCGCACGTCAAGGATTTCAATCCTTCGGCGTCGCAAAAGTTGAGCTGAGCGACAACATGCGAGAGGGCGGCCTCTGGTATTCAGTTCCAGGAGCCATTTGCCTTCTGTAGTGCGTAATGCGCAAGGGCGGCCTCATTGAATGTGTGGTCGCCCTCTTCTGAGGCGCAGCTTGCATGAGGTGAGGTCGGGTAGGCCTTGCTCTGATTGGACGCCCCTTTTGGGCACGGACTCCTGCCAGCTCAGCTGCCTCCGCGTTGCATCGTCCCACCTTCGCCAACTCTGCCTTCTTCAAAACCAGCCCCCAACCAACACCGGTGAAGAACGAGGTTTGTGATCGCGGTTCTGCCACATGTCTTGCATTCTGCTAACCTCTTCAAGGAAATCGAACACCATGCTCCCCTGTCGTGGCATGCAAGTTGCAACTCTGTTCATCCTTTGAGGGCGGCCTCTTGGTTTTGGCGGTCCACCTTGCCCTGTTCTCAGTGCTCACTAACATGTCGGCCTGGTCCGGTCATTATTGAGATATAACATCGTCTCGCTCGTGGCCGCCGTCTGCCACTGTTGAGACATTCGCTCGACTTGTCTCCAGCATCCAACACCTTAACAGCCGCAGGCCTCTTGCCAACGCAGCTCATCAAGCTGTTTCGTACAATCTCCCCAACCTCAAGAGCGACTGACATACCTCTGAGTAGGCGGCAGCATTGTTGCATCCTATCGCCTTCGGAATCTCCTGCAACTTGTTCGACGACTCTGCTTGAGAGCCCTCACGGCGAGAACGAAGTGGTATGATATAAATGACCATTGACTGGCGTTCAGACTCTTGTCGCTTTTATGGTATTCGTCTCGCAAGACGTATACTACAATGCTGCTGCTCACCTACGCAGAACTCAGCTCGACGATTACTCATCGACACTTCGTCTCGCCGGCCCCCACAATCTGGCTTCATCTACACATCAGTCATCAAGACCACCTCTCTGGCTCGATGCATACATTCGAGAGGTTCAAGCCGCCTGGCCGCCCGCTCCGCCCACAGCCTGAGTCGTAACCACAGCAGCTCAGCTTGGAAGTCCACGCACTCCCACTGCTGACGTACATCTAGTCGGCGGCCTCCCTCGCCAATGTCGATGCTCATTGGTCAGCTTCCCTGGTCATGTGACTCCCTCTTCATTGGTTGGTCGCCCTCAATGGCCTCACAGCTGGCGGCCTCTTCACTCTGCCTTGATCTTGCTGTCGACCGTCTGTGATGGAGCTATGATTGGCCGAGACAGACCTTCAACAGGTTGCCTTGCGCTCACAGTGTGCTGCTCGCGGATGAATTGTGTCAAAGCACGGTCGTCGCAGAGAGGGCGTTCGAGAGGGCGTTGCTCTGTCTCTTTTCATGAAACTCTGCGCTGCGCCAGTTCTGCCTGCTTGTTAGTTTTGTGATCTCCCATGATTTTCGCTCTCACATCCACTGCCGTCGAACACGTCTCTTCACTACTGCCACCATACCTTGTCGACCAACATGTTTAGCAGCAAAGACAATATGTTTGGCTATAGCTCGTCGTCGAGCAACAGCCCATGGACCGACACCATGTCTTGGGAGACTAGTCTTGCTCACAATGGGTACGTTCCGATGTTTATCTTCGTGATCAAGTCAACATGTGGTAATGATATGTCTCAAGTGGGCTAGCCCATGACCAGTACGGTACCTCGCTGTCCGATCTCGACTTGTTCGCCCTTGCCACCACACCAGGCCAATTCATCTTCGATCAGTCGACCGCACTACCGACGCCGCCCTCGTCATCCAACTCTTCGCTCTACGATTCTTTCTACAGCCCGGACTTCACCTCTTCTCCACCTCCAGGTCAAGGTATGTCACGATACTTCTTCATCTGCTCGTATCATGTGAGGTCATGTGCAATGAATCACTGCTCTACACTATTGTCTGGCAGTGACTCTACTATATGCAACCCAGCCATAGTCTTCATGTAGAGACAGCTTCCAGCAACAACTGTTCGATGTTATCGGATGTCAGACAGAATTGACCCATGCCACTAGCCCAAACTTCATTGACCTCCACGCAAGTCTTTCCAACCACCGACTTTGTGCTGTTCCCAGAGGGCCCCCAAAGCTGTGCCACAAGTTATACACCACCTCCTCAGCCTCAAGTCGCCCTGCAGCGTTCCGTCACCGTCTCTGAGTCTGCTGCTGCTGTCAGGGCGGCCAAGCATCTCATATATGTAGACAAGGCCACCTCCACAGCCCACGATCAGCCGGCTGAGCGGCCCAATAAGAGGATCAAAATCACACGAACACCACCGGTGACCGAGAAAAGAAAGAAGCCGCGCCACGATTGCAAGCTAGGCAAATGCAGCAGATCCTTCGGCCGCAACTCTGACCTGGTCCGTCATCAGCAGGACTGGCACGGCCTCTCTGATAAATTCTATGAATGCGAGGCAGATGCTTGCCTGTATCGCACGAGGAGGAACGATAAGATGAAGGAGCATTGTCAGAGGATGCATGGTCATTTGAAGGGCACTGAGAGTTTCTCTGTTATCCCTGGCCGCAAAGATGAGTCGGGAGAGGTTGGGGGCGCGAAGGGATTATCTGAGGGCGACTAATGGATGAGTGAGCGTCTCTTTCGAAAGAGATGGCGCTGATGATGGACGGCTGCCTTCTCGGCTCTGGGTTTCATGGCACCGGAGTGTTGATCATTGGTAGCTTTAAACGACAGTATCGATAGTTTCCAACATCAATGAGTTGATAAATCGTGCTCTAGGCCACAATGAAGAGTTGCGGCTGAAGAGGCCGCCCTTGAAGACGAGGTGAGGTTGATGTTGGCTTCGGGCAGATCCGCTTTCGCCCTAGTTCTTCCACGTCACCCTTTCGTTGCCTCAACTGCAACAACAGACGACAATTCATCGTATACTATCCTTCGCTCTGGCCATCTCGAGCGTCTCACGAAGCGCCTTCTTACATACACACCGTCATCAAAATGTATCAGCATCGGCCCATCGGGAAGAGACACGATATCAGGCCGTCTACAGACTTCTGAAGATTCGCCGCCCTCTTGCAGCCACAGCCACCAGACGACGTAGCATTCCCTGCCACATGATACGCCCTGTCACAGATTCTGCCTGTTGGGGCCCGTAAAATGTGCATTGCCGAATGGTTCTTCCTATTGGTCGGTGTCCCGACCGGTGAGTGCTTCACAGAGGTTGTACTTTGACCGGTATGCCATTGACAGTCTTCATGCACTCACGCAAAAAGACGACTTTCCTCTTTACTACTTTCCACTCGAAGTGCCATTCATCTGTGTCGAATCTTCCTTCAATATTCAACTTTTTCATATTCAAAATTTCCTTACAATGCCGGCAATCCTAGGATCTCAACTGCAATTCGACATCCCAATGGCACGTGACATTCGGCTGAAACGGAGATGTCCCTTACTGGAATTGCTCTTCCCCAACGATGCAAATTGGCGATAGCTGAGGAACGACATCGACATCGAACCGGACGTTGGGCATGAACGACGCTGCATGCCTGCAAACGCAACAAGACATCCACAATGAAGACATTACGAGCGTGGCTATGCCATATTGGTACCTAGCCTGAGGTGTCAACAACAATCATCCACGCGCACGGCTGTGCCGACCCAAACCAACGAGAGCGAAGGTTGCCAATGGCCTGTGAAGGCGAAGAGAAGGCAACGTGATGACGAAAGACGCTGGCGCTACAGGCGGCCTCCTGTCTGGCCGCCCTCTTGCATCTCTGCTCCAACTCGCCGCCCCCGTACAGAAATGAGGGGTTGATTGCGATAACGCACCTTGCGTGTTCCACACCGACAGACAAGAGCATGGGGACTTGAAGAATTGTCGTTCTGCTGTTGGAGGCCCTTCTGCTGCCAACGGGGCTACCCATTCACCCGCCTACGATTGAACTGCAAAGGGGCGGCAGCAATATTGGGAGATAAAAACGGTGAGTTGGGATCTGAAGGGCTTCTTCTGGACACCAACATCTGAGAAACGAAATGGGCAGACAATACACTCCAGACCTTGAGGCACAGCTCGCCATGAGGCTGATGGGATTTGACTCGAGCATCGGCACTGATCACTTCAATGACGCGCTCCCCACTATCCCCAACACTCCCATGTAAGAGAACTTTGGGTGATGAGGAGAGACCTCCATGCTGATGTCCTTCCAGGGGAGAGACCCTCGACTCCGAAGAGAGAATGTTCTCCATCGGCAGCGCTAGACATCAAGGCTCAGACACCGGACTTAGAAACACTGGACCCTATTATCACGTACTTGAAGAAGTCCAAAGAGTTCAAGGAGCAGACCTCAGTACACGTCACGCTGGGTCATCAGCCTCGAGTAAGGATCTTAACAACTTGGTACTGAATCATTCAATTACTGACGTCGAGCTTAGGATCCGGGTCTGTAATCAGCGCGTATATCTATCCCTGGGCATTGGAAAGGAATGCCTCACAAACACCGACATTGGCCAGTGGAAGTAGCCGATCCGACTCTGGCGGCTCCGATGAGTCAACACCAGTTGGCACGCCGCGTTCTCCTGAGCACTATCGGCTTCCAAACAATCTAGATTGCGTCCATGAAGGATCGGACACTCCCACGCCACCGCGAAAGCCGGTTGCGAAAGTCAAGGAAGGTCGACCCCAACGAGCGTCCGAACTCCAGCGCGACCGCTTGACATGTTATTGTGACTACGGCTGCGAAAAGGTCGCCGAGGACGGCACCCGCCAAAAATTATCATTCACTCGAGGCTCCGACTGGACCCGCCATTACGACTCCAAGCACAATCCTGATGCAGAGATATTCCACTGTCCAGAATGCACGTACAAGAAGACTCGACTGGATAAAGTCAGGAAGCATTGGAGGGCGAAGCATGCAGGAGAGGGCAAGGTCTTCAAGGCGACGAAGACTCAGCGTGTCGTGCCGGATCGGTTGCGGGGCAGAATTCATGGGACATGGGGTTGAGGTTGGATTTGCTATTGTGCCATTCTATTAACGAGTATACCCTCCGCTTCGCATCATTTATGAAAAGATGAACTTACCCTTCCATCGCCTCTCATATATACGACCTGTCGTCCACTTTCGAGTCCAAGCTCACGCAACCCTCATCACGTTACCAACCTCACGGCTCAGTAATCCACCGGCATCCCCAAGACGTTTCATGTCACCCCAATCGCCCATCCCGTCATCAACTCACCAAGACTCTGCTTCTTCCCATCACGGAAGTTGCAGAAGTCCTGCTGCATCCATCCACTAGCTCCCTCCCTCCATCCTCAAATCACCCATACGCATCTGCATGGATACCAGGGCGAGGAGCAAAGTTGGAAGCTGCTTCTCATCCCAAAGCAGTAATCGCATAATCACTGTTCCGCGTAAAAGTAATCCTGCATGCGTCCCTCGCGGAGGATTCGCGGCAGCGGCACAGAAGAACTTCTGGATGCGGAAGTTGCTGAAGCATGCATTCGTTATTTTGAGCAAAAGAGATGCAAGGTGACTTTTGGGGTTTCTGAAAGCATGCGTTCGAGTGACGTCCATGTTGTCGGTTTGCAATTCCCTGATTGGGAACGTTGGCGGGGTTCGCGGCTGTCAGTAAAGATCCTTCATACAGTATCGTCTATAAACTTTCGAACTCTGCTTTCAGAGTTTCAGTCCGAGAACTTTGCGAAGAAGTCAGACGTTCCTACGTGTCATTGTAGGGGAGTGATTTGTTCGAGGTTATTGGGCACTACTGGGTGTTCGCAGCGGGAACTGTAAATTTTGTAAAGGGTAAGTGCACCAAGTTTGGGAAATGTTCTTTGCTGAGGATGGATTCGGTGATTGGTGATGGCTTTTGATGTTTTGGGACGTGATGCTCTATGGGGTATATCAGTCACTACTTTCAGGAAATGTACTTTTGCTGCCGATATTTTCGACTTATGCATCGATCCTCTCGATCACAATAGCGCTTGCGCCTCCACCACCGTTGCAGATACCTGCGCAGCCAATCTTGGCCTTCTTCTCCTTGAGAACGCCAAGCAAGGTCGTGACGATACGAGCACCACTGGCACCTAGAGGGTGACCGAGAGCGACAGCACCACCGTGGAGGTTGACCTTCTCTTCACTCAGACTAAGGAGCTTCATGTTGGCGAGGGCAACCACGGAGAAGGCCTCGTTGATCTCAAAAGCGTCGACATCCTCCTGCTTGATTCCAGCGTGCTTGAGCGCCTTCGGGATGGCTAGAGCTGGTGCGGTGGTGAACTTGGATGGGTTCTTCGCGGCGTCGCCCCATCCAAGAATCTTCGCAATCGGCTTGAGGTTGTGCTCCTTGACATACTCCTCGCTAGCAAGAACCACAGCAGCAGCGCCGTCAGACAGTGGCGAAGCGTTGGCAGCAGTGACAGTTCCACCGTCCCTCTTGAATGCAGGCTTGAGTGACCGCGTGGCATCCTCGTTGAACTTCTTTGGCTCATCGTCCTGGTCAACTGTAGTGTCTGGCTTTCCCCTCGTACCCTTGATCGTGACTGGAGCGATCTCCTCTTTGAACCAGCCGTTCTGCTGTGCTGCAATAGCCTTCTTGTAGCTGCGAATGCAGTACTCATCCTGCTCTTGTCGTCCAAATCCGTGGTCATTGGCACACTCTTCACCCTGCAGACCCATGTGCTCATTCTTGTACACATCAGTCAAGCCGTCCTTTAGCACGCCATCTACAAGCGTCTGGTCACCAAACTTGGCTCCGTTTCGCAAGGTGGGAAGGTAGTGTGGGACATTCGACATGCTCTCGGTCCCGCCTGCCACGATGACGCTGGCCTCACCAGTCAGGATCGTTGCTGCACCAAGAGACATGGCCTTGATCGAAGAGGCGCAGACCTTGTTGATCGTGGTAGCTTCGACGGATTCGGGGAGGCCAGCGTGGATAAGGCATTGTCGTGCTGGGTTCTGGCCAAGGTTTGCTTGGAGGACGTTGCCGAAGAAGACCTCGTCGACCTGCTCAGGCTTGACGCCAGAGCGTTCGACGGCAGACTTGATTGCGTGAGTGCCGAGCTGAATGGCACTTTGGGAAGCAAGAGAGCCTTGGAACATGCCCGTTGGTGTCCGGACGGCGGAGAGGATGTAGACTGGTTTCGGAGGTGCCATGATTACGAGTTGTTCAAGGGATTGGGAGCTTGTTGGGTTGGTGTAGCGGAATGTGGGTGAGAGAGAGTAAAGAACAAGGCGTGGAGGTGTCTTTTTGAAGCAGAACAATAACAACAAATTTATTACATCGTACGAGGGGCAGACAAGGATGCACGTCGGCGACTCGGGCACCGACGCTAGCCATGTGGGGAGCTTGAGCTTAATCTCAATTCCGAGCCGCGCTAATGACTCGCGTCCAAACTTCTCTTGAAAGTTCGTCAAAACTCACGTGTGTTTGCGACAACGACGACACCAGACCACCGCGCCTCAAGCCAGACCCCCCTGGCCGTCATCCACCATGGACGACCTCTACGACGAGTTTGGCAACTTCATCGGCGAGCCCGAGGAGGACAGCCAAGAGGGAGACGCTGGCGCATATGAAGGTGAGCAATACCTGGACGATGAGGAGAGCCAGGCGGGCGGTGCGGCGGAGGAGGGGCAGGAGATGATGGACATTGACGACGAGGGCCCTTCCAACGCGGTGGTGTTGCACGAAGACAAGCAGTACTATCCGTCAGCGTCGCAAATCTACGGTCCAGATGTCGAAACGTTGGTTCAGGAAGAGGATACGCAGACGCTGCAACAGCCCATTGTGGCACCTATTGAGCGAAAGAAGTTCACTGTCGAGGAGGAGGATCTACCACCGGTTTACTTCGACAGAGGGTTCATGGCCGATCTGATGGGCTTTCCCGAACAAATACGAAACATTGCGCTTTGCGGACACCTGCATCATGGAAAGACGAGCACTATGGATATGCTTGTCACTCAGACGCACGATCTATCATCGCACATGCAAGGCAAGACTGGCAAAGCGCGGGACGACCTGATACGGTACACGGACACGCACATACTTGAGACAGAGAGGGGGCTGTCGATCAAGGCCAGCCCGATGAGTCTGTTACTGCAAGGCACAAAAGGCAAGAGTCATCTCTTGAACATCATCGACACGCCAGGACACGTAAACTTTGCAGACGAAGTTGCTGCGTCGCTACGACTTGTGGACGGTGTGGTGTTGGTGGTTGATGTTGTGGAAGGCGTGCAAGTCCAGACAGAGCTGGCCATCAAGCATGCGGTGCTATCTGGCCTGCCGATGGTCTTGCTGATCAACAAGATGGACCGTCTGATGCTTGAGTTGAAGCTTCCTCCGACAGACGCGTACTTCAAGTTGAAGCATGTGGTGGAAGAGGTAAACACGTACATCGAGAACACGATTCCAGGACAAGGCGAGAAATACAGAGTCAGCCCAGAGAAGAGCAACGTGGCATTCGCCTGCAGTAGCATGGAGTGGTGTTTCACCCTGCCCAGCTTTGCGCACATGTATGCTGAAAGCTATCCCGACGCACAATTCGACGTCACGGAGTTCAGTCGGAGATTGTGGGGCGACATTTACTTCAACCCAAAGTCAAGGAAATTCACCCGCAAGGCGACGGAGGAGAAGGCAAAGAGGAGCTTTGTTCACTTCGTTCTGGAGCCAATCTACAAACTCTACTCCCACACTATTTCAGAATCGCCAGAGGACTTGAAGAAGACGCTTGCAAGTCTCGGCATCAGCCTGAAGCCGTCGCAACTGAAGGCCAACGCAAAAGATCTCCTCAAAATGGTGTGCGAGCAATTTTTCGGTCCTCCCACTGGCTTTGTGGACATGGTCGTTGAGCACATTCCGTCTCCACTAGAAGGAGCCAAGCAAAAGCTGGCGCAACACTACACTGGGCCGTTGGATTCAAAGACCGCCACATCTATGCTGGATTGTAACCCGGAGGGACCGCTTGTCGTCCACGTCACGAAGCTATTGAACACCCAAGATGCGCAAGGCTTCCACAGTCTTGGAAGAGTGATGAGTGGCACGGCGAGGCCAGGTCAACAGGTGCGAGTACTAGGTGAGAGCTATAGTCTTGACGACGACGAAGACATGGTAAACGCAACGATCGAAGATGTCTGGATCGCCGAAAGCCGATACAAGGTTTCCGTCTCTGGCATGCCAGCAGGCAACTTTGTGCTTCTCGGAGGTGTTGACAACTCAATCATGAAATCAGCTACTATTGTGTCGCCCAAGCTGCCAGATGACGAGGACGCATATATCTTCAAGCCAGTCACTCACTTCTTCGAGAGTGTCTTCAAAGTTGCGGTGGAGCCTATCAATCCTTCCGAGCTGCCGAAGATGCTGGACGGTCTACGGAAGATCAACAAGTCTTACCCTCTTATCACTACAAAAGTGGAGGAGAGTGGTGAGCATGTCGTTCTTGGCACTGGCGAACTGTACATGGATTGTGTTCTTCACGACTTGAGACGACTATACGCTCAAATGGAGATCAAGGTGTCAGATCCAGTCACACGATTCTGCGAGACCTGCGTGGATCAAAGTGCGATGAAATGCTACGCACTGACGCCAAACAAGAAGAACAAGCTCACGTTCGTTGCGGAGCCTCTGGATGACGGCATTGCAGAGGACATCGAGACTGGAAAGGTCAGCATCAAAGATTCCGTTCGTAAAGTGGGCAAGTTCTTCGAAGACAATTACGGATACGATATCCTGGCCAGCCGCAACATCTGGGCATTCGGACCTGACGAGATAGGACCGAATATATTGCAGAATGACACGCTGCCTTCGGATGTCGACCAGAAGCTTCTGCGAAGCGTGAAAGATACCATACGCCAAGGTTTTGCATGGGGAACTCGAGAAGGACCATTGTGTGAAGAGCCAATTCGAAACGTCAAGTTCAAGATCACAGATGTTGAGCTGGCGCAGGAGGCCATCTTCCGTGGAGGAGGTCAAATCATTCCCACAGCGAGACGAGCCTGCTACTCGTCATTCCTGCTGGCTGGCCCTCGACTGATGGAGCCCGTTTATTCAGTCACGATGCTTGGACCTGCGAATGCCGTCTCATCTCTGTACACTGTGCTGGCAAGACGACGAGGCCATGTACTGAGTGATGCTCCAGTCCCCGGGACGCCTCTCTACTCTGTCAAAGGGTTAATCCCGACCATCGACTCCTTTGGCTTCGAAACGGATCTACGCATTCACACGCAAGGTCAAGCTACGGTATCACTGGTCTTTGATCGTTGGAGTATCGTCCCGGGCGACCCCCTGGACAAGAATGTTAAGCTTCGTCCTCTAGAGCCAGCAAGTGCCCAAGCGACCGCGAGAGACTTCGTGCTCAAGACGAGGCGGAGAAAGGGGTTGGCGGAGGACGTGACAGTCAGCAAGTACGTCGAGCCGGAAGTCATGAGGCAACTGAAGGAGACCGGGATGCTAGATTGAAGAGTGAGTATGGAGACACTACTATCCATGATCCGAGCATCGAAGCCACCTGCTCTCGCGATATGAGCAGCTAAAAAAGCATGCGATCACGCACACGTGGCTAGAGCCGCTCGAGAGCGAGTTCGAGCACATCCCGAACGGAAGCAGCGCCGCAAGCAGCAACGAGAAAGTCCATGACAGAAGTCAGCTCGTCGAATGTACGATACCTGTCCCCCTAGCGTCGGGCATTAACGAAGAAGTCACGATCAGAGCGAGGGAGACAAACAAAAAGGCAGATAGATGAATCCCAATTAACAGAATTGCCTCAAACAGGCAGTTGCAAATTGCCAAGAAGCGAACTTCCCTTAGCTTCCCAAACTCGAGATGCCAATGATAAGCATGCAGAGTACTTTGTCGCGTAGCTTGTTGGATGATGTGGCAGTGTGTCCGATGACGTTTCCCATCAAGTGGCATCGCTGGTTGTTGTTCGGTGACCCGGCATTACGAGCCAATATGAGAGTAGATTAAACGGGTGGAACCTTGGCCGTGATCGGCACTTCTAACAATAAGCGAGACATTCGTTTCCACACGCACGTACTTTTGCAGGATTGTGCGTAGAAGGTTGACTGTTCGTACTTCAAGATGATGCTGAAGTGATGTATAGAGGACGTAATGTTCGTCATTGGAAGGTTTGGAAAGTTTAGAACCTCTGGAAAGTTTGGGTTTTTGCAACTGCCTATTTGGGAAGTTGAAGGAGGAAAATGTGGAAGGGTGGTGGGATTGGAGCTTCGACAGAGAGGCAGATAACAGTTACTGGTGAGTCGATGTTCGTCGGGCTGGTTAGGATGCGTTGGTCGTGCTTTTGTCGTTGCTGGGATATCGATAGACTGTGTGAACCTTTTGTTTTGGCTGCAAGAGACCGCAATTCACTGTGCTCATAAAGGGCATATGAGAAATTGGGGCACTCAGAGATAGTCAGGTGACTCGAACACATGGCTCTTTAAAAAGAAGACGTCTCTTCTTTCCTGTCTCTCGAGACACAGCCTGAGTAGACCACACTTGACGCAGCGTAACAATTCCGTATATCCATCCTTCGAACGCCTTTCCCACCTTGAGAGTCAACAGGATCCCATACGAACCGTTCCTTCATAGGTCCTTGCATAAACGAAATTCGAGCATTCAAACAAATCCACTATGCTCCTCCGTCGTCCTCATACCGGTGTGTCGAAAACACCACCACTTGCCCACCTCTGCATCAACAAACCCGTCAGCACTCCATCCCACCCACAGTCAACGAAAAGAAAGAAAAAAGAATAAACTCACCATCCCTCCTCCAAAGCAACTCACTAAACCCCCTCATCTCCACATCCGTCCACCTCACCGCAATCTCCAACCACACACTCCCCTCGCCCCTCTCCTCATCAACCTCACTACTCACCCCCACCACCTCCATGAAATAATTCGGGTCCTTCTCCATCAACTCCCTCGTCCCCGCGATATTCTCCTCGAACGTCAGCGGTCGCGGATACCCGTCCCAGAGCGCCTCGAAATCGGGCGCGACGTGCGCTTTCGCTTCGCGCGCCGCCGGCGAGGAGAAGGTCCAGTCGCGCGTGTTGCAGGCGGTGATGCCCGGGAGAGAGAGGCGTTCGAGTTCCGAGGCGATGGGGGATTTGGGTTTGTTGGGGAGGGTGGAGGAGGGCGTGCTGTAGGTGGTGGCGGGGGTGGAGACGGAGGTGTTGCTGGTGTCTGGTGTCGCGGCGGGGGTGGGTGTTTGTTCCCATTCCGAGTTCGAGGCGCTGGTGGTACTTCCTGCTGCTGCTGCCGCTGCTGCTGCTTCGGCGGCGGCGGCGTGCGCGGCTGCTTTCTCCTCTAGAGCCTTGCGGAGGGCGGATTTGGGGCGAGCCATGGCTTTGCTTGCTTCTTGCAGAGATTTGGTCCTGGAGTCTCTTTCTTCTTGGCTTCGTTGAGGGTTCTGACTGGTGTTCTTTACGGTTCTCGAATGCAAGACATCTTTGTTTTCTCCCGGCGCAGGTAAGTAGTCCCGTACCCGCTCGCCCAAGCAAGCTGCTGACTTCAAGTATCGTACTACTCACCTGTAAGCTTCCCTCGGGAAGGAATGCCGTAAATACGGAAGGGGACAAGATACTGCGCCTCCGTGCATAAAACCTGACGAGAAGAGCCCTAGGTCCGATGCTACCAGATTAGTGCCAGAGGTGGAAAATGGGATCTGTTCATAATTGCTCACACGTCGTTCGTTTGTTTCATTTCTGCTGCTGCTGCTCTGTACACAATGGACATTTATACATTTGGCGCGGCAGTGTCTTTCCGTCCCTGTAATCATGGTCGAGACACACCCGGTGGAAGACGTGGCGGCACGCAAACACCACCAGCGCCAGCCGGCGCGTTTCTTCGCTGTCGCTGGCGTCCCTCTCCGCCACCATCGACGCGGGCGCTTTCGCTTTTCCGCGCGACATTCGTCGAGCTTCTTGCCCACCGCTTCGCTCCAGCATTTTTCTCGTCTTCTCTGCTTCGCGCTCTTGTTCTCGAGCTACCCATTCATCCCACACTACTTCGCCGATACCAGGTCCCCATGCGCGACGTTTGCATTGTTCGCAGACTTGTGTTCGTGGTCTCCAGCCTCGTTGTCGAAGTTTGTTTGCTTTCTCAATGTCTACAAAGACGTCTGAGCCTAGCAAGTCGTGTGCGAGGGTCAAGACGCCCTGCTCGAACGTGTAGGCTGAGAAAATGTCTGACAGTACTGCACGTAGATCTGCCAGCGAGGGCGCAGATTTTGCTGCTCTTGCGAGAAAGGCGCGAAGCACACGTAGAAAGCCTTGATGATCAGTTTGCGGTTTGGAATGCTCGGCATCCTCCTCCTTGCTCCTGATACTTGGCGTTGCAGTCGATGCCATCAGTGCGGTAAAGGCTTGCTGGACCTGAGATCGCAGTGCTGATGCAATCTTGGTAGAATCGATAGACTCTGACGCATGTTCTGAAGGCTGGCTGTCGAAGTGCTTCAGCGAAGATATAGAGTGTTGAGCCACCTGCACGACGACATCGACAAGATTCAACCACAAGAACTCATCCAGGTCGAGATCATTCTCATTGATATCCCAGGCAATGTTCGTACGAGGTCGTGGTCGTCGGTGAGTTGTGGCCGTCTGGCCCTGGCATAGCCAGATGCCGACTTTGGTGTATCTCTCCAAGTCCTCAACGAGGTCATCGCATGGCTCTTGAGAGGCTGTGACGTCGGAATTGGACGTGGCCGCATCAATCAAGCTCGTCAATGCACCCTGAAGACTTTGCATATGAGCCACCAAACGATCCATGGCGTCTCGAGCTAATCCGTCTCTCGCAAGGAGCGCTACAGCGGCGTCAATGACACCACTGCTTTCCATTGCTGGCAGTACCTGTTCAAGACGCAAGTCACCGGTAGGAAGAGTCTTGATGTAGTCTGCGACGTGCATCGGGTCGTGGCTACACATCAGCCGTACATACTGCTCGGTGAAGGCAGATTGCTGGTCCGCTGGAAGGGTTGAAGTCGGCGCCTGCTCATGTCGAAGGAGCGAGGGCTCCAAGAGCACCCGCAAGAAGATGAATTGCTGATGCGAGTCGTTCAGCGTATCGATAGTAGACTGTAGTAAGTCTGGAGCCGAAACCGCCAATGTCCGAGCTGTGAGGACTGTGTTGATATCCACAAGGTCTTCGGCATGTCTCGAAATGACTTGTTTCACCGAGTGGACTTGCCTCTGGCTGAGCGCTGTGCTGGGCCGGAAGCATGTGGTGATGCAATCGAAAACGTTCTCTTTGTCATCTGGATCCTCAAAATAGGTCTCCAGAAGTTCGGTGAACATGCGCTCACCGCGATAGACGGATTTCAACACCCGGAAGAACCTCGCGCCTCGTAATGAGTCGATGAGGGCAGGTACATTTGGAGGATGATAGGCTGACAGGAGGTACTCCACACTCAGCTGGCAGTCCTCTCGCAATGACTCTTGTGGTGGATGGCACAGTCGTTGAAGGATGCCATTCAGCAGTGCTCCAGACAGAATGAGCTGTCCAGGATACTTGGGCAGACTGCGTGCCACAAACATGTCCAAGTAAATGACTTGAGTGGGTTCGAATTCACCTTGCTTCATGACATCGAGAAGGTACGACATGATCTGCTGTCGACTCTTCTTGTGGGTCGAAGCTCCGTTCGTGAGGATTGTCCCGTTCAATCCAGAATCATCATCTTCGTTGAGAAATGGGTCTTCGAAAGCCTCGTTTAGCATGCTCATGAAGCTCGCAGTATCGAATTGAAGCAGCAGATCGAGATATGGGAATGCAGGCTCGTCATCAGGGTCAACCGTGGTATGAAAGACCTTGCTGCTTCCTTGCGGCCATGGAACAGGCGTGCCTGAGAAGACATAATCGTAGAGATCTGTCTTTGCTTGGAAGGCCTGTTGATCCTCAATCAGATCTCCACTGGGGTACCGTCTTCCCGTCAACGAGTAAGCGAGAAACGGAAAGACTTTCATGGCAGACTCGTAGAACGGATTGTCAGTCAGATCTTCCTCCTCATCACCAGCCTGCAGCATCTTCACCAGCGTGAGTAGATCGATCAATGGCGTCACATAGTCGCCGAGTGCCTGTGTCCAGATGTAGATGAGGGCTTCATAAAGCTGATGCTGTCGACAGAGTGTCGTCACTTGATCCAAGTCAAATGAGAGCGGGTCTAGTCGAAACAGCAACTCCTCTAGCCGTGGACCTTGGTTCTCGCCGATGAAGTGAGCAACAAGCGCCTTCACCACCTCTGCAGGCAGCACATTGACCTCACCATCCAGGACATAAGGCTCTAGCGTGGCAATGAAGATCGACTCTTCCTCCGCTTCTTGAAACCATTCAAACACATCTGCAAACAGATAGTTTGTCTCTTTCATGTTGACACATGCTTCGAAGCATACCTCAGCAAGTTCTCGTAATCGTATCGGCCGTTCATCGTCTTGTTGAGAGAAGGTGTAGTTGAGCGATGCGGATATCATGGCCAGAAGTCGCTCCCTAACCATGTCATGTCGTGCCTGGTCATTGTCCGCTAAGCCAATGGTCACGTTGTTTGCGCTTCCCGAATAGTAATCTGTAGCAAGTCGTATTGCTGCAATGTGATCACCAGCTTCCATCAAAGCCATCAGTCTGTCTGCCCAGTTCGAAAGCGTGCCCACGGTGAGATCGTTGAAGCCGAGGAGGAACGTTCTGCCCTTGTACACCTTGAAGCTCATGTGAAAAGCATCTGCGACCACGCCATGCAAAGACGGATCTTCAGAGTCAAGCCGTTCTACGATAGTGTGGAGTTGGTGCGAGAAGAGATCCTGGTGATATATGTGCCGATGTAGCAAGTCGATGGAGTCCGTCACCTGCAAACTACCGTCCTCGACGATCAGGAGTCGCTGGCTGATGGTCAACACAGCCATGACCGATCGACCGAGCCATTGGATGGCCACAATAGCTTCTTCCGCTCGCCATCGGCTTCGTGCATGGAACTCCAGTGACGGCGGCTTCTGGGAATCGGCAGACTTTTCATTTTCGATGACCTTGACTTCAAGGATGGTCAAGACATTCGACCAGCAGTATACGAGCTTGGTGTCCGAGTTGCCCTTTTCTGCATCAACGCTCGTGCTCTTCAGCTTCACGGCCGGAAACCAAGCCAGACACCCACTAAGTGTGCTGTGCGGTGATATCTCTTTCGGCCGTGGAGATTTATGTTGGGTTTGCGCGATTGGCATAGTCGAGACAATGACGAGGAGATAGGGAGTAAGTAACGCCGTCAACCCCATCCCATCCGTTGCCTGCTCGACGTTACCAAGAGGCAAGGGCGAAAATGCAAGCACAGAACTGGGCTTCTTCGGTGCTTCAACGTTTGGATCCGCTGGTGGATATCGGCCTAGTAATCGCGTGCTTTTGATAGTCCTCGTAACAGGTCCCAGCCCTCGGCTTGCGATATGTGAAAAGGCCATCCCTCCTGCATCCGCTGATACCAAAGCAGTGTGCCTTGTGCCCAAGAATCCGAGATGGAGGATCGCCGAGTTTGAGAGATGCCCATCAACATGTTGAGGTTCCTGAAGAACACTTCGATCTAGTGGCGGGACCTGTATGAAGGGCCGTGAAGGCCGATTGATCTCCCATGTGAAAATGTGTCCATTCGCGTGGCCGCTTGCTATGGTAGAGTAGTCAGCCGCGATGGCAATGGCCGTGACTGAACCGCACTCGGTCGCCTTCGTCCCCTGTCCTATGATGATCTTCAAGGTCTGATGGTAATCGAATCCCAGGATCAACCCCTTAGAAGTCCCTATAGCAATCAGAGCAGAGACAGCCATACACGTAGGTCGGCCAAAGTTGCGCTTGCCAGCCTCAGAAAACGCCTGTCCTGTGATCTTCCGCAATTTCGTCCACCGAACGACTTCCCAAGGGGCCTGTGGAGTCTCGGTTCCGGAATCTTCATCTTGAGAGGACACACCGGAAAGTCGTGAAGTGAGAGATATCTGTCTGGACCGCGGACTCAGAAACGCTGGCGACTGTGCTCGTGGGGATCCGGCTGGGGACGCAGATAGTCGGGTCTCGAATCGACGCTCAAATGGCTGCAACGCTCCTGAGGGAGTACGTGGTACTGTTTTGCGCGGGGACTGAGTCCTTCCCGGTGACGACATCAATGAACCTCGCAGGGAGGGCGTATCGTCCGGTATAGATCCAGAATCAACAGGGCTCGCGAGTGGACTCTTCGCATTAGGTGTTGCTGGCCCGGCATCTGGTCCAACGTCTTCCACTGGCGTTCCTGGGACTTCAGCTTCATCTATAACCTCCCTGCTAAGTTGTGCATAATCTTCATCCGCGATCTCTTCAGCCGGTTCCCCATTATTCTCCAGGTCGCCATTCTCTGGTAGGGCCTCATCCTCCTCAACTAGCTCTTGCTCCTCCTCCCCTGGCTCGACATAGTCTCCGTAGTCTATCTCCTCTTCTTCAAGCTCATTCTGCAGCCTGGCCTCAGCATTGCGTACTGCCTCATCCGCCTCCACATCCTCGTTAGTGCCGCCTTCCTGGCCTTCTCCAAAGTTGGAGCTCATCGGTGTCCTCTTCTCTCGCGCATTTCGTTGGCTCGGTGTCGATTCGTGGAGAGATAGCTGCAAGTACGCTCCCGTGTACCGTCCACTCAAGCTGGACGTACGTACAAGGGAGTGTCGAGGTGGCTAGGCGTCGAAGGATTGGGACTCGTAATCGCGGCTTAATGCCTCAAAGTTGGTGATGTGAACCCGAATTTGTCAATGTTTGCTTCGTCTACTGTCGTTATCCGTCCATGAAACTGTGTAACAAGGTTCTTTTCGCCGCGTAACTGAAGAGGTCGTGGATATGTGTTTGCCTAAGGTGTGATCCAAGTCGGAAGCTGATCCGAGAGCTCCATCCAGCTCTCCCGCGGCGATCATGAAGCAGCTTCGCGACGTCGTCATTGCAATTGACACACACCAATCCAACACCACACAATATCACAATGTCGGGCATAGGCGCAGACCTACCGCCACACTTACTGGCGAAGAGGAAGAGACAGGAAGAGGAGGCGGAATCAGATGCTCCGACGACGGCTTCCGGCGCAAAGCGACCGTCCAGTCCAGATGAACCTGAGAAACGACGGAAAGTCTTAGGACCTGCGATGCCACCAGCGCCGCTGGACGAAAGGCCAACCGCTCCACCAGATGCCGAAGACGAAGACAGCAGCGACGATGACGATGATTTCGGCCCTTCACTACCCACCGAAGGCGCCGTCACTGAGGGCTTGAATGAGGATGAAGAAAATGGCATTGAAGCAGAAGCACCCGCACAGCAGCAGCTGAAAAGAGACGACTGGATGATGATGCCTCCCACACAGGATGACCTAGCAGCACGGCTGGACCCTACGAAACAAAGACCCAAAGCATTCAACACAGGCAAAGGCGCAAGAGGACCGAATACAGCAGGTGAAGACAGCTCGACATGGCACGAAACGCCTGAGCAGAAGCAGAAACGATTGCAAGACGAGATGATGGGTATCAGCAAGGCTTCGGCACCTGCGAAATCCGGGTCAACCAAGAGCTCGAAAGTGAAGGACGATGCGACGAAGCACAAGATCCAGGAGCATGTACGTCTTCGTTTCCACATCCAAGTTCCGGAACCACAGGGAGGAAGTGCTAACAATGTTATGCAGGACAAGATCCGCGGACCGTCATTGATGGAACATCACAAAGCAACGAAAGGCCCCGAGGTAGACGACGACCCAAGCAAACGCGCCTTCGACAAGGAGAAGGACATGGCCAGTGGCGCACAGTTCTCGTCCACGCAGAAGAAGGAGATGCTTCAGAAAGCGAGCAATTTCTCTGGCAAATTCTCGGGCGGCACGTACCTTTAGAGTCCAGAACCAAATGAAGTCCACAGCATATGGCATTCCCCGTCGTTTCTGCATCGTATTGGGCAGCAACATGCACATCAGGCTGGACTTGGCAGTCGATGGTGGTAAACCTTCTAACCGGTATGCAACAGAGTGTACGGAACGGCAGTCGTCCTCTCCAATCGTCACAGGCATCATCCATGAAGAACCACAACGGCATCTTCCCGTAGGAATGCCGCTTGAGCATCGCCACCACAACCAGAGAACCACATCTCTTGTGGATGTTCGATAGACACCAGTACCGACGGCATTCTCAGCAGACCACTTCCACCCACGCCATGCACCCTTCTCATCAGTGTGCGAAGAAGTAAAAGACGGGACAGGGTGCGACAGTTGATTAAACTTTCCTTCTAGCTCGCTTCCATGCAGCATTCTTTTCACGTAAGACGGGTGTTCGCCGCCGCGAAGGGAAAAAACGCCACAGATTGCGTGGCCGCATGCACGTCAAACACTGGGTGTGAAGTCTATTCCTTCAATGATTTGAGTGGTGGTGAGATACAGGTACTTCTTGCACGGCTGGACGGCTCTCACGTCAGAGTGAAAGGGGAGAAGGGAAACCGTTTGCGAAATTTTGTGACGCAGTGAGCTCGTGAGGAAGAAATACGTGCAGCTCGCAATCTGTCCTGTCTGACAGTCTTCTGAGCTTGCGTCAATGGCTTGAACAAGACACAATCTTTCGTGGAGAAGAAGAAGATAGAATTTTCCTCAATGTTACATCGCCGCCGCGAAGAAGGAAGGAAGGAACCGGTAACCAGACATGTGACAGGCGCAACTCGTCTGTGCGTGATGAGAGTTTCGAAAGAATGGTGCGACGTGAGTTTCGTCTCATCATCAAAGGCGCCTGGCAAATGCCAGCAGCTTCCCCTTTAGGCTTGGCGCGCTTGCTGCAACCCCCTTCCTTCCTTCCTTCCTGCCACCACCAAACGCCAGCGCCAGTGAAACCTTCCAACCACCGCAAACCAGCCTTCCATTCACCATCACGATCCGAACGGACACGATACTCCTTTACCGAAGACAACACTCACTTCCATCAATCAATCGCTCCATCCCACTCGTTGCAAGATCCCCACACCACACAACACGACCGTCGCAGCCGACCGCCCGCCCGCGCCGCCTCCTTACGAACACCTCCACTCCACCGCAAGATAACCACGACCGCATCTTGCCCTTGCAGTAGTGCGTCGCTCAGAGCCGCTAACAACCGGTCTTACTCGCATCCTCTTCCGCACTTGCATACCGCTATACCGCCATGTACATGTCGTTCTGGAAAAGAGCTGCGGCCGACGACAGCTCGGACAACGGGGGGCTGGGCGAGGATGTCGGCGATGGGCAGTATAATGGAGGGGATTATTATGATGAGGGGGATTATAGTTGGTGGTGGTCGCCGGTAAGGATAATCCACATTGTAGCAATTCGACGGGAGGGTGTGTGCTAATAGTGTGAATGCATAGACCGGCATGGCGGTCCGCTACACGATCATCATCCTCATCTTCGCGTCCATCGTCATCTTCTTCCTAGGAGGATACTGGCACGCGCAGCGCCGCATCCGCAAAGGCCTCCCTCCGCTTCCCTATCACGCCTGGATGGTGCGGAGAGCATATCGTCGTCAACAACCTCAGTACAACTACAATCCCTACTACCAGCAACCGGGCCCCTATCCGCAGCAGCAAGGATACGCTATGCATGAGAACGAGCCACCGCTTCCGCCCCCACCATACACTGCGCCTCCACCTGCGTATGCGCCTCCCGTGGGTGCTAGCAAGGCCATGGCGGATCAGACGTTCCATGCGGTTGAGAGACCTGGAGAGTCGAGTCTGCCACCGCTTCCTCCTGCGGCGCGGCAGTAAGGCATGGAGGAATGGGGGATTGGTTTCATTTTAGTTTCAAGACTGCGGCATTTGAGAACAAGCGTGCATCAAGATACCACCGACGGGAATAGGATATGGCGTAAGGTTGTAAGACTTGACCGGGACAGGCAGGCGTTTAGAGTGAAACTGAAGAGGAAGGTGCGTGAGCAAGGCTGGGTGACATCTTTTTGTATTCCCTAGAAGCGCCGTAGAAGCCAACCTTAACGCAACATCACTTTGATCGTAGATGGCTTGAAGTCATTTCTCATAAGCGAGATAGTGGTGCCCGCTTCGAGGACCCTGGTCAAGCATATGAGGCTGCATTAGTGGCCAATGACCGGCCGTGGTGAAGCTTTCTTTCGTGCGTTAGGACAGAAAGCAGTCCATGATCCGAAGCATGTGCAAGTGGTCTTGGAAACTTGATGAATCTGCCTCGGCTCGACTGTCCCTGTGCCTGTCCTCTGCCCCTGGTCTCGTGGAGCTCGTGTACTGAGATTGGCGCTAGTGAAAGGCATAGGCGGGTGCCGATGGACGAAATACTCCGCAAGGTCGATCCTCTTCGTCGAGCGGCTGCTTCGAATCGAGGGATCAAAGTGCAATCGCAGCCGCGTCTTCCCCCATCCCGCGCTAATGCAGGAACCTTTTGATTGAAGCCATTAATTACCTCACTCGCACGAGGACAGCATGTGGTTGACCATGTTGATCAGGTTCTTGTTCTCCATGGCGGCGGCGACGCGCTCCTTGTCGCCGAGCTGCTTGTTGGCTTCGTCGGCCGAGGAGGAGGTGCCCTCCTTGATGCGCACGTCCACCCGGAAGCGTGGAGGGAGGGCGTTGACGAGGCGCACTTTGACGCCGAGCCCGATGACGGTGGTCAGGGAGCAGGCCGACGTCGTGGGCGTTATCAAGACCTGGACGGAACTAATGCGCGAGCGCGGGGACGATGGCGGGATGATCTGGATGTCTTCGAGATTGACGACGCCCAGGGAGCCCAGGGTGAGGGGATGCTCCGGGTCGGTGATGGAGGAGATGAGGTCGTAGACTTCCTGCTCGTCGATTTCCTCGCGGGCGGTGGCGTCAAGTTCATCTTCGTCAGAGGAGAAATCTGATAGAGCCTCAGGCGAGGACAGAGGATCGGCAAGGCTGGGATATGCTGGGGCCAAGACGTCGAAGATTCCACGCTTGGTCTGCGTTGACGGGGTGGAACGGCGGCGGCGAGGCAAATCGTCCGGGTTGAGGATGGTGGGATTGGCGTTGTCTTTGCCGGGTTCCATGATGCTGGCGAGCGGCGGCACGGTGCAGGGGGCGGCGGTAGTAGTGCGTTGTGGCGTTGCAGTCGCGGCGGGCTGTCAATGTAACTGTAATGCGAGCAGAGGCCAGGGTGGGAGCAGAGCAAGATTGTACAGTTGTATGTCGATGCGGCTGCGGTGGTGAGAGGTGTGAGTGTGAGAGTTCGGCAGGCGGGATGGCAAGCGGCGGCGGCGTTATGGCATGAGCCGAGCTGCGCTAAGGAAAAGTTCACTGTCCCGGCGGCGTCGAGAAGAATGGAGACTCAAATGCGATGCGCGGGAGCCGAGTCAGCTGGGGGTGCAACGAGATGAGACAAGTTGGCGAGCGCACAAATCGCCCGTCAGACTCAGCGTTGGATCTGGATTCGGATATGCGATGGAGTGTTGTCGGGGGCGTGTCGAATGACGAGCAGACGCGCAGTTTGCTGCAGGTCCGGCGGGCGTGGCGACAGACTCGACAGATCCTGGAGAGCGGCGGGTGGTGTGCTGACGACTGTCTGTGGGCAAAGACACGGTGGATGGAATGTGGGCAAGAAGAGAGGCCAAGAAAGTTATCTTCGCACCCCATCGCCAAATCCTTACGCAACGTGTTTGAAGCCGCTTCCGGCAGTCCGAGAGGAGATCGATTAATGATTTTACGCACCTATCTGCTGATGTTAGGGCTTGCTGTTTCCTTCGCCGTGGACAACAAACCCCGAGTGTCCGCTCTCAGAGATCGCCGGTGATGCGCATTTGGATTGGATTTCTGCGACCAGGGTGTCGGTGGTGTGCGTCTAGGAGGTACCGAAAGACCCCACCGCGAGCGAGCAAGCAAGCAGCGGCAGCAGAGCAGAGCGAGCAACCCACTGCCAGTGCCAGTCTGACGGGGTGCCGTCTGTCACAGCCTCCGCCGCGCCGCCCTCGACTCGACCCATCTCGAGCGCCTGTCTGATGTACTTTGTCTTGTCCTCACCTCTCACCACTCCCGCCCTGCCACACCCGTCGCGCCGCCCCCAGCTCACATACGTCTGCCGGCGCTCGCATCCACACGCCTTTCCCGGCACACGCACCGCCATCCCTCTCGCTCGCTGACGTTCGACTGCACGCTGGGTGGGATGCAACGCCTCTGAGATCTGTCTCCCTCGCATGCCCTCTATCACTACCCGTCGCCCGCGACTCGGAGCCTCCGGCCCTGTGGCATCCTTCTCATCGCCAGGCCGCTCATGCCTTTCATAATCACCACGCAGTCCTGGCCGTCCTCCAGGAAACATCTCCAGTCTCGGTCGTCTTGCCCGCATGGATCACGCTACGAATGCGCCGGCCCCGCCGCCCACTCACTCCAAGCAGTATGTCTTCGTCTCCGAATTCCAGAGGCACAAGCGCCTCAAGGTCATGCGAGCCTGTGATGGCTGTCGGAAACGCAAAATACGATGTGACGGCGCTCTGCAAAACGGACCGTGGCCCTGTGGAGCTTGTGTGCGTCTCAAGCTGAAATGTATCCCTCCAACACTATCCGACCAAGACGACGATGAATCGACACCAGACAGCGCTTCGGGCCAGCAGACCTTTTCCTTTCAAAATACCACCTTCCCCACCAGCAGCCCCGTCAACAGCAAGCCCGGAAATGGAGTTTCAACCCAACCTCAGATGGACCACGAGTGGGCCGCGTCCGTACCGCCACACAAGACACCGACTGTTCACCAAGACATCCAGCACGACTTCGACCCCAGCGCATACCACCACCAGGCCTACCAACAGCAACTTCCTCCCCAGCCAGCATACAGTCCAGAGCAGTACTATGCCCATGCTTCTGGACCCGCGCATTTTCAACAAAGTGGCCAAACGCCAAGCTTGCTTCGTACGCAGACTGAGGCGTCGGGCAGCTCGAGTGGCGATCCACAGGAGATTGATGCCTCTCTCCGCGAGCTCTCTGAGCAAATGGGCGACCTGAAGATTGACATTACTTCTGCCGCGCCATACATCATGAGGCCACACAACGCAGCCGATGCCCCTGCGGTGGACGAGGCGGAAGTGATACTACCGCCTTCCGTCTATAGCGACCCAACCGCTCGGATTCCGCCGGAAATGATGCCTTCTGAGGAACGAGCGATGGACTACTTCATGTACTTCTTCGAGCACATTCATCCTTATTGCCCCGTGCTCAATCGGGCCCAGTTTTACCAACAATGGCGAACTGCTCGCGGTTCCATCTCACCTTTGATTTTGGAAGCTATCTTTGCATGTGTTGCGCGATATCTAGAAGAGCCGATTGAATCTCGAAAATGGCTGGCCCTGGCATCCAGGCACGAAGAAAGCTTCAAGGATGTGCCTCGTTTGAGCACCATCCAAGCTATGATTATACTGATGAAGGCACGAGAAAGTATTTCGAAACGAGGATATTACTACCGTTCTTGGATGGCCGTACGATATATGACCAACATGGCGATTGATTTGGGTCTTCATGAACACATTGACAAGCATCTTCCCGAGGATGTTTGTGCTTTGAACAAGTCTGAATGCCTCATTCACACAAGAGTGTGGCAGTCGATATTTGTTTTGGAGATGTTGGTAGGAGCACCACAAGGCAGGACAGACTTCGCGGTTGAACCCGAGACTGTCCAAGTGAGCCTCCCTCTACCTTCACCTGACATCAATGCATACGAACACCAGGCTTCACGACGATCATGTTTTATGGCGCAGGCAGTCAAGAATATCAAATTATCGAATCATCTTTGGCAGACGTTGCGGAAGCAGAAGAAAGACTGGGCTCTTGATCCCGCGTTCGTACGACACAACGAAGACCTACCGAACTGGTTGAGAACCCTGCCGGCAGACTTTCAGATACAGCACCCAGAGGACGGAAGCCCGCCTTGGCTTGGTGGAGACCACTTTGTGGCGGGCCTCCATACTTATCATCACCTGGTCGTGATTATGCACCATCGGCCACAAATGCAGGCGCTGCTAGAGAAGCGTGATCCCGCGTTCAAGGCACAGCTGGATATTTGTCTGTCTTCTGCAATGCAGATGTGTCGCATTCAGGAGGCTCTGTATCGTGACTTTGGCTTCCATGGTCTTCATTTCATGCTTCGCGGGGTCAACTTTACGATCTACTGCGTCTTGACCTGCACGATACTACATTTGGTGAGTTTTCCACTGCGTCACACGTTTACTGCAGACTAACTTCCTCCAGGCTGCAATCACATCTCCTGACCCGGTGTTCAACACCCAAGCTCGACTCTACTTCACGAGGCACATGCGAGTGCTCGAGCACTGTCTTCCCTCTTCGCCTCCCGAGATGCAAGTCCAGATCAACGCACTGCGAGAAGCTTTCAGCGCAGACACTTCTCTACCCTTCGACCTGAAACCTACGCTGGGTCTGCGAAGTCCAAGCATCGACAACCACCCGACACCTCCAAGCACAAACTCTGGCCCTACGAGCGCCCCAGTAACCAATCAGACCTGGTCGAACCTGGATGCAGCATCTTCCAAGACCATGACACCCACGACAGAGTATGGTCATCCATTCGATGCCATGACTAGCCAAGGAATCGCAGCCCGCCCACCGATGTCTCATCACAGCAACAGCTACGAGATGCCTCCTCACACCTCTTACTCTCCCCAGCACCTGCAGCAGGTCACGTCTGCACCACAAATGGGCTACGCCCTGGAACCAGTCATCAGCAATGACCAGCAGACACCTGTCTGGGATCCATCTGGCATTTTCAACCAGTGGAATACCGCGTTCGGAGGTGCTCAAGCTCCACCGCAGCACCCATCACCTCCTGATCCTCGCAGCATGCAACCCACTTCTGCACCCATGATGCCCAATCAGCATTCGCCGCTCAGCGCCAATGCAATGTACGGCGCACAACATCTTCCGGTCAACGCCACCGCTGTCGTGCCAGATACGGCACCTGCTATGCCGACAGTAACACCGGTAATGTGGCAGGACGCCTTTACAAGCGCTTACGTATCTGGACATGGTCAGAAGAGGTACCGAGAGGCGAGTGTCGACCATTCCGCGTATGCCCAGTATCCGACCAGCAAACGTCGTGGATAGCCGGACTATACGCGCTTGCGGACCTCAGTCCCTGTACGCCGAGAAACTCACGAGACAGAATCGGAATCTGGACCATGGCCCTGGAACTGGTTTGGTTGATTCGTCTCGCTCTGTGACGCGAAGATGAAACCTGGCAGAGGGAAGAGCAAGGAAAATGCCAGGTAGCGTACCCTGCTTGTTGCGGAAGTCGGCTTCCGCGAAAACTATCTTCCCGCTCCAAACGGTTCGAGGACTAGGTATCCCAGCGCTTATGCAGCGTGCATGGAATCACCTTCACGAAGAGACAATTGCATGCTGTACTCAGGGCATCTCAAGTCACGTCTACCCTCAAATCACCCAATGTGGAAGATCCCTCCCCATTTCTCGCCAGCCGTCTAAGCAATCGGAAATACGGCCCAGACCTTAGTTGCTCGAGAGGTCAGAGGGAGGACGATGCCATGTCTGTCCATTACACATTTGGCGGAATGAGAAGAGTCAGTCGAAGGCAGCTCCCAATGCCAAGCATCCACTTCGGGTAGATGATTCCGGTCCAACTGCATGCGCTTCACGCCACCGTGTACTCGATATAGCGGTCAACGAGTTTCGAGGGAGTCAACTTGTTTCATGCGAGGGAATTGTTAAGATTAAAATATGTACGAAGGTGACATCACTTAACGCGACGAGCTAAGAGATTTTGAGGCTCGTTGTATACACGACGTCTACGCACTTGCATTTCACATGACACGAGACGATCATCTCCCATCGTCGTCGTCGATCTCTTGCTACATCCGGCAGCTCAAAAGTTCAATGGCGGGGAATGTGGGCACGCGGGGTTCTTGCATGTGGAGAGACTTGGAGTATGATACGACTACAGCAGACGACGGATCTTTTGGGGGTGCATCGCTTTGGGGGTTCAGGCAGGTCGCCCGCATTGATGGGCAGGTCCGGCGTTCTCGTGGCAAAGCTCTGCCGTCGGCGGAGAATGATTTGTATATGAGGATTTGCATTGCCACGTTTTTGAGAGGTGTAAGAGTATCGATAAGAGCGCTCGTCGCTTTCACTGCAACACTTTCACTTTCTCTTGCTCTCGATGCGAAGGCCTAAGCCTACTCCAAGCACCACGAAGCAACGCCACGTCTCGGCGGTGGTCCATCAGACAAACATGGGTCTCTTCAAGAGGGGGTCGTCCGCCCCAGCCAACACAGACAACATCTCGCCCAACTCCTCCTCGCCCGAGCGACAACTAGACAAAGTCGACGCCATCCACCAAGAAACCACCGAACATGAATCCAAATGGCAAATCTCCAAAGCCGGCACCGGCGACGCCGCCATGGCCCTCTTCACCTCCCCAACCGAACTCCACGAACCCATCGACCCGCTCGAAGAAAAGAAACTCGTCCGCAAAATCGACCTCATGATCCTCCCCTACCTCGCCGTCTGCTACGCCTTCTTCTACATCGACAAAACCACCCTCTCCTACGCCGCCATCTTCGGCCTGCGCGAAGACCTCAACCTCAAGGGAACAGAGTACTCCTGGCTCTCCTCCATCTTCTACTTCGGTTTCCTCGCCTGGGCCCTGCCCACCAACCTCCTTCTGCAGCGCCTCCCCGTCGGCAAGTATCTCGGCTCTCAGATCTTCCTGTGGGGGTTCTTTCTCATGCTGCAGGCCGTCGCCAAAAACTTCGCGACCCTGGCGGCGTTGCGCGCCCTCGCGGGCGCCGCAGAGGCGTGCTCCGACCCGGCATTCATGCTCGTCACCGCGATGTGGTATACCCGGCGTCAGCAGCCCATCCGCATGGGCCTGTGGTACACAGCCAACGGTCTCGGGATCGCGCTGGGCGGGTTGTTAGGTTTCGGAATTGGCAATATCAAAGGCAGCCTGCCGTCCTGGAAATACGAATTCCTCATCATCGGCGCGCTGTGCTGTATCTGGGGTATCGTCATGTTCATTTTCTTGCCGGATAGCCCGGTCACGGCGAAGGGGTTGAGTACGCGGGAGAAGAGGATTGCGGTGGAGAGGCTGCGGGGCGATCAGACGGGTGTGGAGAATAAGCGGTTCAAGGCGTATCAGGTGTGGGAGGCTGTGGGGGATTATAAGTTGTATGTGTTTTTCTTGTTGGGGGTGGTGTGTAATGTGCCGAATGGGGGGATCAGTAATTTTGGTGAGTTTGATATCCCTTGATACGCCTCATCTGTACGACGCTGGGACAGTCCGAGCTATGGGAGTGGAGTGTATGTGAGCAATATGCTGATTCTGTTCTGTGCAATACAGGCACCCTCATCATCCAAGGCTTCGGCTTCAGCACCCTCGTCACAACCCTCATGCAAGTCCCCTACGGCGTCATCATTGCCCTCTCGATCCTCCTCTGCGTTTATCTCAACGACCACGTCTCCCGGAAAGGCGCCCAGACTCGCTGTTACTTCGTCCTCGCCTTCCTATGTCCAAGTACGTCCCACCAGTCAACCATCCATCCATCAAGAAATATTGCTAATCCTGATTCGTTCCTCTTCAGATATCGCCGGCGCCTTCGGCCTCCGCTTCCTCGCCCCGGATAATCAGGCTGGTCGTTTGGTCTGCTACTATCTAACAGGTACCACTCTCCCCTTTCTCCCCAAATATCCTGCCACGGCAACTGACTTGAGAAAAATCAGGCCCTTACAACGCCGCCTTCTGCCTCATCCTCTCCCTCACCACCGCCAACACCGCGGGCCACACGAAAAAAGTCATCACCAACGCCGTGCTCTTCCTGGGCTACTGCACCGGCAACATCATCGGGCCCTTCTTCTACAAAACCTCGCAAGCGCCTGGCTACGAGCTCGGCATCTGGAGCATGATCGTCTCGCACCTGATTGAGTTTGTGCTGGTTTTGACGTTGAGGTTTTTGCTCAAGTGGGAGAATGCGAGGAGGGATCGGGTGCAGAGTTTGCAGGAGGGGGGTTTGGAGGGGAGAGATTTGGATAGTACGGCGTTTGGGGATTTGACGGATCGGGAGAATGGGAATTTTAGGTACATTTATTGATTTTTTTGGATTGGAGGTGGCAGTTAGGAGGATGAAGTTGAAGACGGTATGGATGGTTCTTGATGGAGGGAGGTTCATTGCTGCTCTGTCAACCAGCAGTTTCCTTTTCGGATCACTTCGTGGAAACCACGATCACTGGCAAGGAGCTCTTGGACTCTTCGTTGTCGATAGGCCTCAGGCTTCGACGACTCATGTGCTTGCTTACCAACGTCAGGATCCAGCACAATGTCGCCCATCGACACTTCACAAACCCCTCCCCTCTCCCTCCCATCTCCAAAACAGGCAGCTACACTCCCATCAGGAGAAACCGAATCCACAACCTCACGCTCCTCAGCCCTCCCCTCCAAGAAATCCCTCCCAACAAGAAACATCCCCACAAACTCCCTAACCTCCGCCCACCTCCCCACCCTCAACTCATACACCGCTGCCACTAGTCTCGCTTTGAAGAACGCCTTCCCGCCCGCCTCCCGACTCGCCGCCAGCCCTGTCAGCAGCACCATCAGCCTCAGAAACGGCATCTTCCGCCACGGCTCATGAACGTCCGCTTCGATGGCAACGCATAGTCCCTGGACGTGGCGGGCGTTAGAAGGGTGGCGATAGGGCCTACCATTCGCAACAAGATTGTACAAGATCGCATGCTGATGATAACAAACTCGGGCCATATGACCAACCCCATCATCAGGATCATCGCGATAATTCGCCCGCCTAAACTCCTCCAGCGTATCATAAAACGTCTCAAAGACGACCGCGCCCATCGTGGCGTTGATGATGGTCGCTTGCACGGCGGCGAAGGCGCTGCGGAGGAGGCTGTTCAGGCCGCGGAGTTTGAGGGCTTCTGAGGGGGCGATGGCGGTGAAGTCGGCGGTCAGGAGGCCGGAGAGGAGTTCGGACATTTCCCAGGCAGAGGGGGTGTGGGGTGGGGTGGAGGGGGTTGTTAGGGGGTGGGTGTGGAACATTAGGGCTTGGATGAGGTCGAGGCTGTTGGGTGAGGTGTTAGTGGTAGATGGCATGGGTGTTGTGGGAGATGGGAGGACGGACGTTTCGAGCATCATGCTATTGGATGGGGGGATAGCATCGCCGTATTTCTGCTTCAGAATGTCGTTCAATGCGTGGAGGTGTGTTCGTGCTTCGATGTTGGCTCGGGACAGCTATTGTCACGTCAGACTTACTCGACCAAGTCGTCAACAGACACAACACTCACATCAAACGAAGTCAAAAACATCAACGCAGAGATCGTCTCATCCGACTGGCTCGTCTCCGGAAATCGCATCCTCTCGCGAAGTTCGTGCAGCACTTTCGCCTTGTATATGCCTTCTGGCTGAGATGCATTTTGGATCTCGCCTGCGCCGGCAAGGCTGCAGGCCGCGAGCAGCATGGGACATGGAGATAATTTCCAGGCGGTAGATATGACGGCCGTGGCATGTTCGGATGATACTAAAGGTCGGAGCTGATGGAGATCTGGACATGAATTAGCGGAGGATGGATCATGTTTTGCTGAGAGCGGGCGTACAGGAAGCACAAAAGCCGATGATCTGGTCGATTTGAGCGGGACTTTCGAAGGGGTCACAGTCCCATTGAGATGGACTCCTAGGGACTGATGAAGGGACTAGAGCTATCGAGATCGGCTGTAAAGTACTCTGAGCCTCTCTGGGGACAATGCCGGGCGAGAGACGTTGCTTCTTTCTCTGATGTGGTCGATCATTCAACTCGAGTCTGCCTCTACCATTCACTGATCGACGGGCCGCCTTCTCCAATGCAGAAGTCACAGCTAGAGTGCATATCAGCCAAGCTTACGCTGCGTTGGCACGGCCAGAAAGCTCATCAAACCGCGGGTCACTCACCAGCTTGTCTCTCAGCTCTCTGCCTACTCCTAAAGTTCTTCATCGCTTGTGACCGCACCCTTCGCTTTCCAGAGGCATTGCTGCTCGTCAAACTGTTCTGATCTATCCATTCGAGGAACATGCTGGAGCTTTGGGCAAATTGGCTTGGTCGGGTGCAGCCTTGTCGGGATCGGCTTTGGTATTTCACACCCTTCGACGTCACCGAGAGCTGACCAAGGGGGCTATTGTTGAGCGATTGGGCATGGAGACGGAATGTGTTCGGCCATCTCATGCAAAGTCTGGGTGGTGAAGTCTTTCAGCTCAATGAGCGTTTTCCTGATCGGGCTGAGCGTCATCGGCCATGTCGGACATAGCGGTTGAACATCTACACGTTGTCGGTACTTGATGGTTCCAAGGGGTTTGGCATGTCTGATAGACATTTGCTCACTAGACTGATTTGCAGCAATCGCATAGAACTACGGGCAGGACACTCTGGAGCGATACCTTACACACTTGACTCCCCCATGCCTGACGGGTTCGGATCAAGCCTTCCGATCCTTCGGCGTCTCCTCCACGCGATAAACCAACTTCTTCCCACTGACCTTCCCCTCCATCAACTTCTCCAACCCATCAAAAACCCCTATCAACCCATGCCCACAGACGGTCTTCGGGTGCACAGCCAGCTGTCCCGCATCCACCAACCTATGCGTTAGCTCAAAGAACCTTTTTGCATACTCAAAGTCCTCTGGTTGAGCTTCCCAATGTCTTCCCATCTTGTCGAACGCCTCGCCAACGACTGTGTAGCCTGCTGCGTACTTGTTCTCGACATCCGTGCGAGGGTGCGGAGTTACGAGAAGGTAGTTAATGGAGCCGCCCTTGGAGGAGATGGCGGCGCAGCAGATGGAGGGGGAGTCGCCTTCGGCGATGCAGTCGAGCGCCAGGGTTAGGCTGTCGTTCGTGTAGGAATGGATTTTTTCGCCGCAGGAGGGGTCTTTGTAGTCAAAGACTTCTTCGGCCCCGAGCGCTTTGAGGAGGGAGTGGTTGTGCTCGGAGGCAGTGGTAATGACTCTGTAGCCGGAGCTGTCATAACCATCAGCGTGGGTCGGGAGTTTGCAGGTGTGGAGGGACTTACAGAACGGCGTATTGGACTGCTAGAGTCCCTGTTGCTGTGCTGCCACCGTACACCAGGAAGAAGCCATTGTCCTTTCCGTTGCCTGGCTCGGGAAGTCCTAGATTTTGATACATCGATTGGCCGCAAGTGATAACGCCTGTGCCCAGTGTTGACGCATCTTCATCGCTCGTAGCATCAGGGATCTATGAAAGCGTTAGTCCAAAGCCTTATCTTAATGTCAAAAGTAACCTGCCTTAAGTCCAAGATCCCCTTTCATGACACAATATTCCCCAAAGGCCCCTTTCCTGAACGTTAGCATCGACCTCAATGCCATCATTTAATCATCGATACATACCATCCTCAGGCTGAGTTTCATTTCCTCCGTGTACAAACCCACAGACTCTATCCCCTTTCTGCCACTTCTTCGTAACCTTAGGCCCGATGTCCTCAATTACACCACCTAGAACCAAAACCATCAGCAAGCCACTTCGACTGCTATACTTGCCTTCTCAGTCGAAACATACTGAAATCCACCCCAACAGTACATCCCGGCTTCCCCGTGTCTCTGGCAATATGTTTCCTACCCACCGCAACGTCTTGAATAAGTCCATTGCCTCTCGCGACCTAATGGCACGTTTCATTTCTGGGGAAAGTTTTACCAATCCGTCGGATTCAACGCCACACAAGTCACCTTGCAGAGCACGTAGTCGTCTCTAAGCTTTGGAATGGGGACGTCTTGGAGTTCGGCTTTGTTGCCCTCGATGATCTTGATAGCTTTCATTGTGGAGGGGGCCATTGCTTGCTATTGAGAAAGAAGGAACGGACGGGTTGGCTCTTTGGTCCTTCATTTTATCTTGAGTTGAGCGGTGCAAGCAAGAGTGCAACACGTTGGACGGAGAAATTCTTCTCCTAGAATTTCACAACAGATGATTAAAAAACCGTTTGCTGGTGACGAATACAATGCCCCCAAGGCCCGACGTTGCGAGCTTTAGCTTCACTTTACGTGACCTCGTCTCCGTGGAACTTGCTGCTGAGTAACGTCAATGGATACTCTTGAGTCTTGGCTTTGGAGTTGCGAAATGAAGAGCGCGAAGTTAATGACCAGAGATGGGAAGCAAAGAGAGGCCATTAGGGAGGGATTGCTTTGTGATGTTGCGTAGCAGAGTGGCTGCTGTCGTGTGGGAGAAAGAGGCTGGGACAAGGTGAGGTGGTTGCCAAGGGTCAAAGCTTTTTGGCGTGTCGTTTTCGTGTTTCGCCAAAACATCAACGACATCACTCTTGAACTTGGGGGTGATCACAATCATCGAGCCTCGCTTGGTGGACAGCCACTGTGACCTTGACAACCTTCTATGAAGCCTAGAACAACCCAAGATGCACACACTGAGAGTGCATTCTCCACGACACTTGCTATTCAGCAGATCTTGCTGCACACTTCGTCCGCAGAACTCTACGAGCTCAGCCATGTAACCCCTGATGTGCACCAAAAAGGCCTTATAAATGTGCAGCATCACGGCCTACAATCTCACTCAGGACCTTCAACATGGCCGTCACCTTCTCTTCCTCGAGACGCCTTCCAATGACAGCTAAGCCGACCGGAGCATTCTTGTGATTCTCTGGACCTTTGTCTACTATCATCAGCGAAGCTAGGAAACACCGGACAGGAGCTGTTACTCACAGAACTTCTTGACCATGCCATCTCTCCCAGACAGGATTGGCCTATCTGCTGGCATCTGGTCCTTCTCAAGATCAACTCGAGTCACGGGGAACGAGCCAGTCGTGAGATCCAACAGGGGCGACAGTGTCCCATAATGCGATGGGTATGAACTATCATGCTTGACGGCTGGAAACGGCAGGCTAGGCATAATCAACCCATCTATTGGTCGCCCCGTCCCTGTCTGACTTTGAGTGTTCTCCCATCTTTCTGACCATTTTTGCGCCAGCAATGTTCGCTGATTCTGGACTCGCCACATATCCGACACCGATGGCCTAGGGGCGTTGGCGCTGTGTCCGAGCCACGCCTCGAGGTCTGGATGAAGAGGTTCCCCTGAAAGATCTGTATCCCTTTGGAACTCTTCGCCACCATCAGCCGACCACATCTTGTTGATGAGCACCCTCGATTCCTGCATCTCATGAGGGATGTACTCGATCACCCGATGGCCTGCATCTAGAAGCTTTTGTTTCACAATTTCTATAGCCCGGACGAGAGGCGGTGTTGCTGAGACGAAGCCGTCATGATTGGCGATGCCGAAGCAGAGCTGCTGAGGCAAAATCTCTTCTTCTTCGCGCCACGGAATGGGCAGACAGTATGGGTCTAAGCGCCATGGCTTCTCTGCGAGAATACTCGACATAAAAAGTCTGATGTCATCTGGAGACCGACACATGGGACCAGCGCTGGACTTTACTGCTTCTTGTCCAACGAATGTGTTCTGCACGTTCTGGTAAGACACTCTTCCTTGCGAGGGACGTAGACCATAGAGCCCGGTGAAAGAACATGGATGTCGAATGGAGCCACCTGTCGCCGTGGTCAGTTTTCTCGGCCGTTTGAGGAATCGATGGCTCCTTCATGAAGCACCTGTCCACTCACCAATATCAGTGCCCACCCCAAGGTAGCTACCGCCGAGTGTTATCAACGCTGACTCGCCACCAGACGAACCACCAGGAGTCAATGTCCTGTTATGAGGATTCAACGAACGACCAAAAACGTTATTGATCGTTTCGCCCATCATGAGTGTCGCTGGAACGTTGGTCTTTACGTATACTACGGCACCAGCGTTCTGCAGAATGGTGACAAGAGTTGAAGGAGAAGAAGCTGGCTGACCGATCCTTGAGACATATCCAAGCGTGGAATCCAGCCCGGGAATATTGAATTGGTCTTTCAAGCTGCTCATCCGTCAGCCACCATGGAAATTGAACGATCAAGGATTTACCTGATGGCAAGACCGTGCAAAGGGCCGACTACCTGGCCGTCTTCTTTCAACTTGCGGTCGAGCTCCTTCGCCCTTGCTATGGCCTCGTCGAAACAAATCTCCGTCAAGCAATTCACAAGCTGCTGAGCAAACGCCGCACGCTTGCATACCGCCCGAGTCACTTCTTCAGAGGTCCATTCGCCAGCAGCTATCTTGGCTACAACTTTGGATGCATCGACATTGGTCAGCTCTAGCTCCCTGAGTGTAAAGAATCCAGATGTTTGAGGGAAGTTGAACACGTCGTCAACATCCTGCTTTGGCAGAAGAGTAGACGGGAGTCGCCACTCGGCAGGTATCTTTTGCTCTCGCTCGTCCTGCTTTCGTTTCGCTATAGCCTGCCATGGCTCTCTCTCCGAGACTGAATCCATGGCAATCTTGGGGATTGCACGAATCTGAGATTGCGAGCTCGGAAGAACACCTTGCACGTCTTTTGAGCGATTTGATGACTCAGCGTTGAGACACCAATGTAGCAAACATGCATTGATCCTCAACACAGATGAAGCAAAGACGGTCAACTTTGGCTATATCGAGGGCTCCTTCGTGGCCTATCTCTGCGGTATGTAGCTGCAGCAGGCATGCATGCAGCTACTCTACACGCCGTCGGCGAAGCTTATCAATGCCATTTCCAGCACAACTTACGCGGCAGCTTCAACACCACCTTCAATCCTAACGTAACAGGAGCACGGTAATCAGAATCAGGTCGCATGACGATGGCGTTCCCAGTGATCGATATTGCCTCCATCAATGAGCCAGAAGCTCAACTTTCGATCGCCAAGGAGATCACTGAAGCGGCTCGAACCTGGGGCTTTTTACTGCTGAAGAACCACCCTATCCCATCAGCAGACATTGCCTCGATGTTCAAATTGGGCCGTGACTTCTTCATGGAGGTTCCTGAGGACGAGAAAGCCCCCTATCCCATCAATGATCGCTACGTAGTGAGTATTGACCATGTTACGTATGCCCATCGGTAAACTGACAAAAGCTCGATCCCAGGGCTACAATGCTCCACTGAGCGATAGAAAGAAAGACGACAAGGCGTCCATGTGGCTATCAGGCAAACCTGGGTTCCTACCAAGCGAAGGACGCAAAGCCCTGCCGCCGTACTGGCACGACAAGATCGACACCATCGAAGGGTTCAAACACGCCTGCTATGATCTCGTTAGCAAGCTCCTAGTGTGTTTCGCTCTAGCCATGGGCTTGGAGGATCGCAACTACTTCGCTAAAGCCCACGCCGAGGATGCTGGCAACGGCAACCAGTTCCGTATGCTTTGCTACCCGTCTCGCGGCAATGCGCCTTTGAAAACCACGACTCGGATGTCGCCACACTCGGACTCTGGCTCTGTCACCCTTCTGTTTCAGAACTGTGCTGGTTTGGAAGTCGAATCGCCGTCCGACGAGTGGGTTCCGGCGCCTCACATCGAGAACCACATCCTCGTGAACCTGGGGGATGCACTAGCATTCTGGTCTGGTGGTCAACTGAAAGCCACGAAGCACCGGGTGACGTTCAACAGCGTGCCTCATGATATCGAGCGTATGTCAATGGCGTATTTTGGCGCTGCAGCTCCGGATACCGTGCTGGAGCCGCTCAAGATCGATGGTAAGAAGGCATTTGACAAGTACGAAACCAATGGCTTGACCATTCCACCTGGTATCACGGTGGGAGAGTATTCGAAGATGATCATGACGGGCATATATGGCACTGGTATTCATAAGAAGCGGGAGGAGGTTGGTGCAGCCTCGACAGTCGTTCAGGTCGGCGCATGACATGCCTAGAACTCCAACAATCGTAATTTGCGCTTGATACAGCGTGTGCTCTCATTCAGGATCAGTATATTCGGATCCGTTCAAACCAACAAGTGTTTTCATTACGAGTCCTCCCTACTTGAAGAGAAGCACGTCGGAACTTCTCCAGGAGACTTCCCGAAAGCCGACTTCGGCCGGTGACGGAATGTCTCGTGAGCCAATGTTTCCATCTACTTGTCGCGCTACATTCATGAACAGCCTGTATCTGATTGCCACTAACAGACGAATATAAGACAGTCTAGAGCCCCATCGCAGGTAAGTCTTGGCTTCCATCCCGCCACAATCCATCCGCCACGCACGATCAGTAACCATGGCCACCCAGAACGGCAACGACGTCGATATGAGTGCTTCGAAAGCGATCGTCAAGGCACTGCAGCCTTACACGAGGTATACCCCTCCCGTTTCAATCTTTGATCGCCAGTGTACTTACGTGAATGCTCAGCTGTGATGTCGCCGACGCTCTTATCAAACTAAAAGTCCCCCATGGCGGCTTTCTCCCTGGCCTCACAATGTGGTCGCCCAAACGACAAGAAGGCACCACCAAAATCATTGGACCAGCTTATACCGTCAAATACGTCCGGAAGAACTATGAAAACGAGCCGAAACCTGCTTCGCACTACGTACGCCATCCCTCTCCCCCCTTGCTCTCTGTCTCAATAGAATAGAGTATCAGAGCTGACAGGAACTTATAGATTGATACTGTCCCAGCGGGATCTGTTCTTTTCATCTCAGCGCCCCCAAAGATGATCAACGCTTGCTACGGAGGATTGATGAGTACGCGGGCACAGTACTCTGGTGCGGCGGGGTCGATTATCGATGGGCGTTTGAGAGATTTGCAGGAGCATCGGGATTTGGACTTTCCAGTATGGACTCAAGAAATTGTTTGACTGGAGCTTAACTACTAACCTTGTCAAACAGGTCTTCGCCAAAGAGGTCGGCACCACAGCGCCCGCGGAGGTTGCCCGAGTCAGCGAGGTCAACAGCCCCGTCCGCTTCAACAGTGAAGAACAAGAAACCCACATCCACCCGGGAGACATCCTCATCGCAGACCTCAACGGCGTGGTGGTTTTACCCAAAGATCTCGCCGAGCAAGCCGTCGAGCTCATTGCCTCGCAAGTTGAAGCTGATGAGAATACCGCGAAGGAACTCAAGCAGGGGGCGCTGTTTGACGAGACGTCGAAGAAGTATCGCGCGGGTTTGAAGTGGCCGAAGAAGTTGTAAGGGATTGACTCTCAAGATTAGATGAATTCAGTGCAAAGACAGCATTCTTTTCTTCTTGTTTTCCTGCCTGTCAACGTGCAACCGTGATGGGAAGTCGGGTACTCTCTGCTAGTCTTTTGACAGTGACTGTGGTACATGTAGGTCATTGGTCACAATTGATGTTGTGCAATCATAGTCGATCCACGAAATACCTTCGTCTACTGGATCACTTCTAGTCTGTCGCACGGCCACCTTGGAAGCGCCGTGTGACCGCAACGCGGCTGATGACAATGCAGCATCATAATCGACGTCTCTCCATGACCTTTGTTCTCCTTTCAAGACAAAGCAATGTCGCAAACAAGGCCCCGTAGCTGGCCAGTCTGGCCTCGCCAAAGCATGGCCGAGGCCACTACAGTAAATGATGAGGAGAACAAGCCCGAAGATAGCAGCACCAAAGACACAAAGCCTGTGGCGGAAATCCTCCTGAATTGGTTCATCCAAGTCACCGGCCTGACAGCAGCCGTGGTTTTTGGCGTCTTTTCCGTCCTCTCCTGGACGAACTCCCGCGCGGCCAAGGAGCAAGCGAATACCGCCAATTTGCTCTCCTTTGCTTCGATCTGCGCCCAAATCAAAGATGTGAGCCTGCCCATGTCAACATGTCTCGGAACCTGAGCTGAACGCATACAGAACACATCTGCCTTTCTCTCTCAAACGCAGGACCTGTGCGACCTGTACTCGTCGGCGACCATCTCAGCATTGGAGTCTTATCTGAACTCAAGTCTACCTCTGCCGAGCTCGCCTTCGAATCCAAGCGGCTCAGGCTCTGCGAGGCTGTCTACTGGAGCCATCGTCGGAATCGTAGTCGGCCTGAGCTGCGTCTTCGTCATCGTGCCGGTCACCTTCGTTGCGGTACACAGACTTTACTCTCTAGTCAAATTGTTGCAGTTCCTTGCTTTCCTTTGCCGAGTTGTTGGGAAGCCACTTGTCAAAGCCAATGATCTTAGCCATTGAAGCTCGCTCTGGTCTTCTCAGCTGCGCGAGGTCAGGAGTGGCTCGGTGAAATTCGAACTTCTGTTTGCTGCGTCTGTTGGAATTATTGAGATAGAGTCCAACGCAAGTTACTGCACCTAAAGGAAGCCGACGAGACTATTCAGATCACATGGTGTTTTCTCTGTTGGAGGGAGTGAACAAAGTGCATACTAAAACGCAAAAAAGAACCTCTCTGATATACATCCCTCCTGGGAACAGGTGCAAGTCGTCGAGAGTCGTTCGCTTCTGGCCCCCAAAACGATGGCTGGTCTCCCCGTCGTCCAAAAAGTCTAGCTGCATGAAACGTATCAGTGGCAACCATGCACGCATAAAGTGGCGCTTCTTTCTTTCAGCTACCTCTCACCGGTAAAACTATCTCTCGTAGTGCAACAAGAGGCCAGCCAGCAAAAACTGACCCGACTCCGACAATAGCTTCAACCATGGTGAAAATGAGCGTCAAGATCAGACGTCTTTGCCGTACGTCTCTTCCAGCCCAACAAAATGCACCCCCCACCACAAACATCTGGCGGCTGATAATTGCCTCCTTGCATATAGCTTTCGTCGGATACCACCATATCTTGATGATGATACTCACAGTCGTGGTTGTGCTTGGAGGTGAGGCACTCGCAACCTTATAGACGAGCGTGCCACCAGAGCACTGACAGAACCCGTCGGGAAAAAGCCATCGTACTCGCAGGCTGCAATCCCCATGGCAGTGGCCCGGAGAATGTATATCTCTTGTCGGTTTCGTACGCCTCAGAAAGCGCCAATCTGGCTGTCAGAGCGGGCTATTTCGGGGTCTGCGTTCAGGACGGCAGTCAGGGCGACGCATGGAGGTGCGGGAGCGGAAGTGATGACTTCGCGCTGCGCGCCGTCATGAATGGAGGTCGTAACGATTCTCTAGGCGCTGTCGCTTTGGCGTCACATTTAAAAAACGATGTCGTGTTCCCCGGTCTGCTGTAAGCGTAGCTGTCTCCCCTCTGATGTCACCGATCTAACAGCGCCATCAGCATCGGCGGCCTTGCACTTGAAGCGCTATGCTGGGCCGGGCTCGCGAGTTTTGAAGGCTGGCATGAGGAGCAGGACCCAAGTACAGGCGAGGATCTTGACATCAAACCCTTTCCGAGTCGATCGGTGACTCGGGCATGTATTGCGGCCTCGGGGCTGGCGATGGTTTTCTTACTCGTGTCTGCCTTGTGGCAACACGTAACGGCCGCCGCAACACTCTCTGTCGCCAGATCAGTCACACACGGCCAGCTGAATGGGAGTGTGGGAGCAGTAGCCACGGCTCTGGTCTGGCTGACCTTCGGGCTGTCCGTTCTGCCGTTTCTTGGGCTATTGGTTACGGCGTGGTCGATGCACATCCTCAATAGACTCGTAGACGGTTGATCTCGCAAATGTAAAGAGACCTCAAACATCGCCATATCCACTGTCATTTGGTGAAGCAAAGTCCGACGGGAACTCTGACGTCGATGCGTTCACTCGTCGGGAGATGATGGCCCCTGAGACCCACAGGGCTATGCGCAGCTCCAGCGGGACTTTGTTCTCTGCGCTTGTACTTCGCACATCCGTGTACGCAGTAGCACATGTCCAGGCCACAGCGATGCCTATCGGGACCAGCAGGAGCATGATCAACACATTCAAGGCAGAGCCCAAGTGGACGTTCGTCCAAAGGAACGCCACAGGGACGGCCGTGAATGAACCCACGAACAGGAAGATCAGGAATGTCGACGCCAATCCTCCACGCTTCAAGGCCTCTTTTAGCGTGAGCAGTATTAGCTGTCTTGTCGGAATCCGACTACCAGGTTTCATTTTACTGGCGGCCCATAAGCTCTCCTGTGCACTTTGCATGCTTTCGACGATAATGGAACTTCGCATAATGGTGCGGGCGCCGTAGCAGATGACGAAGACTATGAGAGCCGTGATGATGAAGGTCCGCAAAGGCACGCCGTTTTGGAGTTCGTTGACCTGCATGCTGAACAGTCCGCAGCAGAAGGTCAGCGGAATGAAGACAAAGGCCAGTTCCGTGAGTTTGGTCACGGTCTCTGCTTCAGCAATACTGCGTCGGCTCTCGAAGAGGCCCATCTCAGCTCTTAGGGCAGCGTACGCCTTCTCAATGCGCTGTGAGAATCTCTGCGTTCGCGAGTCAAGTTCCTCGATGATCTCTTCCACTCGTGCTGGCCGGTCGTTTGGATCGTTGAAGGCAAAGTCAATGAACTCATGAAGGCTTTGGCCGATCTCAGCGGCCTTTGACTCGAAATCGTTCAGGAGCTGTCGCCAGTCTGCCAGTCTCCTGGTCATCAAGTAATCGTCTATGGAGTCCTCGCTAATCTCTTTGAGGCAGGTGTCGAGACTGTCGAAGAAAGCAATCGAGTCAAGTCGCACGACTTCCAGAAGCGCAAGTACTGGATTCGTCTGATCATGCATGACTGAAAGCCAGGACTCGACGGCCGCAGCTGTGCTCGTAGCCCATGATGCCTGCTCGAGATGTTGCAATTCATCTTCGCTGATGTTCAGCTTGTTTGCGGGCAGCTGGAGAGGCCCTCTGACTCTCGACGGTAGGAATATTGTCAAGTCGACTTCTTTGACGATGGGATCTCTTTTAACCTTGGTAGGCACTGGATTGAGTCTCAATCGCGTCTCGGTCACGGTATGTGAATCCGTGATTGTAGGCATAGGGTCCACCAGAAGGATGACTTGAGGCTTCTGTCAGCTATCGGGATTGCTAACGGACTGCAAAGAGACTCACGAGTCGGCACATGAGCATCCTCCACTCTAAAGATAGTAGCCTTCTCTTCCCAAGCACAGGGAACGCTCTTCTTAGAGGCCTTGGCCACTTTGGTCGACAGTAACCGGCTTCTACGGAAGATGTTCGAGGTGATCCTAGCTCTGTGATATATGTCTTTCTGCGACACGAACCTCGAGGGACCCGAGTTCCCATACATCCTGCCTTGGCCTCTCTTCCAACACGTAACTATTTTCTGAGACCAAGAAAGACAGACGTCTTCTTCTTCTTCTCCTTCTTTGTCACCCGAAGCGACATCAAGAAGCTGGTCTAACTTTTCCGGGTCTTTCAGCCATGCTGCTGCACCGGCATCCAATCTCACTGGTCGATACCATTGAATCGATGCCTTTGATGTCGCCATGCCGCATGTGTTCCATCTGCCATCGTGATCGTCCTTGGCATGCACCTTGTTGGAGAAGCGACCGCGGCTAAGCTGCAGCGCAAATGCTTCGGGGTCGATATGAAAAGCCGAGCCGAGCACATCAATTGTGTCTGGGGAGAGGTCTTCTGCTATGATCAGTTTTGATGTGATGTCTTTTGCCGGCTGTTCGGTGAGTAGTCGCCATGCTTCCTGATCTCCAAGCCAGGACTCATTGCCCTCCTTCACGATGCGACCTTTATAGTCAGTGAGGGTTCCGTAGAAATCGAATCCAAACACAGCTCCAGCGTTCATGTTGCGACATTCCCAATTCGACCAGTTTAGACTTGAGAGATGAGGCATGCAGTGGATCAGAGGCTGTATCAGGTCTGCGTACGATACTGGGTCGCCTTCTGCCGGATCCGATGCTGCAGCATTGGACCCTGAACGTGAATCAGGAAGTGGGAAATTACCAGCGTGTGCATGTTGTTGTGACCAATCCGCATGAGAACTTGTGGCTGCGTTCTGAAGCTGGTCCAACGAGCTCAGGTTCAGCGTGTCGAGGGGAATGCCATTATCAACTGAAGACACAAAGCTACCCACTGTATTTGCTGATGCCACCGAGTTCGATTGTGACGGTGGCAGGGGAGAAGTCCATTCTTGCGGTCCACTCGCTGGGGCAGCCGAAGTCTTCGAAGCAAGTTGTACCAATGCTTGCAACGAGCTCGAAGTCGAAGCAGGAAGAGCCACATTCAAAGCTGACGTCGAATGCTTTGAAGAAGCATGGCTTGCGTTACTGACATGACCTTGCTGATCCTGCAGTTGCTGCAAAGAACTCGTCGCCGGGACCAGAAGTGCAACATCCCCAATGAAGCTCGAGTGTACAGAGGCTGTGTCGTCTGCAGGTCTCTCGATAGCAGTATGTCCTTGTGTTCGTCTTAGAGAGCTTGCCTCCGAAGGCGGAAGAGCGACATCCAAAGCCAAGGCAGGCTGGGCGAAATCTGCATCGCCCATACCTGTGTGTTCCCGCACTAGTCTCAGTGAGCTCGACTCAGATGCCGGTAGACCTAAGCTGGCTGCAGAATCCAGCCAAATGTTAAAACCGTAAGTTCTCGAAGCAGTAGGCGCAACTCCCAATTCAAAGGTAGACTGGACGGACGCTACATCGCCCATCCTCGTGTGCTCCTGCAACTGCCTCAGCGAACTCGACTCACTTGCCGGTAAATCCACATTGGCAGCAGAATCCAGTCCAACATCAGAGCCATGTGTCCTCGAAGCAGTAGGATCAGATGGCGGTAGATGCAGATTAGCCGCAGTATTGAGTTCAGTACCAGAGCCCTGAGTCCCTGTAGCGGTAGGCGCAACTCCCAGACCCAAGCTAGACCGCACAGAAGCCGCATCCCGTGTCCCAGCGTTATCCCATACCTGCCTCAACGAACTCGATTCCGACACAGGCAGAGCCACCTTCGCAGAAGAGTGCACAGCACTCACAGAGTCGGAGCTGATCGATGCTGCCTCAGGCTGAGTCGCCGAATCCCGCCCATCAGCGCGTCGGAGGTCTCCTTGAGAATCCATCGAAGAGTTCGAAGAGGCCATCATTCGCGATGCCGTCATCCGCACGATAAATATTCCGAGGAGACTTCTTCGTTGACAGTGTTTGGAAGGTCGTATCTCGCTTTGCCAGCTATGTCGAAAGGGAACGCAGAAAGAGCGCCGGCGCTTCGGACTGGACGCCCCTGCTGCATTAGCGAAAACGAGGCCGGCATATCATATCGTACCGCCAAGACGATGCATGCACAGCCTCTCTGTGCATCTGACGGATAATCGATTGAAGCTGGATAGCGGTTCGACACGTCCGGTTTGTTCAAACCCTTGCTAGCGAACAGAAGTGGATTTCAGATTGTCCTTCCAGGAGAGGCTGTACAGCCACCTTCCACGTCCGATCGTTAGCGTATTTCTCCCCTGTTTTCAATCAAGTACAGAAAAAGGAGGGAGTTATTAGTCAAAAGGACACGCCTCCGGAGGACGTGGTTGTGCGTTCTGTGTTGACTTATAACCATTTACTCTTCCTTCTCCGCTGCCGACAAGAGGCTGCCCACAGCCGGTGTTGACCTATAACCGTTCACTCTTCCTAGTACCATGCGACTAGGGTTTTCGAGCAACGACGACTGGCTCTGGACTTCGGATTGGCCATTTTGCAGCTATAACCGCTGCCAAAATCACTTTGAGACGATCGCCTTATTTGTCGCATGCCCACGCTAACGATCGGACGTAGAAGGTGTGTCTGTACCCAGGGATTGGGGGCCAACGAACAGGAAATGCGCTTGTCATTCACCATGCCATCTATTGAGTCATGCAGTACTCCTTCCCATCGCTAAAAAAACGACAAACATCCACGCCCGTGCACTGCACTGTCGCTATCCAAGACGAAACCTCACCACCCCATCCCATCTATCGTCACGATCCAACACTCCGTCTATTCCCAAGCCCATTAACGCCATCCCACCCGGCTGCGGCGGCACAACACTACTCGCCGTATCCGCCTTCGTCGCGACGACACTCGACCCATCCCCATCATGAAGTAAGAAACCCCCGGCACCACCGGCACCATGCTCCTTCCTCAGCCTCGCCATCCTTTGGTCAACCATATCCAGTTTCCCCACGTTCTCGGCCGTGAGGGCGGAAGTAGGAGATTCCTGCTGAGCCTCGCTGACGCCGCGGCCGAGTTTCGTTTTTGGGTCTTCGCCTGCTTCGATGAGTTCGTGGTCGCGGAGGGCGATGGCTTGTTCTTCCGCGGCTTGTTGGCGGAGGGCGCGGTCGGAGATGGATTCGGAGGAGGTTTGGACGGAGGAGCGGTGGACGAATTCGAGGCGGTCGAGTTCGGAGCTGAGGTGTTCTTGGGGGTTGAGGCCGTTTGAGTTGTCGGATGCGAAGGACGAGCCGTTGCGGGGATTGCTGGGGCGGGAGGCGGCTCGAAGTAGGCTGGGGTTGTTTCGTAGTTCGGCGCGCTTTCGCTTGCCTTCGATGGCCCATTTGACCAGCATTCTTTCCAGGTTGGGCTTTTTGACGGGTTTGGCTAGGTAATCGTCCATGCCGGCCGTTTGGCACTTCTCTCTGTCGCCTTGGATTGCCGAAGCAGTCATGGCTACGATGGGAGTGCCCCGAATTTCGGGGTCGCTGGCGAAAGGTCGTGCGTTCCGTATGGTATACGTAGCCTTGTAGCCATCCATGATGGGCATTTGTACATCCATGAGGATGATGTCAGGGCGAGGTTGATCTTTCGAAGACGTTTGTAGGTAGTCCAGCGCCTCCTTGCCATTCCAGACGGCTCGGACGGGGAAGCCGAGCTTTTTGATCGTCTTTAGAGCGATTTGCTGATTGATGGGGTTGTCTTCAACGACTAGCACATTCACCGCTTTCCGTTCTTCCTCACTCAAATCCACGTCCAATGGCTGACCGTCCGGCCAAGGAGGAAATCCAGGTATACCAGATCCAGAATGATCCCGCTTATGTGTGGGCTTGCTCGGTATCGTGGGCGTTGTCGGTGCACTGTTGTCTGATCCCGGTCTCGATACCGATAGCTCAGATTGCAATCGATCTGGTATAGGGCCGCAGTCGACTATTGGCGCGTCTGTCGATTGATATGGCGCCTTGTGGAAAGGTATCCAGAATGACGCCTTGGTCCCAACGCCTAGCTTTGATTCCAGACTGACGCTACCACGCATGAGTTCGACCAAGTTCTTGCTGATGGTCAGACCTAGCCCAGTGCCTCCAAAGCGCCGTGCGGTCGAACTGTCGGCCTGTGAAAAGGGCTTGAAAAGCTTTCTCCTGACCTCCTCTTCAATGCCAATGCCCGTATCTTCCACGGTGAAATGTACTTCAACCATGTCATCTGTCTCCTTCATCACCTTCAAGCGCAAAGTGACACTACCTTCACTGGTGAATTTGATGGAGTTGGTAAGCAAGTTCGTAATGACTTGTCGTAATCGCCCAGGATCGCCCATGACCTTCCAGCACTTGAGCTGTTCGATATCGTCAATGTACTTCAGGCCCTTGCGTTCGGCGGCGAAGCTCAGCATCTTGTTGACATCACGAATGACAACCGACAAGTCGAACTGCACTTCCTCGATGTCCAGTCGTCCGCTCTCGACCTTGGAAAAGTCCAAAATGTCGTTTATGACCGTCAGCAAGCCGTTAGCACTTCGCTGAATATTCTCGGCGCACTCTCTTTGCTCCTTCGTCAATTCGCCTGTGTCGTCGTCGAGCAGCAACTCAGACATGCCAATGACTCCAGCAATAGGCGTGCGAATCTCGTGAGACATGTTGGCCAGAAATTGACTCTTCATCTTGCTGGCTTCTTTGGCAGCGACAGACTGAGCCATCAATCTGGAGTTCTCACGATCTCGCTCAGCGACTTCCTCAGCGGCGATCTTGAGTTCTGTCACATCCATGCTCACGCCGACCACACCGTCGATGTACTTGTCGCCTTCAATGCCTCCGTTTCGAGATTGGCGAAGCAGAGGGTAGAGCCTTGTCCGGAACCAGCGCTTGGTTGTCGATATCTGTGTTTCGATCGTTGAGTCTGGTATCCTGCCGCTGATGACGTCCCTGATAGGACGCTCGAAAGAAGGCTGCTCGGACTTCCTGCCCTGCGCCTCGAAGATGTCCCATATCGTCCTGCCAACGAACTGATTACTTCCGTGATAGGGTTCCGTCTGTAGTTTATTACCCGGCTTGTCTGGTGACATGGGTTTGCCTTCGGCCAGCGTGAGCCTGTAGTTCTTATCAACTGCCCACAGTGTGATCTGAGCATGCTCAATGACCTGTTCCAGCTGCGCCTGTGTTTGCTTGGCTTCCTCACGGGCCATGACTTGCTCGTGGATGTCCGTGCATGTTCCAAACCACTTTACGATCTTGCCGTTCTCATCTCGCATGGGCACGGCGCGCCCAAGCATCCACCGCCACTCACCAGCTGCAGACTTGGCTCTATACTCTGTCAAGTACTCGTATCCTGTTGCTAGACTGTGTCTCCACCTGGCTTCTGTCGCAACAAGGTCGTCTTTGTGGAAAGCATTGACCCATCCCTCACCCATGCTGTCTTCTGGAGTGAGTCCTGTGTAGGTGTACCATCTATCCGAAAAGTAGTCGTGCGATCCCTCGGGTGTCGTTCTCCATATCATTTGTGGGACCATGTTGCAGATGTTTTCAAACTGGCGCTCGTTCTTCGTTCGCTCTGCCGAGATTGTGCGCGTGTAGTCTGTCACGTCGTGGAAAATGACAACACCGCCTAGAAATTCGCCCTTGTCGTCCCTCAAAGGCTCACCGCTAGTATCAAAGACCATTTGACTTCCGTCCTTCACGCTATACATGCCAATGCGATAGCCTTCGAATCGCTCGCGCAGCCGCATGAGTCTGTATATCGGGAATTCGTCCATAGGCATTTCTTCTGAGAAGTCTTCTCGGTACAGTGTATATCGAGAGAGAAAGTCCCTCGCCTGCTCGCTGGAATCGTGTTGCCCGTCTTCGATCCAAGGGTACAGCAGCTTGATAGCAGCTTTGTTGGGAATACCAAAGCTCTCGTCCTTCCACATTGCGTATGCGGGCATATTCATGCTGTTCAAAAGAGCTTCTTTCAACTTGTTACTCTTACTGAACATACTTGGGGCAGATGTCTGCGAAGCCTTGGCAGGTGGACCTCGAGGCGGGAAGTCCATCACAGGGATTGTAGTTGGACTTGCGAATGTAGTCGTCGGCGGGCTCTGTACTTTTCCAGCTTTCTTAAGTTCTGAGCGAGAGCTTGAGCTGGACGAAGAGCTCAATCCAGATCGTCCGCCGGTCGAGTAGCTTGTCGTGGTGCGCGAGACAGTTCGACTGGTGGCTTTCGTTCCCTCTGAAGGCGGGCTTGATAGTCCAGGGTCGCTGCGCGCAGCAGTGAACGTTAGGGTGAAGTATTGCTCATCTTCAGTAGCCCATACAGAGACGATCATTTGGGCCTGGACGTGGTCCGCCATTTCGTTGCGATGCGCAAGAGGAATGCCAGTCTTGGAGTCACGGTGTGTGGAGAAGACCACATCAACGGCAGCATCGTGCACCTCAGTACGTGTGCCGCTTGCTTGACTGAGCCTCGAGGAACTCGTTGCAGATACAGATCGTTTGTGACTACTCCCAGTTGGAGTAGTGTCAGTGTCCCTCGATCGTGAGTGGAATGTGTTGAGCTGTGTGGTGCTACATTGCGCTTTGGACGCATCGTCGAAGATTGTGTCAAGAAACTCCTCCCACGCCACAAATACTGCGCTTCCGTTCTGAAGCAAGTCGAAACCAAGCTGAGCCAATGTTGTGCCATACAGTATGTCTGTGAAAGTCTTGACTTCCCGGCTCGCCAGCCTTTCTAAAGGACCCATGTTCGGATCATCCTCCTCTTCATCATCCGGGTCGATTCCAAGCAATCGTCCAAGCGCCTCGTTCGCCAACACGACAGTCTTCTCGCTCGAAAGGACCAAGATGGGCATTGGCAGGTATTGTAGCGCGGTGAATGCTATATCGGCGGTGGCTCTAGCAGGAGGTATACGAATGGATAAGGAAGCCCGCCGCCGCGAATACGGCGATGCGGTTGTGTCGCCTTCGTCGTCGTCCTCGCTGCCGTCCATACCGAAGTATCCATCTTTGAAGCCATCGTCTTCATGAAGCGATGCAAGTTTGTCTTGCAAGTGTGCTTCCTCGAAAGAGACACGCGAACGAGCGGAATCCATGCTGGATGCTGATCCCCCAGTGGCAGGTCCACTAGGGAATCTCGTGGCAGGCTGAGTTCGCGACTCCGGCTCTGACGCAGTGGGGGAACGTCATTCAAGCACGTACGATATGGCACTGTATACAAACAACCAGAATGGGAGGTCTGGAGGCGGGCGGGATGGCGGTACGAGGGTGAGAATCGATGGATGCACAAGATTGGATGGATGCGGCGATCTGGAAGGTTCGTGGGGCACGATCACGCCAGGGCGCGGATATGTGGACTGATTGACTAGGAAGAGATGTATACACAGGAAAATTCTCTGGCAGAGAGTGTTGTTGAGGGCTTGGGCAGAGGCACGCGGCATGTGAGACGTGAGTTTGACGTCGCCTGGCTGGAACCAAATAGACTTCGACTAAGCAGCGGAATCGCTCGATGCGGTCGCTGCATCTTTTGCGTCAGAACGGTTTTGACAGAAGGCGACACATATGATAGAAAGGGTTCTTGATGCAGTCCCAGATCTAGCAGACCCTGATCTGTGCTCTTGGTAGATGGTCATCTAGTAATACGAGTCAACCGCTTGCAGGAGATGATTGAAGAAGAGGCGTGCACAAAACTTCCGAGGCGTTGTTGTGGCTTGCTCGCCACGTGCGATTTGCCCGCAAGCCGTGGATCCGAAGATCGGGGCGCTATCTTCTCTTTTCCTCCGCGGCCTCCAAACAACCAACAAGGACAGAACCCAACGAGAGCGCCACCTTACCGAATACGAATGCATTCGTCCAGCATATCTTCCTGCACATACATAAGAAGGACTGCTGCGCTGTACCAAGCGCTTGAAGTAATCCCCTACTTGAATGACGGACCCCGAGCCGCTCGCAGGACAAAGTGTGATCCCTGCGAAGATAGTGACATAGACCTGTTCGTCGTCTAGTCCCTGACCCGTATCACTGCGGGACGGACAAAAGCCTGCGTGGTCTTGATCATTACGGAGACGTGCCGCAGCCCGAAGCTGATCACTATGACAAGCTCAAAAGAAGAGCACCTCAGAATGTAGTACTGGAAGAGTAATGACTCGGAACTTCGACCGTAATGTCGATGCCTGTGTGATTTTCACCAGAAAGTCCGAACTGACCCCAGGACTCTCGCGATGAGGTCTTGTGTGGCGAGGACGCTTATTACATATGCCGGCAAGGCTGGGAAGAGCGACAGGAGATCAGCCGCAAACCATGAAGGATGCCAAGCCGACAGATGGAACCTATCTTCCAAGCCGAATCCGCCTCGACGCTTTATTCCAAGTATTGACCTGGCAACGCCTGACTTTGGTCGTAGCCTTGAAGCTCTGCACTAATCTGGTAAAAGCTGACAACGCGGCAGTCTCAGCCTCCTAGGTACATTGCACGACCCAATCAGCAGTTGCTAATCTTAACCTCATGTCTCCGAGAAAAGTGTCAACTGGAAGATGCTGTTCCCTTAGCTCGAAGATGACATCGTTTCGCAACAGCACGGGAAGAACTGTTCCATGACGTTCCTGCAACGATTATAGCTGCCTTCCATGGCGTCTCCAACACGTCGCCGAACGGAACGCTGCAGAATCCTCCTGCTTAATAGGATGGTAGGGCTACACTGGCAAGTGTGAAATGGTTTCATTCAAGGATTATGAGCAGAAACATTCAGATGGGCTTGCTGTGACTGGATTGGCAGCAACCCAATTTTGGGACATTCCTCATGCATCGCCTTGTAGAAGTATCAATTGCCAAAGGAACACTGCCCTGCATTACGACTGCTGACGAGGACGGGTTCTTGAGTATAATTCCTGACCATGACTGCGCCGTCATCGACAGGAATGGACTACACGTCACATGCCTTATTCGAAAGGTACATTGTGCGAATACCAACATCGTATGTCGACCGGTCGTCAAGAAGCTACGTATCGTCGAGATACCAAGAAGACATATAAGTCGGTCTCCGCTCGATGATTTTCAAGTCAAACACCCACCAAGCTCGATCAACACAAGCACCTCCATCGCTTTCTCGCCACAAACCGGCTTCAACTACCACCAACATGAAGTTCACAGGCCAAATCTTCGCGATTGCCGCACTAGTTGCATCATACACAACCTTCGCAGCTCCAACTCCGGTACGTCCTGTCTGCCATTATCATCGTCAAACACTAACTCCCACATCATAGAACCCCGGCCTCTGCTATGAAAGGCCTGACGGCTCCGTTTTCTGCAAGAGAAGCACGGATGCATCTCCTGGGCTATGCTACGAAAGACCAGATGGAAGTGTCTTCTGTAAGAGGAGTGCAGATGCCACTCCCGGACTGTGTTATGAGAGAGAGGACGGCACCGGCTTCTGCACGAGAAGCGCAGATGCTACTCCTGGGTTGTCCTATGAGAGGGAGGACGGCTCTGTTTACTGTACTCAGTCATAGTTGGTTGGCACCAGTACCTCAGATGTCTGCATTAAGTTTTGAAGGCAGAGTGTTATCAGATCCATGAATTGTGTTCTCACGAACAACTGCAGTAAGGCTGTAGACAGTTTGCCTCAGGCACAAAGTCGAAGCCGAAATAGCTTGGCACGGCAAACATCGCGCTGCGGGGTCTCCGAAGAAGCAGACGAGTACGATGAAAGTATCAAGGTGTACAGCAGTAACCTAACTCCAAGAATTCCACTGACTGTGATGCTCAGTATCAGGAGACAATATTAGTTGTGCAGTATTTTCGCTTTGTCAGACGCTTCTGTGCTGCTCCAAGACTTTCTGGTAAGAAGGGGTCAACTGGACGCGTCTTCGTTGCTTGCCACCCGCACCACGTCCTTCCATTTCCATCTCTGCATCATTCATTCACTCGCTCTCATTATGCGGATGCAGCAAGTGAATGATTCACTATCGAATCTGGAAGAACTTCAAGCAAGCTGACTGCCAGTGACGAGAGACTTCATGCACCTCACTCTCATCACCGCGACGGTTCTGCGTGAGCTTGGCGTCTACTCTCTAAGCACCAACCGACACATTTCAGTCTGAACACCACAAGAGGGAGCTGCAGCTCAAAATGTCGTGGAGACCTCCAGGCCCACCGGGCAACCCACACTCCGGACCCGGATTCACCGGTCGAAACCGACAATCCTCGAACGGCGGCCCATCAGGTGTCTCAAGATCGTCGGCGTCTCAGCTTAGGGAGCACGAGTCGCTGTTCACGAGCTATGAACACCTCCAAGGTCTACCGCGCGCCGACTCGGCCCTGACGATGCTACGGAAAGTGGCATCCCTCGTCAAGCCCATCATGCGGAAGCGAGGTTGGAGAGTACAGGTTCTGGCGGAGTTCCTGCCCCCAGAGCAGAACCTTTTGGGCCTCAATATCAACAAGGGCTATAAGATCTGTATTCGACTGCGCTATCCCAACAATCCGGATCTGTTCCTTCCACTCGAGCAGGTTGTCGACACGATGCTGCACGAATTATCACACAACGTCTGGGGCGAGCACGATTCCAACTTCCACAAGCTTTGGGACGAGCTGCGCGACGAACACGAAGCGCTGGCACGCAAGGGCTATACTGGTGAAGGGTTCTTGGGCGAGGGTAAGAAACTCGGCGGAACTGGCTATGCCCGACCACCTCCACTTCACGAAATGCGTCAGCGAGCTCGAGCAAGCGCAGAGAAGCGCAAGACCCAGTCAACGCTTGGTCATGGATCTGGCCAGCGATTAGGCGGCACGCCACTTCACGCCCATGGGCGGGACGTCAGGGAGGTTATTGCGGATCAAGTTTCACGGCGGAATACGATTAACAGAGGATGCGGATCTGGAAGGAGCGATGCTAGTCAGCTGGCAGAGCAAGCTTCTAACAACACCTTCAAGACCAAGGCCGAAGAGGATGACGCAAACAACCGCGCGATAGCGCAGGCACTTATGGAGCTCATGGAGGAGGAAGAAGCGGCGAAGCTCAATGGAGATCCGGCCAAGTCCGGCGCAGGTCTGGCCTGGGATCCGAAGTACGGTCTTCACGATGCGAGCATGAGCATTCCGGAGGGTCCGAAGACTTCAAATGGGCATGAGGGCCATCCAAGTGAAGAAGAACAGCTGAAGTGGGCGATGCAAGAGAGCATGAATTCGTCTGCAGTTGACAGCTCCTTCGGCATCGCTCAGCCTATCCTACCACCAGCAACATCACCAAAGCTCAGCCGAGTACAGTCAGCACCACCGATACCATTGGAGTCGAAGCCGACGTTCTCCAGAGATGTGCATAATGGGACTGCCATCAAGCGTGAGCCGGGTTCAGGCGGTCTTCCAGCACAACCCATCAGGCACGAGATGCTAGACGAGCAGCAATTCAAGCGGGACGAAGAGCCGCTCATCGATTTGACCAGCATTCCAGAAGCCAATGACGCCGAACAAGACTCCTGGACCTGCGAAGTTTGCACACTGGTCAATCCGCTGCAATACCTGTCCTGCGATGCCTGTGGTGTCGAGCGTCCACAATCAGTCATGGCGCGGAATGGCAGCTCCAGTCGTAAGATGAAGTCGGAGAAGACGACGAAGACGAGCAGAGCGGCTGCCCCAGGAGCGTTCGGCAAGGGCAAGCGGGAGATGCCAGCACCGAAGCAGAACGAGAGCCTGGGCTGGAAGTGCCAATGCGGTGCCTTCATGGAGCACAAGTGGTGGACATGTAGTGCATGTGGGTCCATGAAGACTTCATCGTAGGAACTGCGTCGGCCTCAAGTGTGTTTCGTGCCGGCAACAAGAGGTGGTCGAAGACTCAATGCCCAGAAAGAACGGACAGTGTTGGTCGAATGTCCTTTTGTAGCGTTGCAGATGCGCAACTCGGCCAGCAACTCAGTCGTCGAAGAAGGCTTCAGTGGCCCAAACCTTCTCTTTCACCTCAGTCGTTCCACCCACGGCGTTCGTAGAGCTCTCTCCGCCCTCCTTTTCTTGAACCGCCCCAGCCTGCACCTCAACTTTTCCCCCATCTCCCCCCTCAACCATCTTCTCCTGTGCCTCCTTCTCCAAAACATCCCCCCACTCCCCCTCCACAAACCCATCCATCAACCCCCTATAAACCTCCCCGCCCCCAACCCACCCCTTAACACCCCCCTCCAACACAAAAACCTGCATATCCTCATCCCCCACCGTATGTCTCACATGCTCCAAAAACCACCCCGCGCACCGCCACGCCCGTCCCCCCTCCTTCGAGCTCCCGCACGTAAACACCACCCACTCCATATCCGCTTTGTACGCCAACTCGTACAGCGCGCCCCGGTTCCAGTAGAAGCCTTGCGCGGGGATGTTGAGGGAGCCGCGGATGCTGCCGCCGGTGTAGTCGGTGCGCCGGACGTCGACTAGGAGGAGGGAGGCGATTTTGAGGGTTAGGAGGGTGAGGGCGCGGCGGGCGGGGAAGATGTCTGGGGTGAGGGAGGGGGTGGGGAAGGAGGCGTGCCAGGGGGGTTCTTGTTCTTGGGTGGGAGGGGCTTCGGTGGTATTTGAGGTGGCCATGTTCGTTAGGGATGCAGGAAGTGGTGTGTGGGAGTTGATGTGAAAGCGAACGTGAAAGTGAAAGTGTTGAACATCTGGGAGCTGTCCTGGTCGGTCGGCTCGTCGGTCCGAGTGTGGAGCCCCGCAGATCTCACAGATGAGATGAGATGCACTCGCCTTCCCTTTTTCTCCTTCTCTCCTTGATCAACTTATTCGCAGTTCGCCATGGCGAGGTACAAGGAACAATGCCACGTGCTCCCATGTTACCGTTTCTCGCGTGGGTAAGACTACGGCGGTGCTGGTGGCCGAGCCTGTGCCTCTCCTCCACTTGACTAGCACGATGATCGCTACCGAAATGGAAGGCATTGCGAAGTTTCGATGGGAGAAGCCAGGCTGCTCATCATAAAAGGACTGCACATATACGAATGGGGTCCTTCTTCTCCTCATGCTGGACTTGGATACCCTGGCACTCGCCCGAATTCACCATGCGGTCTTTCCTGCTCACCACCCTCGCTCTCCCATCGGTCTTCGCAAAAGCTCAAGATGCCTACGACTACCTGATCGTTGGAGGCGGCACCTGTGGCCTCGTCCTCGCCAACCGACTCACCGAGAGTCCCAATGTGACAGTCGCTGTCATCGAGGCTGGAGATTCCGTCAAGGACTCGTACAACGTGACCCAAATTGAGAACTACTTCGTCAATCTGGGGACTTCGATCGACTGGGCCTACCCAAGCGTACCTCAAGAATACACCGATGGCAAAGTCTTGACGTTCAACGCTGGAAAAGCGCTGGGAGGAACAAGTACGATCAATGGCGCGACCTACGTTCGAGCTTCCAGGGCACAGATCGATGCGTGGGAAGACCTGGGAAATGAAGGCTGGAACTGGGACTCCCTGTGGCCGTACTATCTGAAGAGTGAGCATTTCCAACCACCGACTCCTGATCTCGTGGCCAAAGGGGCCGAGTACGAAGCATCTGCCCATGGCACTGGTGGCCACGTGGGTGTCGGATGGAGCAATTACACCATGGGCGGCAACGCGCATTCTGTGATCAATCAGACGTACCAAAATCTCGGTATCCCATACAACAGAGACCAGTCTACGGGTGATTTACATGGGTTCTCGGTCTTTCCAAGTACTATCGACAGCAAATTGGAGATCAGATCGGACGCCGCGAGGAGCTACTGGTATAGCATTGAAAGCAGGCCGAACCTTCATCTCTTCACGAATACACTGGCTGAGAAGATACAATGGAGTGCGCTCAAACCGCAGCCCAAGACGTCCAAACTCGCAGCATCTGGAGTGCAAGTTCGACCGATATCTGGTGGAGACTCAAGGACCATCACAGCTCGAAAAGAAGTCATTCTGTCGGCCGGCTCGCACAAATCTCCTGGTATGTTGGAGCGTTCAGGATTTGGCAATCCGAACATACTCTCCAAAATGGGCATTCCACTCAAGTACAACTTGCCTGCAGTTGGGGACGGCCTTCAAGACCAACCCAATGTCGTGATCCTCGCCAACGCGAGCACGAACTGGACAGGCTACACGCCATACGTAACTTATCCAACAGCTTCCGACCTCTTTGGCGCCAATACTTCGAACGTGGCGAGACACGTGAGCGACCAGATTCCTGCATACGCTGCGACCATTGCGAGCAAGTCCAACAACGCCACCACTGCAGATGTTGTGCAGAAGCAGCTTCGTATTCAGGTAGACCTCATTTTCAACAAGAGCATTCCAGTGGGTGAGATCTTGACGGTCCCGTCAGAGACGCAGATACTTGCAGCATTCTGGCTGTTGCTGCCTTTCTCACGCGGAAGTACACACATCAGCAGCACAAACACGAGCGACGCACCGCTTATCAGCCCGAACTTCTTCATGCTTGACTGGGATGCTATAGGTCAAACGGCTATTGCGAATCTGGTGAGGCGAGCTTTCCACACGGGACCACTCGGAGAATATACTGGAGCAGACATCACACCGAACACCACTGTTGTTCCCAATGGAGCAGGAGTGGAGCAATGGTTGCCCTATTTCAAGCAGAGCTGTAAGTACTATTGCCTCGCTATTGACTGACTTGGTCGTTGCCGGGACCCGCGGAGCTGACCACAACACGAGATACGCCCAACAACCACCCTGTATCCACCTGTGCCATGATGAGCCACGAGCTTGGTGGGGTGGTCGATCCCGAGCTCGTCGTTTACGGAACACAGAACGTGCGGGTGGTCGATGCGAGTGTGTTGCCCTTCCAGATCAATGGCCATCTCACGAGGTAAGGGTCCAGTCTGCTTTCTGGTTGCTACCACACCAGATCGAAAAAGAGTTGTACTGACGTAGCTTGTAGCACACTGTATGCGGTGGCAGAGCGAGCTTCTGATCTCATAAAGGAAAGGTCGAGAACAGAGGAGGTGGGTCAGCAATGCGGCTCAAACGTAGCGCGTAGCCCGGGGCAGGGATTATAGATGGATCAGCACGCGATCGTTTCTGTGGTGACCATGCCACCTAGAAAGGGACGACGATTCTTGCTGACCGCTACATATCCATCGCCACACTCCTTCACTTTCGATGCGACTCATGTCAACATTCTTTTCAGCGCCACCGTTTGACGATGACCGTTCTCCCGAACAACCACCGACTGCAACGGGCCGTGAGAGCAAGCAAGCGCCCGAACACAAAGGCGGCTATCGGATTTCGGATCTGTCTCCTTACTCTAAATCCCGGTATACTGCAGGAAGGCTACTGCACGTGCCTAGGAGAGGGCGCTGCGAAGCGAAATTTTCTGCTGGGCAACACAGTCGCACTGCTGCTATCTTCAGGTACATCGCTTCGTATCACAACACGCCCGCCTCTTCCCGACATCAACAACCATGGCGAGAGCGGGAGCATCGATAGTGATACGCTCGAGGCCGCAAGGCGGGTTTTCAGACAAACGAGCATTGGATCCACCTCTCCTCGTGGCGACGTGAATGGGGGTGATATACCTGACGTCGCGGCGCAAACGGTGGGTGTCTTTTCTCCTTCTGCTTTGATGCAGGGCTTCTTTCTGCTCCCTCATCATCCTCTTCGCAAACGATCTATACTTCTTCTTTAATATTTGCATCGTTTCGCCCAGCATTTGGTTTGGTTCATTTGTTCAATATGCGGTTACACTCAATCTTTAATTGGGCAGCTCTTGTTGCGCCTATCACCGCTTCAGCCATTCCTGAAGGAAAGAGAATCGCCAAAGCCTTTACACCTGCGAGACCGATATCATTCAGCAAGAAGCGATCCTCTGCTCACCAAGCGCGACAATGCGGAGATGTCTCGGTAACGTTCAACGAGCTTGTCACTACGCAATGGGGAGAAAGCATACAAATCGTGGGATCGATTGATGCGCTGGGAAACTGGGATACTGCCAGCGGCGTGGCACTTTCAGCAGATCAGTATACCGCTGATAATCCGTTGTGGAGCGCAACAGTTTCCTTGACGCCTGGAACACAGATCAATTACAAGTACATCAGAATCGGAACAGACGGCAGCATTACTTGGGAAGCAGACCCAAACCACAGCTATACAGTACCGACGGATTGCTCCACCACGGCGACTGTGTCGAATACCTGGCAGCAGACTGGGACCTCGACGACGACCACCGCATCTTCAACCACCTCCACCAGCGCTCCGAACTCGACTTGCACAAATGGTCCGAATGCCAGAGACTGCTGGAGTGATGGATACTCGATCGAGACGGATTTCGATGAGGACTGGCCAAACACGGGAAGGACTGTTACTTATGACTTCACAATCACCAATACAACTCTTGCCCCTGATGGATTCGAGAGGCAAGGCTTTGCTGTGAATGGGCAGTATCCTGGACCGACCATCTATGCGAACTGGGGCGATATCATTGCGGTCACGGTTCGCAATGAGCTGGCAGACAACGGTACAGCGATTCATTGGCATGGCTTGCGATTGTTCCAGGACAATGTGCAAGACGGTGTCCCTGGTGTGACGGAATGTCCAATTGCACCGGGTCAAAGCAAGACGTACACTTTCCAGGCTACTCAATACGGCACCTCGTGGTACCATTCACACTTCTCGGCTCAGTATGGCGATGGAGTTCTGGGGCCGATTGTCATTTATGGCCCAGCGAGTGCAGACTACGACGAGGATCTCGGGCCTCTTCCGATCACGGACTGGTACTACCCAGGTGTCTACGTGACGTCCTCGAGGGCAATGCACCAGAACGCTCTCGCTCCCACTGCGGACAACGGTCTGATCAACGGCACCATGGTATCGACCTCAGGCGGCGCATACGCCCAAACGATCCTCCAAGCCGGCAAGAGACATCGTCTCCGCCTCATCAATACCGCCGTCGACAACCACTTCGCTTTCTCCCTTGACAGCCACACCATGACCGTCATCTCGGCCGACTTCGTCCCCATCGTCCCATACAACACGAGCTGGGTCTTCATCGGCATCGGCCAACGCTACGACGTAATCATCACCGCCGACCAAGAACCCACAAGCTACTGGTTCCGCGCCGAAGTCCAAGACACCGCAGGCTGCGGCTCCAACTTCCAAAACGGCAACATCCTCTCCATCTTCTCCTACGAAGGCTCCGAGAACGTCACGCCCACCAGCTCCGGCATAGCATACACCAAGCGCTGCACGGACGAGACCGAGCTCGTGCCCTACTGGAACTCGTACGTCCCCCAAGGCGAAATCCAATCCAACTTCGAACAGCTCGACACCGCCATCAACCAATCCACCGCCGCCGACGGCTCCCTCACCCTCTACTGGCAAGTCAACGGCACGCCCCTCAAAGTCGACTGGAGCACCCCCTCCCTCTCCTCCATCCGCGACGCCGAAACCTCCTGGCCCGCCCGCGCCGGCGCCATCGAGCTCCCCACCGAGGGTCAGTGGACGTACTGGGTCATCACCGAGGGCATCGGCAACCCCTTCACCGTCAACATTCCGCACCCGATCCATCTCCACGGCCACGATTTCTACGTCCTCGGCTGGGGAACGTCCGCGTGGAGCGAGGCCGATGCGCAGAATTTGAATTACGAGAACCCTATGCGGAGGGATGTCGCCATGTTGCCCACGAATGGGTGGTTGGCGCTTGCGTTTCGCACGAATAATCCTGGCGCGTGGTTGATGCATTGTCATATTGTAAGTCGACGAACTACATACCTCTCCTTTCCCCTTCTCACTTGCTTTCTCTGTGCTGACTTTGTGGTGTTTGTCAGGCCTGGCACGCCGACGAAGGCTTCGCGGTGCAGTTCATCGAGAACCGCGCGAATATGCTCACCATCGACCCCCTGCCGTCCGATTACGATAGTCAGTGTGCGGCGTGGGATGCGTATTTCCCGAGTAATTCGTATTATGCGCAGACGGATTCGGGGATTTGACGAGATGAGATGGCAGGGTTTGGGAGGGAGGGTTAATGTGTAATGAGATTTTTGTAGATGTTGGTTATGAGTCTTGGGCACAATGAGAGAAGTCGAAAGTTTTGTTGAACGTCGAGGAATTCGATGCCGGAATAGAGGATCGGTGGGAGGTGGTGCATGAGGTTTGCGGTGGAGAAAAGGATTCACATACCACAGCGAGTAGAACAGGTAGCTATCTTGAACCACAACCGAATGAAAAGCAGGACAGTCTTGCTCAAATATCAAGAAAATCCTCAAGGTCAGGCGCTTGTCTCCGTCTTCCCCTCCCACCACACTACCACTACCACTACCGATACTGACCTGCTGTGCAACTGCGTTCATGCGCACACCAGCAGCATCGACTAGCTGTCCAACCTGATCATCCAGTCACCCTTTCTCGTGGTTCTAGCGCTCTGACCAAGCCGCACCGCAGCCGCCACGTCATATTCAACGACATACAATACAAGCACAAACAGACAAGTACGCCTCACGGGCGTCTCTCTTGATCCAACCGTTCTCTTTGTGTTCGGGTACAACACCGCGACTCTCACGAGTTTTCGGTCTTCCGTTAGCTGTGATGGGAAGGCTGTCCAATCGGTGAGCCGCAATGGATTTGGTGGTGCGTGGGACAGAAGGTACGGGGACTATAGGAGTCGCACGAAAGATGCAAACGTTCCCTAGTCTCACTCGTGAGAGAACCAATGACAGCGAAGTTCGAGCACGTCGAGAGGACCATTCGCTGACACCTGGGCGTGCTCGCTTGTCCATCTTAGTCTGATTCTTGTTGTTGCACAGGAGTATGCGGGCATTCTGTAGTCTCTCTTGACAATGAGCCAGTGAGGTTCAGATTTCGTAGCACAGATCACCGCGATCTCTTCATGTCCTTTCTGTGTAACCTGAGAGGTTGCACAGCACATGCAGACGTTCCTTAGCCTCCCTCAACAGAGTGCCAGTCAAACCTGAGCGTCCAGGAGGTCCCTGAAGCGATGGCAAGTGCCATGGATGGTTTGTTGGTACATGTACTGTACAACCATGAGTTGACCACAGCACATGCAGACGTTGCGTAGTTACCCTCCAGGAGGAGCCAGTGAATTTCGACGACGACGGGTCCATCATGCAGGGTTCTGGATGTGTTCCGCTGGGGTTGGTATGTAGCACAGGCGTATGCAGACATCTCTTAGCCTACTTCCTTAGAGGGCCAGTGAACTTTCAGTATTAAGATGACCCTGAAAAGGTACGAAGTACCAGGGTCGTTGGCATGCTGCATACGTTATGCGGACCTGACTTAGTCTCCAATCCTAGAGAGCCAGTCAAATACAAAGCACGAAGGCAGACCCTGAAACGATGCAAAGTGCCAAGGTAGCACTGTTGCACGATTCCTGCAGACGTGATCTAGTTTTCGTCGGGAAGAGCCAGTAAGGTCCGATTGAGTGAGATACGACTTTCAAGAGGCGGTGCAGGACAGGGTGTTTGGGTTTTGTTCCGTTGCCATGATGTATGTGATGAGGATCGTGTCGCTAGGAAAGAAATGTAGAAGCGTGGCTCTGATGGCACTGGTATCATCTACATCATTCATCAATATCTGCCGTAGCATCTCACCAATCCAAGAACAAACCCCCCTCCCAAATCCTCCTCTCTCTATCTCTACCCACATCCCATCTCTTCCCTCGTCATCTCCAACCCCCGCATCTAATTCTTATAATCATAAACCGTCCGAATCTTATGCTCCTCCTTCCCCTTCTTACTCACAATCCTCCTTACATGCTTCCTCTCCCCATTAATCGTCGCGAACCCCCAGATCTGCGTCGCGACCCACCCGTTCTTCTCCGACTCGGTGTGGCTGATGACGACGTCGCCTTTCTGCTCGCCCTCGCCTTCTTCCAGCCAGTCTTGCTTGAGGAAGTCGTCTTCGATTTCGGAGATTTTGGTGAACCTATCGCAGAATTTTGTTAGTAAACTGTTCGGTGTAAATGATGTGAGATGTGTCTACTTACTTGTTCCAGCCCTTGACGTGACCCCAGTAGTCGACGTCGCGTTCGCCCCACTCGCCGGTCAGAAGTCTCTCCTCCAATTGCTTCACGTTTCCCGTGGAGATCTGCTCTTGGTCGAGGTGCAGCACGCCCTCGTCGTCCTTGTACTGCTTGAGATTGATCGAGACGGCGCTGTAGGCGGCCGCTTGTCGGACGAGCCAGGGCAGGCCTTGCATCTTGAGCATGGGGCCAGTGTCGTCGCCGATCTTCTTGTTCATGTCGAAGCTGGCGTTGAAGTTGTGGGCGTTGATTTCTGGTGGGGCGGCCATGTTTGCGGTGTTGGGAAGAGTGTGCTCTTTCCCGCGCTCGAGAAGTTTTGATATGTTATCGTCTTGTTGTGAATCCTGCAAGATTGCTACCTGAGCAACTATCGGAACCAGGAGGTGAGGTCGTACAAGGCAATGGCTTTGCAGTTCGCATGCACTTCTTATAGCTGCGGTCGTGCCTCGGCAGGGTAGATCTAGCTGCGCAGACTAGTTTGAGAAAAGAACGAAGTAGTAGCTAGAGGATACCATCGAACTGATATATTCCAGAGAAGAGCTAACAATTGATAAAAGAACACCTTCCCACCTAAAACAAATCTCCTCGGTAGGATCTCGCAGGAGCTCTTTCGCCGCTGACGGTAACGGACGGGACGAGTTGGGACATGTTGTAGGCCAGAAAGGAACGGATCTCACGCCACGTTCGAACAGCTCCAAGAAAGGAGGGGTTCGTCAAGGCGATCGTGGGGCACCCAATTGCACGCTGCGAGTGGAGGGCAGAATGAGGTGAAGTTGGGACGAAAGTTTCCACTCCACACGTCATGCCTCGGTGCTGTGGCACTTGACCAATGAGCAGCGGTTCTAGGATTCGATTCCGAGCACGAGGAAGAACACCGAGAACGTATCTGGGATGGGCTGGGTGGCCGCTCCACCGTTGGCTGACAGCCTTGTCGTCTACCGCTGTAGGCGCTGGTAAGTGCCGGGTGGGAGGGGGTGGCAGTGTAGCAGTGATGAGAAGTAGAGAAAGCCGATCACATGTCAAGGAAAGGGAGATTCATTCACTTCGTGCCCAGATAGACACTATCTCGATTCGAGCGTCATGGCCACATACCTCGTGGTATTCTCTGCTCATGCACCCCGTCTCTTGCCAATACCCGACTGATCCCATCATCAAAGCTCACGCCGTCCTCCGAATGCTGCACCATCCATGGGTCATTGACTCGGCCTTGATCCTCCAACCACTGATTTCTCGTCATGGCGATGTTGTAGCTGAAGCTGCTCTTTGCCAGTCCGCCGAAGATACTGCACCTCTGCAAAACCTCGTAATCCACCAACGCTTGTTGATCCCAGGTCATGTCTTTCAAGGCAGCCGCTTCGTTCGGGGGAAGCAAGTCGAATTTGGAAGTGACATTAAGCGGAGGAGCGTGGGAGAGGGCCTTGCGTCGGAACAGTGCAAGATCGGTGGCATTGCCAGAGGCGACGTAGATGACTTTCAGTTTGTGATTGAGAGCCTGCGCGATGTATGAGTCTGTCTGTGCTGAGAAATTGGCATTGGTCTCGTCGAGCCAGCCCGCGTTCTGCGCATCCGATTCCGTTCGCAAGTGAGCTCCATAGAACGCTCCCCGTGGAATCGCAATTCGCGGATCGATGTCGACGCCGAACTTCAAGCTGAGCTGCTGAACAACGACTGCTGCCAACCGGCGGATGGTAGGATTGATTCGTAGGAGCTGTCCAAAGTCCCTCCTGAAGTTCAAAGGCAGACTCCTGGTATCAATCTCCCATAGCGTTCGCTCCAAGTCCACAAGCGTGACGTTGTCAGGCTCGACTTGGCCGTGCTCATCGAGAAACGTTTGCAGGCCTTCCAGGTACGCCCGTTTGCTGTTCCCAAAGTCTGTATCCGCTCTCCTGCTTCTGGGATAGAACACCCCTGGTACTGCCTCTTTGAGTGGTTGATCCGGCTGCGGCTTGTAGACCGACATTTCTGGACATGCTTTTTGGACGGTCTTCAAGAACCACTCCTCATCGAAGAAATGGTCGAATGGGGATCGAGATGCCCAGACGTTGCTCAGATCTTCGTCACTCCGGCTTGCCATGCCTGGAAGTAGGATAGATGCTCCTGCTTCGATGGACTGGAATAGAAAGTCCAGCATGTTGCCACGGATGTTGCCAATGCCGCCATTTGCGTTGGCGAGATTAAAGACAAGGCCAGGTCTCCAGTCGCTCTGGTTGCAGTACCATTCCAGTGCGTAGGGGTTGAAAGGTGAGACGACATGCGTGTCGAGCCAGTCACGAATGAATTGCGGCGATGCCGGGTGTGCAGGTCGGTCAAGAGGTGACGAGGAGCCGTAGGGATGCCGGAGGTGGTATTGGTAGGATACGTAGTAAAGCGGCGTCAGCGTGACCAGCAGGAAAATGGCATATACGATCCGCGGCTGACTCTGCAGGCTGCTAGTATTGATCTGCATCTTTGTTGTGCGAGTGAGCTGTCCATCTTGGTCCAGGTGAAAGTGGCCAGCTTTTGAAAATGTAGGTCGTGGGGACGCGCCTCGGATGCGCTCTCCTTGCTTCGCGTCACGCATTCCACATGCGCTTGAACTGTCCCACCGTATCTCCGAGCGTCAATGAACAGACAATAGCCTTTCAGCAGCAGTACTTGAGATGGTCTGCGAGCTACATCCATTCAAAAGCCGTCTGAGCATCACCCACTCTCGAGGACCTTCTTAGCGTTATCTAGCACCTTCTTCAGCTCGTCGCTACCTTTCTCCACGACTTTCTCCATCATACTGCCCGCTTTCTTCAAATCATCAGGTCTCGCGCTCTTGTTCAATTGCATTGCCCGCATCTTCTTTTGTTGCTTTCCTCTCGCATCTCTTACGCTTGTGGTAGCCTTGTCACCGGCTTTGGTGGCCTCTGCGACTGCGGCCTTGCGAGAGTCTGCGGTGGGCGGTGGAATGTTCAGGACCAGCATAAGAGGGTTCGATCCAGTAGGGTCGGGTTGAGGTGTCAGAGAGAGTGCTGATGCCTGGATCGCTGAGGAGACTGGCTTGACATGCTGTGAAGGCGAGTTAGCAGGAATCATAGCCGTCACTGTACCCTCACCACATACGTCTTTCTCCCCTACAAGTACTTGCACAGTCCTGCCTTTCGGAATGACTTGTACGAGGTCACTCAGCTTGAAAGTCTGCTTGTCATTCTTGTCTGGCTGAACTCGAAGACTCTCCACTGCTTCAGGATTGAAACGTCCACCAGCCCGTAGCTTCGATAGGTCATTCTTCAGCCTTTCGATCGAGTTGGCAATGTCTGCTTCGAGAGCCGAGAAATCAAATGGATCTTCGCTTGATGCATCCTTCGAGTCTTTTGAAGCAGCCTGCTTCTCCTCTCTGGCAGCTTTACCTCCTTTCTTTTGGAGACGTGAGCTCGTCGAGAACAGTCTGGGCGTATTTGAACGAATACTCGGTTGATATCGAGAGTTCAAGAGCCCCCTTTTGCTGTCTTCACATGATCGGGGCGCGAAAGAACTCCTGTGAACCCTCTGCCTGTTAGTTGTTGCCAATAACTTCTGATTTTGGAGCACGTACCAAAAGACAGCTCTTGTGGAGAGAAACGGCTTGAGGGTTCGAAAAGCAGCTGATTGTGCCACACAAACAGGTGAAAGGCTCATTTTTGTAGTGCACATGTTTGCAGCAAGCTCGACATCAGAAGTCCGCAGGAGACGTCGCCTAAAGCTGCCCTAAGACGAGCTTGCATAACTTGCATAAAAGGCACATGTCCGTCTAGACTTGTCTAGCGACTGAAGCACGCGTCTGTTGTCTGCACTACTTGTGGCGTCTTAGATACACTATAACTATCTAAAAGATTAAATTCGAATATAATAACAGGTATTACAAGATACAAGTAACGATATAGACTACTCTTCTTACTAATATATAACGTCTCTACTAGCTTGCTACGAGCTGGAAACCTTTTCACCGTACCGCGATTCCATCATTTTGTATCCATTCTGGAAGATTTCGCGTATAGTGACTGGATCGAACAGACGTGGATGTCCGTCATCAACACATTCCGGGAGCGGTTCAATGACAGTGTCCGGAACAAGATCTGCAAAGTACGCAAGCGACAGCCTTCCTCTCGTCATTCTTTCGGCCCCATCAAATCGATCGGCGCGTGGTGGTATTGCAACGCGATGAGGAACGGCCTTGAGGAAGCCTGCCTACCATCAGTCTTACTGCTTGACGAGCAGACGGGCATTTGCTATTTCGCTCTCTTACCGTTTGTCCACCGCTCAAAAGGCTGGCCGAGGGTGAGCACACAGGTAGACTCGATCGGAGTCACATCGGTGAAGACGCCATCATTCTTGTACGGGTTCGCCATCTGCAGACCTCCGCAGTCGTCTTGAAAGATGACAGCAAGCGGCGAGAAGTCTGTGTGAGTGCCCATGCGCTTCGCAGCTCCGCTCTCAAGCTCAGCGGCCGGAATAGGAGGGCTGTATAATACTCTGAGGTGATTGCGAATCGGTGGATGCAAGTTCGTGAAGTAATCCGGATCTCTCAGTCCGATGCCTAGTCCAAGTGCACCAAGCACGGCTGTCACAACTCCGCGCGCCTCTTGATGGAAGTCCATGATGGTCTCTCTGAAGCCTGGTAGCGTCTGCTCCGGCAGCCACATGTTCGGCATATCGGGTCTCTCGTCGCTGCCGACATCCAAACACTCCCTCTTCTCGGGCACGGCCGCGGATTGCTTGAGCTTCTCCAGGCCGTCGAAGGAATAATTACTCGCATTCTCTCCTCCCAGCTTCGTCCAGCCTCGGTGGATTTCCATCCCTGGGGGATGGGCCACTTGCTCCTTGACGGCATCACTCAGATGATAGAAACGCGAGGACATGTCGAAGGCCTTGGATACTAATTCTTGCGAGACGCCGTGATTAATGACGTAGACAGAACCATGCGACCGGCAGCCATCGACTAGGCTCTTAGCAATGGATAATCGATCATCTTTGCCCTGCGGGTCGTGCCATTTGGCGAAGTCGACGATTGGAAAAGGTGGTTGATCGATGGAACCCATGGCTCCGACTCCTGAAGTTTTCAAAAGTTGTTAGTGATAGAAGTTAGATGAAGATTCAAGACCTTGGTCAGCTCGCGAGAATCTACATGTAGCATAATTGGCGAGAGCTGACAGTGTGAAGGAAGCTTATGTCGCAAGCTAAGGCACTTTGAGAGATAAGTACGGTTGTGGTCAACCGATCCGCACCCGTGATGGCGAAAGTGAGTATGAGCCTCGCTCTGTCGAGACTTCGTAGAGCCTTGGTCTTGACAAGCGAATGATGTGGGCAGCCTCGTGTGTTGCCGCTGCACAGCCTGACTGCTCCGCCGGAGCACTTGTATTTCGACTTGCGTGCCGTGAATCTGCTTAGAGCATTCAGCGACAGTCTCGGACCTCCTTCGTTGATCGACGCTTTCGCTGGCTATCCATCACGAGACTCGACAAGGACGTTCATGGCCGGGCTGATACCGTGCTGCACTACGCAGTCCTATCGGGTAAGAAGAGACGTCGTCTACTCATAAAGTACCTACGTAGGTAGTAGTTGTTTGAAGATCGTTATTATTATACCTGAATTACATCTGTAATGGAACCTGGAATGAAGGAGTATTCAGAAGATAATATCTTGCGAGAAGTAGAACAGTAGACGTGACAGCTCCTTCTTTCGGAACTTTAGCTCCGCGAACGGACGCACGGGCCGCTCGCGTGCCTACCATTCACCACAAATGCGGGCAGCATCCAGGTCTCTCTTGTCTTGCGACGCAAACACCAACTCCAATAACAACACCACCACCAAACACTCGTCACCACCAATCCACACTCCACCGCCGACCGTCGCGATCGCAATCAGTTCCCCTCCGCATCCGCGCCACCAACCTCATCCACCGAGGACGTGCCAGTCCGCATTCCAAACATGGCAGCCACCAACATGAACACAAAGCAGCTTCAGGAGACCAGCAAGAACCTCATAAAGGCAGCAGAATCGGGCGACTCACCGGCTACTATCCTCGCACTGCTTGCGCCGCTCGAGAACTTCCGCGCCACCGAAGAGCTACTTCGACAATCCAAGATCGGTGTCGCAGTGACCAAGATACGGCAGGTCAAGGATCCCAAGGTGCAAGAGACCGCGACGCGATTGGTGAATCGGTGGAAGTCGGAGGTCAACCTCAAGAAGAAGCGAGCTGCAGATGGCAGTCCAGCGCCTTCGAACAAGGCTCTAAATGGCGCATCGACGAACGGCAGGAGCAGCACCAGCAGTCCGGCACCCGCGCAGAAGGAGGTCAAGAAGGAGGTGAGCCTCAGAAAGAGCACCGTCGCGCCAGAGAAGCGCAATACCAAGGAGGATGCTGTGGATCATCAGGTCACCGGAAACCCAGTTCGCGATGGCTGCTTGAAGCTGATGTACGACGGCATCGCATTCATGTCGGAGGAGTCGCCCGATGCGGTTCTTGATGTAGCCCGTAAGGTGGAGGTTGCGGCATTCGAACACTACAAGAACGACACGAGCGCAGAGTACAAGCAGAAGATTCGGAGTCTGTTCCAGAATCTCAAGATGAAGGGCAACACTCTTCTGCGGAGAGACGTCTTCAGCATGAAGATCACACCCACGCGGTTCGGTGAGTCGAAAAATCGAGGCGTACTCCCGACAATGATATCCTTATACTAACTTTCTGTAGTTACGATGACTTCGGATGAGCTCAAGTCGGAGGAGAAGCGTCAGCAGGATGCTGCACTCGAGAAGGAGAACATGAACAAGGCGATGACCGCTCAAGAGGAGAAGGCCATCTCTACCACGTATGTTACCAACCCCCCACCTCCAACTCACCATCGAGACTTTATCGCCAGACCCTGTACTCTCTGCCTGTCGTCGGTGGAGAGTGCAGGGTCTGCTTTGCGTTATGAGCGATTCTGCTGACTAAGGATTCAGGATGACCTGCGGCAAATGCAAGCAGTCCAAGGTCGCCTACTCGCAAGCCCAGACTCGATCTGCTGACGAGCCGCTCACGACATTCTGCGAGTGCACGGTGTGTGGTCATAGGTGGAAGTGTAAGTTTGAACCCTCTCTCTTCGTACGAACTGAACTGACAACCCCGTCTAGTCTCTTGATCCAACGTTTCGATGAGACAATAGGAGTATCTTTCGAGAGCTTTCACGGAACCACGGCCACTGAGGAAGGAGATGACGACGCCATCACGACTAGAGACTTCGTTTCTGCATTTCAAGACAGGCGGAGAAGGGTGGACGACTGCTTCGTGCATTTCCCAGCTTGCCTTATGGAGAGACGGCTTCCAACGGGCAATGAGCTGGTCTACATTGCGGGCCAGATTGAGAATCAACGATGAGCTTCAATAGACAATCCCGCATCACGAATTCGAACAACCCTCTCACTTTCAACCTCTACCCTCACCCCTCCAACTGCCACCCCCTCCCATCCTCCCCAAACACCTCCCATCACCCCCC